TTCGTGGCCAAAAAGCCAAGGTAGATGGACTTAAGGAGCAAATTTCACTCCTTACAGAAGAAGTGTCCAGTGCCGAAGTCTCGAAATCCAAGAATGCTAAGCTTCGTGTAAAACATGAGAAGTCTCGTGTGGACTCCGAAGGAGAGCTTGAGCAGCTTGCAGAGGAACTCGACAGATTATCTCAGGAGAATGAGGACCAGGCCAACATAGTTTCAGAAATGAGAGAAAGAACTGAGGCAGCGCAGGAAGTGAGTATCAGCGTAGGGCATGAAACGGATTTATTCGCTAACTTGTTTTAGGCTTTATTATCCAAAAAGGAAGAACTTGCTGGGCTCAAGGCTGAGCTGAATGAAAAGACAGCCGAACTCAATGAGACCCGTGCGGTTGAAATAGAAATGCGCAACAAGTTAGAGGAAAATCAAAAGGTTCTGGTCGAGAATCAGAAACGGTGCAGATATTGGGAAGAAAAATTGTCGAAACTTTCGCTACAGAACATTAGCGACCTTGGCGAGGAACAAGAATCGGACCAGCTTCCTGTATATACAAAGGACGAGCTGTCTGGCATGAATAAAGAATCCCTCAAAGCCGTCATTGCCGCGTTGGAGGAAAAGACTCAAAATGCTCAAGTGGATCTGTCTGTTCTGGCTGAATATCGGCGTCGAGTTGCGGAGCACGAATCTCGTTCTGCCGATCTTGCAAGCGCACTGGCAAGCCGTGACAATGCTAAATCTCGCCTTGATACCCTTCGCTCGCTTCGATTGACAGGATTCATGGAGGGTTTCAGCACCATTTCTCTTCGCCTGAAGGAGATGTATCAAATGATTACGATGGGTGGTAACGCAGAACTCGAACTCGTGGACTCTCTTGATCCCTTTTCGGAAGGCATCCTGTTTTCCGTTATGCCACCGAAGAAGAGCTGGAAAAATATCAGTAATCTATCTGGAGGTGAAAAGACATTGTCCAGTCTGGCCCTTGTGTTCGCTTTACATCACTACAAACCCACCCCGCTGTATGTCATGGACGAAATTGATGCTGCTTTAGATTTTAGGAACGTGAGTACACTCCGCGGGCATCTAGGATTGCATACTTTGTGCCGTCTAACCATGCTTGCTAGGTCTCTATTGTTGCTTCATATATCAAGGAGCGTACGAAAAATGCGCAGTTCATTGTCATCTCGTTGAGAAATAACATGGTGAGTTGGCCAAATTTACTTACACCGGGTTTTCATTGGTTATATTTTGATCTTAATTGTCACTGCTAACATCGTCTTCTCTCCTCCGTAGTTTGAACTTGCCGCGCGGCTTGTAGGAGTGTATAAGGTTAACCACATGACCAAGAGCGTCACTGTGGAAAATAAAGATTATATCGCGAAGAAAGCTTGAAGATGCAGTGTCATGCTTATAACCCGCTCCGGGAATAGTGTTTAGATTGCTATCCGGATACCCATTTCTTATGTTTATCGTGAATTAGCGGGGCGAGCATTCTAGGCTTAAGATGTGGATCAGGCTGGTCGGTTTGGTTTTCGTGAAGCTACTTTTGTGTCCGGAGTCCCTTTGTGTTCTTCTTGTATATCTTTGATGAGGTGCTTTTGGGCATGATATTTCGTGGAAATGATATGCTATGAATGAAAAACTTTCCAGTTGCTTTGTGCCTCCGAGTCTATGCGGACCACCGTCCCGAGTTTTAAGTGCTTGTGTACCCCACTGTCATAAAAATGGTCATAAAAGCTCGGTTCTTAAACTAGAATTAGGATCTACGTTAATCACAAGGAGCATCGAGTGATAGCGGTTCTTTTTTGGGCAAAAACGGAGCTTTTTTTATACTTTTCACAACTTCGTTGCAGTTGGGTCTCCGTGGAGATTGACTCCGGTAAGACGTTGGTGGAGCGTATAGCCATAGATTATTTATTATTAAGCCCCAAAATCAGAAAATTCAGTCGTAAAATCTCCGAAAATGGCGTCCCAATCTTCAAAAAACTGGTATCAAAAAGAAAACAGTTTGTCAGTGAAAATAGACCAGGGAATAGCATGAAAGAGGAAGAGCTCAATGGTACACACAGTGATATCCAAAGAATCGTTGGACGGAGGATAATTCGAGTCTGTTGGAGCGGCGATCGGGGATTCAATCGGATGAGTCTGTAAAAGAGTTAGTTTATCGAAGCCAGAAACAAGGAGAGGCTTTTGTTGTAAAATGCACCCAGTTCTTCTCAGATATATCCAGCTTCGATCGACCCATATGCTTTGATAGGGTATTATAGCACAACGTCGTCATTCGATCAATGCTCTCCTTTCGGTGCGCGTCGATTGATTCTGGCCATAGCTTTCCTTTAACCATGGAGATTATGACGCATAGGATGAAATACTCCCTCATTCCCTTTTGGACAGCGGTGAACTTCTCCTCCCACCAAGGCAGGACACGCTCGGTCAGAGATACCAAGGTCTGTGTAAGGCTCGGAAGTATCTGCCGTACTATAGAAGATCCTGCGAGGGTGGCATTAGACTAGAGTTCTGGCAGGGAGAAGAGTGGATACAGGGTAAACCTGAGCTTACCAACACCACTATCAGACGTATATAGATAATGACAAATAGTGACTGCAGATTGCATAATAACTTCACTCAAAGTAAACCATGCCCTTCTCCCGAGTTGGTCTAAGAGGACTTGTTCGTGGCATAGGATAGACATGGCCACATCTAATCTAGAACGGGAAGAGTGCGCAAAGGTCCCTGCTTTCGAATCCCCTAAGATACAGGATGAATGCAGCGAGAGCTGGCTTCGCTGAAGCTGTATTTGAAGCAGCGTTCGCCATAGCAATATTCTCTGGTTCGCGTTAACATCAGAATCGCCGACCCCTTTCCACCCTGGAATGCCAGAAAGTTGTTGATATATAGCCTCGTCCAACTCTAAAACCTGGGAAGACGATATCGAAAGTCGTGGGGAGTTGATCAGTGAGCAAATATGTAGTCGCAAACCCAAAGATTTGGCTGCCATGGCTTGATAGGAAGAATCCGTGGGAATGCTTAAAGGCTTTTGTATGGGTATCTCAGCGGTGGATTCTTGAATATCTTCATCATTAATGTTCAATGGAGGCAAGCAGTCATAGTCGGCATGTTGCACTGTTGGCGGCATACCACGATCCAGAGACGCTTGAAGGTCCAATTCTAAGATTGTCGCCCAAACCCTTCGCCGCATTTCCCTGTTGAAAATAGAAATTCGGCAATCCGGCGGCTGCTCGCGATGGAACCCGGCAGACATTGCTAATTTTACAACGTTTCCGGTGGCAGCCCATGCTTGGTTTCTTTGCGTGTGGTTTACTTCCCTGGCCTGCAAAAGGAGACATCGAACTTGTAATGTGGCGAGAGTTGGGCGTTTGATCCCGCAATGTTGTAGCCAAGTATCTGCCCATCGTATCCAGTTTGAAACAGTGCTCGGAGTGATAGTTCCATCGGGGAGGCCGTTCCATACTATTGCCATAATAAGGAAAACCTGAGCAATGAAAAGGGGTGGGGCGGACTGTGGACGGTCCCTAATAAGCTGTAGTTGTTGGTTGAACATTGGTCTATGGAACAGCCTGCTCACACTTCCGAAAGAATTGAAGTAAATGCCCATGCAGCTCTCAATCACTGACCATTGTGGGAGCAGACCACTTAGATAATTGCTATCAAGGGCTAACTCCCCAGGTAATGTTTGCTTTTTGACGCGGCCTTCCTTTAGCTTGGACAGGTCACGTAGAAAGCCGGCAAGGACAGGGTGTTCATACTTCAGCCGATGAAGGTATTGTTTTAGTTCTGGAAACTGGACGGTATCATCAATACCATATTCTCCTATCGATTATGAAAGACTATTCCCACCTCTGGATACAAACTGTAGATATTACTACAGCCATGGAATCGGGTCTTTGTTTCTCTTCCGTGGAGGGTAGCATTGAATATGGTCGCGGGTGTGGTTGGTCGTTTGGACACAGGACTCTCGCCAGGGTCCGCTCCATGGAAGTTGACCCTGGGAGAGGGCGCCCGGGATGGGTTTGTATGAGTCGGGAATGAATGAGCTGACTGTTGAGCAAGGCATTGCACCAAATACTCAAGGGTTTTCAGATTTTGGCCCTCAACCTGGTCAGGCTCTGGCGCCACCAGGGGTACCTCAGGACGGGGCGGCGCTGAGGGCTCGTAATCTGCATGAAACGCTGGTGGGCGGTTCTCATAGGTGCATCTCTCTGGCCAGGGAGTCTTCAGACACCGTTCGCAAGAAGGCTGGCCAAAGTCACACTTGACCTTTCTGTTGCGACACGGCAAACAAGCCAGCGTCCTACGCTTTCTCTTTTTCCGAGGCGGCTCGGAGACACCACGACACGCTTTCACCACGACTTCTTGCTCGTCTACCATTTTTGCCACCCAGATAAGCGCACAGTCTGCAATCGATTACTCCGTCTTCGATCTTGGGGAGATGGACATGATGCGGCGACGTCGTCTGCATAAATACTGCTGGAGCCCGATAGATCCGTCAAATCCGTCAAATCCAGCGGGGATTCGGCAATAAGATCCGCAACTCCATAGCAACTTCGAGACCGACCTCCGATTGGCGGAATTGCGGAGTAACTTCAGTCCCAGCAGCGATTTAGTTTGCAGTTTGTTCGCTGTCTCTCTTGAAGCGAGCTCAATCTAGTTAATGCAGCGGCACAGCTATGGCTTACCGTGTGAGGATGCAAGGAAAGTCGACTCCTTGGCGGGGGATTAATCTCTCAGAAACGCCTTCAACAGCGTTCCAATCACCTAGCCAGTGGGGAGTACACATGTAGTTTATCATGCGGAAAGCGAGAAAACGCAAGGATCGGAGATAACCTGATAGCTCGGTGTTGCCTGTGGTGCTGCAGAGATATATGATTCCACTCTTAAATGGAACGCTGAGCTGGCATCAGGCAAATACATTTCGACGTTTTATAAAACCAAAAAAATCCTAGTATCGGGTCTGTTCTCTACACAACCGCGGATTCCAGTCTGTCCATGATGTTTAACTCACTCGTGTCTCGTGCGCGGTCGGTTTGGGGAACGAAAGGAAATGATGGATACATATTTCCCACGGTAGACCCCGAATCAGACGGCCCGGATTGTACCAGAGACTGTGCAGATTGTACGATAAAATATCCTTCGCGCTTCATGACCGAAAACCAACGACGGCTCTATGGCAAGGTCAAGCCGTTTGCGACTCATGTCCTTGTGGCCACAGGCAAGTCGGACTGGGTTCCGAAGGTGGAAAATATGCAGGGAACCTTGATGGAAGCTTTTGCAAGTACTTCGCGTCAAACAGAGCAGGGTGTTCGTATTCCATACACCCATCGCCCGGTCTTCGTACAATGCAAGGATCAATATGCTAACACTCACCCGCAGCGCATTATGGTCTCTGCATCGAATATACCAACTTCACAAGCCTGCACCGATGCTGTATCCCTAAATTCCAAGACGAATCTACTATTCTATTATTGCCTTCCTTTACGTTTGTCGACAGAGTGCGAGTTGGAGATATTCCGGAGTTGAAGAGCCGCTTCATTGAAGCCCTAGCTGTAGACGAGCGAAATGATGCCGACACAGGGCGTCGTTTGACACCTCGATCTTGCCAGCGAGACTATGTAGTCCTACTTTGTTCTCACAAAAGTCGAGATGCACGATGCGGGATATCAGCACCACTTATAAAACGCGAACTTGAGCGCCATCTGCGACCTCTCGGGCTCCATCGCGACGACAGTGACGACCGCCCTGGCGGGGTGAGTGTTTACTTCGTCTCGCACGTGGGCGGGCATAAATTTTCGGCAAATGTGCTTATTTACCGGAAGGAGGCAGAACAGATGATCTGGCTCGCACGAGTTCGACCAGAGCATTGTGAAGGAATTGTCAAGTATACAATTTTAAAGGGCAAAGTGGTTCACCCCGACTTCCAGCTCCGGGGCGGATTTGATAACAAACGCTGTTTGACAAGTTGGTAGTGTACACGGTCGCATAGAGTGGTGCTTCAATTCATCCAAAATATGCCTGGGTTCTCAGATGGATTAACAGAGAGCAAAACACGGGGAACTTTTGGGTGCTGGCAAAAATTTTACAAAACATGGGATAAATTTTGGAGTTTGGTGTAACTAACTACGGAGTAGTGAGGTTGATGTCATTGGGTGGACGCGTAGGAGACGCGACGCGTTTGTTGGTTAGTATCTAATTTCGGCTGGAAACTTTTTTGAAGGGCAAATGTTCATCATGGTACGGAGCACTCCGTAGTGACATACTCATGCTCCGTGGGCATCAAATGACTGTTTCATTCCCATGATATATAATTGCTCTGCTCTCCAGTAATTTGACAATGGCAACCTCCGCTGGTTCACCCATCGAACAGCAACTGGCTTCTCTCCGCTCCGAGCTAAAGGAGTGGGAAAAGGCGTTCTCTGACGCAAATGAAGGCCGAAAAGCCACGCGAGAAGACATCAAAAAGGACGCCGCTATAGGTAGGTGCTGGTCTCTCTGGTGCCCCTCAATGTCCCTTCATCGAGTCGCATGCTAAGTTGGACAGCTGCAAAGTACAAAACTTATTCACGACTTCGATCCCAGAAACCATCGTCTTGTCTCGATAGAAGCACTACGGATCATAATGCAATCTCCCCGGCACGCTCCCAAAAAAAGCGCACGTATCCTTTTACCGACAGCCTAGCCGGACACGAAAGCTGCGCGTTTGCGACTCCTCGAAAAGTTGCAAAGCATACCTCCGCGCCTCAACACCCGTCTCATCTAGATCCATACGAATCACCCCCAAATGTTAGAAGATTGCTTAGCCCCAATGAACCAAACATTTCTCCTATACCTCTTCGGGCAGCCATTGGCCCTACTCCTCAGCGCGATGGCAAAGTATTGGGGCTTTTTGACTTGCTCTCCCCATCGAGCCCGAACACAGCAGCTCCGTCGTCTAGACAGAAACAGTCGACTCTCATCGATGCGACGGCCACGCCATCTCCTACTAAAAAGATGCAAACTCCCAGTAGAGACCATGGGTCTGCTATCCGCCCACGAAGATACTCATTAACACCAGTTTCATCGGCGAAGAAATTCTATCTTTCGAAATTTTTTGGGACTCCAAGCACGATGCGATACGCCACTATTATAGAAGCAGACGAAGGGAATGCCAACGTCGGAGACGAAGTCGCTTCTCCTGCTCAACCCACTCCATCGCGGAAAACAAACGGTAGCGAATTAGAGACACCCACGTTTCTGCGGCGGAGGAGCGTTTTATTTCCTCGCACAACGAACAATGGGAAGGGTAAAATCAACACCACCAGCCCAATTGCTGTACGGATGCCGCAGAAAGTGGTGGGTAAAGGGCTTAGCCAACTCGTGCAGGGGCTCCGTGATCTAGAAGATGAAATGATACAGGACGATATGGACGCGCTCCGTGAAGCCGAAGCTGCGGATGCTGAGGCAGGTAAGGTATTTGTCAAAGACAGTCAGGTTCCAGACAGCAACTTGGACGCCCCAGACCCAACGAATACCCCCTCGAAACCTGAAAGATATTGGAAGAAGAAAGGTCAAAAGAGGACTACTAGGTTGGTTTATATGCGTCCTGTGCGCGCGAAGCCGCGGCAAGCTCCTGAATTTGCCATTCCTGAGGAAGATAGTGAGGATGAGCTGGCTACCGCGGCCGAGTCTCAGGGTCCTTTTTCCGCTGGCGGAGATAATCTGGATAGTGAGGACGAAGGTAATACCCGTTCTAAAGATAAGAACAACCAGGGCGGGAAAGCAAAACAGAGCGAGAATAAATTTGTCCAAAAGGTGCGAAAAATTAAGGCGGCGGCGCATGCCAACTACAGGGCGCTCAAGATAAGGAGTAAAAATGGTGGTGGCAAGGGACGGTTCGGTCGTAGGAGGTAAGGGCATGATGTATTGCTTTCCGAGACTGGGTAATATTGACCGGCAGCGAGAACCAAATGAAAATAGCATGGCATAATGAGTCTACGAAATCATAGTTCTGGAATGGTGCATTGTTTATAGGTAGCGCTGCTATTGTTCGCTATATATAATTTATTCATTTATGCAGAGTGTTCCTTGCAGCAGACGGTCTTCGCATCCTGATATGGACGCCGAAAATGGGGATTGCTGGACTGATATCTAGATGCAATGGCACTAGGGCCAACCAGAGGAAGGCCTTACGCTTACAATATGGGCACCGTCTGCAAACCCAGAACCCGCCTCTTTAACCCGATTTCCCCGGAACCTGGTCGCACACGTCGAAGGGTTTCATGACAATGATATGCACGCTCAGTCAGGCAGATACAGTCGCCTGGCGCGCTCAACTCTCCTCACCTGGGAAAGATCAGGTCGAGGGTCCTGCATTCTGTGTTTTCGTACCCCTCGCGACTCATTCCTATGTGTCCGGTCCATGTAGGACCGAGATCTGCTTCCGTCTTCTCGATGGGTGTCGAGCTCTCGACGATGAATCGTTGGCAAAGTGGGTTGCGCACGTTCATCATACTGCACTGCTCTATCCCAATCTTGCAACGAATTAAAAGGACTGCGCAACCAGGCCTGTAGTTCATGTAGAAATAATCGCGCGTTCTCTCTTCCAATGAATTCCTGCAATAATTCCTCTGCTTGTCCACCGCTTCCTTTGATATCAACTGTTCGCAGTATCGCAATGATATACTCCAGTAAAAATTCCGCATTGCGCGCCCGACGAGTTCTTACGGGGCCGTTATTATTCTGCTGCTCTCCTCCACCCTGTACGTCGGCATTATCTGGATCGAGAAATTCAAATACTTGTAGCTCTCTTCGTACCCACTTCCTGGCGCGGGATACCAGGTTCTCATCCCTGTTGAATAGCTGTGGAGTGAACTCACGGTACTGTGATAGTCGATTTGAACCGACATGCTGGGAGTATAGCTGTCGTCGATAAATATAACGCCGACGGCCTAAAGGATCGTCGGGCTGTTGGGGAGGATGTCGGAAAGAAGATATTCGCCTGCCAGACCGACGCTCTGGGCACGAATTTGGACGCTGTCGTGTAGATGGATGACGAGTACTGGAGTTCTGTTCTTCCGTTGAAGAAGGCAAATAAAATATTTCCGGGCCTTTCGGCGCCTGGAGATTGTATTTTACTCCCGTTATTTCAGTTTGACCTAGAGCCAGTCAGCGTGCCTGTCTCCTATGAAGGACAAGCAATTCGACTCACATAGCGGACAAGCTCTCCGCTGCTGCAGCCAACTCACAAGGCATAGGAAGTCGAAGTTTCCGTGCTTGCAAGGTATCGTGACTCCAACGTCCCGCACTTGCTCCAGGCATATCACACAGGGGTTGGCATGATCATTGGTAGCGTCACAAGCTACTTCGTCGAGCGTCTTCCGGATGACTTCTTGCTGCAAATCTCCATCGCATGCCATGGGAATTTCACACCATCCATCCAGCCACCATCGCGCTTGATCAGACAAACGCAGCCACAAGCTTGGTTGGACCTCATGGAGGCTAAGGCCTCGGGAAAGGAAGAATTTGCACGCCGGCAGTGTGATTACATAATATCGGGCAGCCTGCCGGGCTCGAATTTTGATAAGGGCGGGCGCCAGCGAGGCTGCTCAAGCTGTGCTACGGACCGCTCTACTTCATCGCGTGTGCTGACTGCTGCGCTTCTGGAATGCTTTCCCTGGACGATGTGTTGTGATGCTTCGGTCTGGCAAACACATTTCTGCGCGTGCGGCTTTATATTCCAAGATGGCACCTCCCCTGCTCAACTCGTCCAATTCCTTTGATGCGAAGAAGCCGGTGACGTACAGCACCACCGCTCTGAAGAGATGGTCCTGCTTAAACAATAATAAAGACCTTCCAGGTGCGCTCTTTGTTGCTATAATGTTGGCTCGGGCGCTGACCTGGGGATTATAGCAATTCCTGATGTCAAAGCTATCCATGTCTATGATTTTGACAATACCTGTAAGTAATATTCGTGCATGAGATCCTCCTGGGAAATGCTGACGGCTTTTATATCGCAATAGTGTTTAACAGCCCCCTCCCCAACCCACAGCTTTGGAATGGTCTTACGATTGGCTTCCTTCAGGCCTATGAATCATTTGCAAATGGCGGCTGGTGGCATGACCCCAATATCCTTGCGGCCACTGGTCAGGGGATTGACGTAGAAGAACCTTTAGCTTGGAAAGGTTGGTGGAACGAACAAATAGTATGCTTTCTACAGAATGGATCAATATAGGCCTTATCTGCTGACTTTCCAAAAGGTTGAACTTGTTGAATTGAGCATGAAGCAAAAAGACGTCCTTACAGTACTTCTTACTGGACGCGCGGAGAGCTCTTTTGCAGAGATTATCAAACGAATTGTCAAAAGCAGGTCTTTGGAGTTTGACCTTGTGTGCCTAAAGCCCGAAATTGGACCCAACAGCCAACGCTTTTCTAGCACGATCAATTTCAAGCAGATTTTCCTTGAAGATATGATATTTACATACAAGCATGCCGATGAGATCAGAGTTTACGAAGATCGTATTAGACAGTAAGAATAATGCCTCCAAACTACGTGAACAACCTTCTGAATCTTTCTAGTGTCAAAGGTTTTCGGGACTACTTTGAGCAGTTCAATCTCCAATTTCTTGCTCCCAATTCGCATCCAATTCGGAAATCTATCACGGCCGAAGTCATCCATGTTGCTGAGAGCACTAGGTATCTGCCACCTGTTGCTGAAGCTGCCGAGGTACAACGTATGATTAATTCTCACAATGCAATTGTGACGGCCGCCTCCGGAAACGTCACCAAGTCGCCATATGGGCGCCTTCGAATTCATCGTGTAATTTTCTACACCGGTTACATGCTTGCCAATGCTGACTCCGAACGATTGGTGAAATATCTTACCTTACCTATGATTTCACCCAGCCTTGTCGATTCGGGGGATGTCAAACTGATGGCCAATACCATATTGATTACACCTCGCGCTGCGCCAAAGGCTATCCTCGACAGAGTAGGTGGCATTGGTAAGGTCGTGCGTTGGCGAGTCACGGATACAGCTGTTTTTGAAAACAAGATATGGGCTGCAAGAGTAGCCCCTATATCCGATTCGGAAGATATTTACACTGATAACCCTGATCCTGTAGTTGTCCTTGCCCTAAGGAGAGGCGCTCGGCCCATTGACGTGGGAAGGATACGCAACTGGAACCCCGTTTCCGAAGAAAATGCCTTGGTTTTTGATACCACTATAGGAGAAAAATTGGTTTTGCGAGTGGCAGAAGATAACTCAGATGATGGAGATGGAGAAGCGCCGAATGTAGGCCGACCATTCAAGCGCAGACACAAGTATGATACTCGTGACAACGAAGATGTCCCTTCGTACCCAAAGGAGAACCATCGCGAACCAGGGCGCCCCCGTGGTGGTTACAATGATTACAGTCGATCTCGCCACGAAAGACACCCAGATGACCGACCGCCAAGGCATTATCATGACGAGGATTCCCGCCGTGGCCCACCCCCACCAGGCTACCGTGGAGGTGGTCGTGGGCGTGCGGGCCGCGGAGGTAGAGGAGGACGAGGACGAGGGCGTGCGCCTGGTCCCCGAGAAGGTGGCGGCTATGCTGGATACCGATCTTTGGACGATTATCCTTCCAGCAGACCCGGCTACGATGGAGCCGGTGACGATAGAGGGGGGCCTGGGAGTGGAAATCCAGTCATGAACTATTGAGATCGTTTTTCCCTCCCTATGGTCCCTGTTTCCGGTGTGCATGTTGATATTTCCCTTTTGCTTCCAATCATGGCGTTATACTATGAAATAAAACTATCTCTACGTGTAGGAGCGGCGTTGGGGCGGGCTCCGTCTCCTAGTTGGGTTTTCAGTTCCTCGGAAGGCGTACGGTGGGAGAGATTTGCTGGGTATGTAGGGCTCCAGGGTCACCGGCTGGAGGTGGATATTTTCTGCCATTTTCCGACTTTATGTCCGGTACATATAATTCACGGTGTCATCGGCATTGTATTACCGATTTTATAAGAGCTGATTTGAATTCCTCCACTTCACCATTCTAAAACAATACTCGCAAAGAGCAAGGTCAGTTCTTGACTCACATCTTTGATAGTTAATAAATGCACTCGAGTCTGTACGAAAATATTTTTACATACTCCCAGCCACTACCCTATTATCGTAGAGTCAGGGTTGAAGAATCGAAAAGTAGCCAGATCCATCCAAATGCGATTTAACCTCCATCTTTATAATATGACAACAATTTCGCAGCAAAAAGAAAAACTCAAGGGGAATATCCCGCCCACGAGCCCGTAAAACATGAAAGCATCAAAACCATGGACATGAAGCGTAATGTAGTGCGCGTATAAATCCATCCCAGCCATCCTTTTTTTCCCTCATCAAGAAATGTTCCTCATATCATCAATCATCTGTAAGCCTCGTCAACAAACTAATACTTAGGATCATCGCCAGTAACCCAATCGTAACAACAACGAGCAAGCCGAATCCAAACCAGCCTAATATCATCGCTGACGTGCCCACCCCACTTTTTACGCTTCCGTTGCCCAGATCCTGGGCTACTGTGCTTGCCGCTACGGATGCAGTGTGCTGCCAGAGGACGGAAACCAAAATGAACACGGAAGCAACGAATATCAGAGAGAGCGCGACTTGCGAAACAGGTCGTGATGGGAACGGCCTGACCTCCTGCTCGGAGCCATCGGGAGAGGTTTCTTCGTGCCAGCCGGGGAAGGTACCCAGGATAAGGAAACAGACAAATGCGAATATTACGGCAACAATGCTAAGAGATATCCAGCTATGTTAGCCAGAACCCGGAAAAAAAAGAAAAAAAAGAGAGAGAGAGAGTGAGAGTGAGTGAGAGAGAGAAGAGATAGGACTTACATTAGGTATGGGAAAACAACAGCGTCTTTGAATGTTGATGCCACCCAGACAAGGTTCAAGGGGTCATCTTCGGCAGGAAGGATGCCAGCTAGCGCTGTGGCGTTCGCGTTGCAGATAAATGATCCGCCGCCACGCTGAACGCAGATTCCAAAATATCCTACGCGAACCTCAAGCTGCGCGCCACGGACTATATTTGCGATGTCTGCTGTTACGGATGGAGCGGATTGTGCGGTTGACTCTATGGGGGGATAGTGTTCGTAAAATAAGGATATTAAGAAGATTGTTGGTATTTGAGGCGAAGAGGATGAACATCCTGCTAATAAAAGGGCTAATTGAAGAAACTGTTAGCAAACATTGAGAGGACGATATAGGCCATTCATTGACTTACAAAGCAGAATGATAGCAAGGGCGATAAATATCATGAGAATATGGTGATACCCGATCTGTGTTATGAACCCTATTGATAAAGATGTCAGTCTTGAAATGTGAAATCCTTCCGGGTTCTAAGAGATGGAACGGGGGCAAACGCACGGCGGGCGCCGGTCACAAACCGCAATTCGGGCATGGTTATGTGACGATTTCCACTGCTCCAGAGCCCGTACTACTCCAGCTCCAATCCTTGCTCACTTCTCGGTGCCCCGAGAAGGAGCACGGTGTAATTCCAATCAGACGATGTCCTTCTGCAATCCCAAAAGCCTCGATCTTTGATGCAAGTATCCCGCGTGGCGTCGCGACTTGGGTGGAACTCGTTCGACTCCGCGCCGTAACCGATTCTAACGTATCGAAGTTGCGCGATGCGGTTTATCGTCTCTCAATGCAAGGGCACCTCCCTTACCTCCTGCACAAAGGTATATTTAAGACGTCAGAAGTGTCAGATAAAACTTCTTAATTACAGTATGCGGTGCGACTGAGAATGGATAAGGCATGGAAGGAAGGGAGGAGAAAAGATAGTAAGTGACGTGAAGTAATGATAGGGAGTGAATAAGCGAGTAGAAACTCAGTGCATAAACCCCCTTTCTTTTTTTTCTTTCTCTGTCCTCTTTGTCACACATATAGTGACTGCAGGATGTCACCGAAACGAATGACCAATCTCACGGGGAAGGGAATCGCAGCGCCGACGGCTTCATCTCGTCGAAAAGAGGCAAGATCAGGTTTCACGGGGTCCGAAGGTTGCAGTAGCAGATATCGACGGCCGACGGTGGCTGGATCTATGGGATGGTTGGAGGCTGTCAGGGCTGCCGGCGGACGACTGGCATGTGCTGGTGGCTGGGCCAACGGGGCCGCTCTTTTGTTTACGCTGCGAAGTACTCTCTATTACCGGGGCAACCCCGCGTTGCCGCCCTGGCAGAATCAGCCGCGCGCTAAAATAGCCGGGGCCCACGCGGAGCATTGCATGCACTAGGCAACTCTTGGTTAGCGCATCCTGTCACGGTGGGGCGCCCGTCAGACTTGCTTTTGATTGCTGACTCAGCTCGACTTCATCCCAATCTCCAACGACCAAGCTACCATACATAGACTTCACCTTCAGGGTCTGGGGAGAACTAGCTTTATTTCTATGCTTTGCATATGGAGCATCTCAATAAGCTCTACATATAAGGTCCTGGTTTATCACGGGGTCCTTGTCCAACATAAATATGGATTTCCACAGACAGATCCAACCAACGCCATACGCCATGCTTCATTTTGGCCTCTCTTGACCAACTCGTGACAACAAATCAGTGCCCTGAACGCAGAGTGTCACAAGGTCAGGATCATTAAACTCTCCCCCACCTAGCCTAATACATAATCAAAAAGGAATGTCCCTCTTCGTCCTGGATGTTCAGCTTGGGAAGAATTCAAACTTTTTCAGATCCAAAGACATAAATAGTTGTGGCTTATCCCCATTAGATAGCGATCCGTCGTCGCTGTCGTCTGTGCCTGGAACAATCAAATCTTCACTCCCTCTCGGTTCAAATGACGCGAGCGGAGTTGGCCTGGATGTCGAATCGTCCGACTCGTATCCACGCTGAGCTTGTCCATCCTTGGTCATGTTCATTTTAGAGAAGTTCATCGACTTCGATCTACCCAGCGCACTCTGCTGTAATCGTTGCAGAGGGGTCATCCGTGCGCGGTTCCCCGGTTTGCTGACCTGAGAGTATGCTGCCCCGCCTCCATTCGCCACGCCCTCCCGGAGCGGTTTACGGAGCTCTTCATTCCGACCAGTATCCGGGTGCTTCGTGTGGTGGTTTTCTTCAACGTATGCAAACCTAGCTTCGAGGCCCAATGAAGCTGATTTGCGGTTGTTGTTGCTGTTGTTTCCCTGGGCCGATCTTACCAGTGGGCTCTGGCTGCATTCTGGTGACGGTGTGGGCAAGCTCTGGTGAGTGACAGTATGCTTCCTGAAGACGACCGAATATGGGTTCACCTTTTCATCGGGTTCCGGCGTCGACGTGGTATCCCGGTCGTCCCCCTGACTTGGTGTAAGTGATGCAACGATATCTATGCTATCAGGAAGTGAACACATAATATTCTCGACGCCGTCATCTGAAAAGACTCCAAATTCTGCTTTCCTCGCCTTCTTGAATTTTGCTCCTTTTAGAGCATCCTTCTCGGAGGTGATTGAGTTGCCCCTGAAAAAACGACTACGCTCTCCTACTGAGGTGCCGGGTTCGTTTTCAGCAGCATCAGAACATAGCCGCTGCCTCTTCGCTGGCAGAGGCCGAGCTAACGTTGCAGCACGCGACAGGAACGACTCCCTATTCACATCTGGTGCTTGTGGAGGTCGCTCAGATGCAGACACAGCTCGCGGGACGCTTGTTGGTGTGGAGGCTTGTCGGGCTGACCAAGAACGTCGGCTATTCTGCGCAAGCAGAGCTTGCTGACTTGGAGAAGGCGTAAGGCTGTTCGGATCTAACTCTCCTAGTGGAATACGCTTGGGCGTGAAAAAAGAGCTTATAGGCTTATTTTGTCCCTTCTCATCAACAAGACGAAGTGTCCGACGCCGCATGTTTGCCATTCTTGCTCTCTCCGGATATGATGGATTTATCTTTATCACTTCTTGAGTGATTGGATCCAGATCACCACAGGCGATCCCAATCGCGATATCGGGTTCGATGTCATTGCCAATAAAGGTCAATCCCTCGTGGGCGCTATTCGGCAGTGGATTAAGAGTGACCAGCTTTCTAGCTCTTGGGCAAAAGACTCGCTGGTGAAGAAACGTGAGTTCGGCTCGTTTGAACTCCTCTAAATAGTTCGGAGGCACACGACTCTGTCCTTCGAATTGCACGATTTTGACTACTTTCTCCACCGTCTTGTACCTTCTAAGTTTCCGATAGGCGGTTTTTAACCCGAGTTTCGGAATGTTAGGGAGATAGTCGCACCCGCTGAGGATGCACATCTGCCGAAAGTTTTCATCCGTCCAGCCTGTAAGGCTAACATCTCGACAGGCAGAAAAGTTACTCCTGTTGATCTCAATGCAATCGCCGTGCTTATCGAGCTTCGAGAGCAAGACCTTCGCACCGAATACAAGCATATCCGAATCCTCTGAAATGATCCCGTTGACTATGCCCTCCTTTTCGAGATAGACCAACTGTGCGTCTGCCTCGTACGGGGCAACGATATATTGCACGTTCAACTTTTTCAACTCTTCGATGAGCATCCGAGCCATGTATGGGGTTACATCAACAGCCTTTTGTAATTCTTGCTGGGCTTGGGAGGTACGGCCGGTTCGGTAGAGCTCGAGACCCAATCTTTTACTCTCTTCACGCCGGGCTGCTCTGGTCTCCTCTGTTGAATCTTTACTCGGCAATCTCCCACCATCAAAGACCAGGTATGGAGTGACACCATAATAAAGGAGCATGCGAACTCGGTGCATGGCGAAATCGACATACCTAAGGTTAAAAACGGGGGCCAGCAATTCATATCGTATTCCAACAAGGGATCGACAAGGTAAAACATACCCGATCGTTTGATGATTGAGAGCCAAGTCAAGAGCAAACGCAACACTCCCTCGATGGAGCCATCCGTAAGCATCGACTCCAAGGGTTTGGCCCTTGAATTTCTTGACATTGCATGGCTTCTGGATGGATTTCAGAAGCGAGTGGAGGCCTGTTACAACGTGTCAAATGAAAATACTAACAGTTCAAAGCTCTATACCCTACCTGCAATGCCCATGCTGGCGATATATTGTGAGCTCCTCCAATGTTTACCCTTCGAGTCAGCAGCACATGGGCCAGACTATACAGCGCGAGGCCTGCAAATATTATGTCATCTTCATATTTCGGAATCAATAAATAGAGGGTAAACAAACACGCTCTATAGAAGGGGGCAGGTAGAGAGGACTACAGGAGTGATCGCTACTCTCGAGGAAAGAGCAACTGCAATCTTCCAAGGAAACGCGCTCGGGGACGCGATGGCCAATGAGCGTCCTGACGTCACGTGGAGCTGCATGCGATGAAGTCACGTGTTGGATCCATGTCTTTTTATCACGTGATAATGCTTCGACGCCAATCCATCCGCTACAGGGCAAAAAAACAAGACCAATATTGATTTATGTCCCAACTTGTTTTGTTTCCATGACGCTGGCTTGAAATGAGATGCCCTAGAGTTATGAAGCGCCAACACCACACTGAAACCCCCCTTACGCCTACCCACTACTTTCTGGCGAGATAGACACTTCAATGCCTCGGGCTTAGAGCGCAGGTGATGGAACTAGAATTATGCATCTCACATCTCACTGTCTCTGTACTCTAGCTATCTCCAGAATATGGTTAAAACAAATCTGTGACTTTTAAAGTTAATGATTGTACTGAGTATTCTGTAACCTCCAAGGGTTTCTGCATCCAAGTTCCTGAATATGTTAGCAAAATTAACTCCCCCACTTGGACAGAGTCCAGAGCATGCTGCGACGCATCGTAGTCATGTTACACACAAGATCTTTAATTGTTGGTTAATATGTGTACTTATAGTTTGATGATCACAAGATAAACATTGCTGGCGGTTTTTTTTGATGCTTTGAAAGGGGCTTTGATACAACGCTAGCGGCGCAACCATGCTCCGTACTCCGTCCAGATTCTTATCTTATCTTCACACACCGCCTTTTTTTTTCTGCAGGCTCCAAAAAATTCTCTGCCTACGGAGTCCGGAGTACAGTATCAGGCTGATGAGCTATTGATAATTACTGTGGCTGAGAGAAGAGACAAGAATAGAGCGAACGGATATCAGAATATGGCAAGGAACCTACAAAAGGTGCAAAAGCAAATCTCCAAAAAAAGGGGAGCGCTTGACGCCTTGCATGCCCATAGCAGAGACTCGAAGCGTCTCCGCCGAGCGAGTGCGAGGGAGGGGAAGCTGGCGCGCGCCGCTGCGGAGCATGTGAAGGGAAGGCAAATATACCGTGAGCATTACCTTTCCGTGGCATTGTCATTGAATGTCCTGTCTGACGCGATCGTATTTCTGCTGCAGTGGACAGAGTGAATTTCTTCAAAGACTCCATCCAGGATATTGCAGCGCCGCTCTCAGATGAGGAGGTGGCCCAATTGGTTACAAGGTGAGACTCGCGCTAACTAATATAGTTACTGTCTGCATTGTCTTAGAACTCCTGCTAATTTTCTTATCGAATATATGTAGATATATAGCGCGATATGCACCTGAGCTCACAGAACTTCGTCAGGAGAAGAGGAAAGGCCGGCCGCCGAGTAAACGGGAAGAAACACTAACCCAAAGAGAAGAATTTGAAGCGAAGGAATACGCCACAGGGTTCTGGGTGCCAGATCTAGGCTCGGAAGATAATATCAGGAGGCTGAAGGGGTGGAATGGGGATTGGTCGTCGCTGAGCAACTTAGATTTTGTCCGGTTAAATCGAGACGGCAACAAACAACAATCGGCGTTCCCACCGAGGGGACTTTCATGATCAAGGTTGGCCCGATCGCCGATTAACTTCGCTACGATATTCCTTGTCACAAATTCTGGTCTTAAACGTGGAGATAATGCTGGTACAAAGTTTGGTTGCTGATAATAACAGGCCAGCTAGAATGGTTGGGCATTTACGGAGCATGCCTCCTCAAAATACTTGGTGTTAATGGTCACCTTGGACTTACCTGCTCGTTTGAGAGAAAGGTCGGCGCGATGCCACTCGGGAGTTAGAGACGGCTGTTGAATTTAGCGCTTAGTTTTTTGCAGCTGAATACTCGCCAATATCCTCGGGCACAAGCTACAGTTGCATCGGAGAGATTAACTAACATTTATTCGGGTCGAGCCCGACCCTGCAAGCCGGAAAAGCAAGGAAAACAAAGGCTAAGCTCCCTGAGCAAGCTTTTCATTTATGACCTTGTTTCAGCGTTCCGGGTGCCAGGGGGCAAGGGAGCTCTAGTACCCTAACCTTTTCCCGCAGTCGCTCCACTAGAAGAAGCAGCACAGCTCAAGAAACTTTTCAGGCTAACCGTTTAACTGTATGATTTAAAATAATAAAGCCACAGCAAGACTTCAGCTGATTATCTTATCTGTTAATTCGTCCCAAAGGATTGGCTAACCCGAGCACCTCCGTCATTAGCATGGAATAACCTGCCACGCCCATTGCACAGTGTAGGGTCGTATTTCCGTTGGCTTTGGCATAGCACCGTCAACCAACTCATCTGATGTCCCAAATGCGGGAAAATATCGCGAGAGAGAGGAATGTATTTTCAGACTCGAGTTCTCGGGGCGGAGGCTGGTCCCTAGATTCATTGTCATCATACGATTGGGATGTGTGTTCTCCGAGGCAATTTTTGGAAACCCGGCTAATAACCGTCCAGGTTGCATGTAATTCATCGCCTGTTCGGGAATCCCGAATTCTGATAGGCGCCTTGGGATGCAGGGTGCTGCATGGAGTCGTTTTTCACACAAGCAATTGGCCGCGGGAGCGCTCTCAGGGTACTTCATTTTATCCGTTTATCTACTCTTCCCCGAGGGCGGGTTTGTATAAGGAGTGTAGAAGACGACAAGGAGCAAGCATGTCAGAAAGATGGAAAAGTCTCTCTGCAGCGTACGGAGTACTTACTTCGTATAGTTGGTAAAGTACTAAAATCCAGCCACAGTCCAACGACTAAAGTGAGTTCACAAGAGATAACAAATTTGCCTCCTCATTACTTGGGCTCGAAGCCAGGGTGCGAACAAGCAGCTACCAAGACCGCGCGGACTCTAGTAGTTACATCACCCCCACCGCTTCTTGAAGCTTATCTAGGCCCATGTATCGCGGTCGAATCCGTAACTGTCGCCATCCCCGTCGCATCCCTAGTTTTCCGAGCCCAACCACAGCCTAACAATGAGTCCATTTTCTTTTCCAAGCGGGTTTTGCTGCTTGGAATAGAACTTTGCGGAGAAGGACGCTTGTCATTTACCATCTCGTGTTGAAGAGAGGTACACGAAGTACTCCGTAGTGCGCTCCCTTTTGGTCTTGTCTGTTGGGTCGTTCCACGACCCTGGTTGGCTTTACACAGGTTCCACGGTTCCGCGATTAGCCATGTTGATCGGCATGGAGAAGCCTGGGGATGGTGGCTTGCACCTCCTGATGTAGCATTTCCGGTTAACGCTTCGAGAATTTCGACAGGCTTGGGTCTTGGGGGGAGGTGGGGGGGGGGGGGGGGGGGCGTTTTAACGGACCTCGTGTTCATGGGGAGGTAGCACAATGACAGAGGGGCCCGCTTCCCCAGATATCTATACAGCTTGACCCCGGCTGCGACTGTAAACCTTGATAGATCCTTTGGAAGCGCATTTGACCATCCAGTTGACCATCATGACGTGGAAATCAAGGCTCTTTTCCCGGTCAGCAGCCAGTGGCCATGGTGATGGAGAGGTCATCACGACGCACTCCGATGAGGTGAAGGGAGAGGGGAAGCCTGAGTCTCAGGAGCGCGAGATCGCGGCGAAGGACCTGGAGAAGGTCGCAAAGTCTCATCAATGGGACCCGAACCTCCCCAGTGAGCAGATTGACGCTATAGAGGAAGCAAGGCGGACTGGGGACGTTGAGATTGTCACTCAAGTTGACAAGGCCTTTCTCGAGGACTCGCCATACCCGGAAGTTCGCGCCGCCGTAAGAAACACAGATGAAGGAGAGGTGGCCAACACCGTTCGCGCATGGATTTTGGGATTGGTTTTTGTCACGGTGGGAAGCGGGCTGAACATGTTCTTGAGCATGCGGTTCGTTTATTACATGCCCCATGATTGTTCAACGTCTGACGGATACTGATATCCCTCCCAGGAGCCCAGCAATTACTTTTCCTTCAATTGTCGTCCAATTGTATGTATATACATGCCAGCTCGAGTGTCCACGATCATTTTGACTGCTACTAACAACCATTTCTTAGACTGGTCTACCCCGTTGGATGTCTCTGGGCGAAGGTTGTTCCACGAAGGGTTTTCAATGTCTTCGGGCTTCGTTGGACATTTAACACTGGTCCATTTACAATCAAGGAGCATGCGGTGATAACCGTAAGTCGGCTATTTTTCCCAACTCCGAAGACCATGCTCAATGTTCTGATACATTTCTGCAGATCATGTCAAAGTAAGTTCTTGGATACTTGAATCAACCGGATCTCATCAACGGGGTGTGCTCATATAAATGGCTAGCGTCGCTATCGATTATGCATATAGCACCGATGCCCTTCTCGCTCTTCAAGGAAAACGTATGTCCCTATAAAATCAGACAGGTTTTCGTTCAATACGACTGACACGATATACAGCATTCTTTAATATCAACCTGGGATGGGGATTTGCCTTGCTTTTCACCTTGAGTAGCCAGATGATAGGGATGGCTCTCTCCGGGATCTTCCGTCGTTTCCTTATCTGGTCTGTTTAACCTATCTTCCATCTATGACTTGTGAGAAAATCCATTCACTGATAACTTTGCAGGCCAGCAGCAATGATCTGGCCTGCTGTGTTTTCAAACACATCCTTGTTCTACGCCCTTCACGATAAAACTCGCTCGGATCCATCTATGACCAATGGCTGGCGAATCTCACGGTATCGCTGGTTCTTGTACCTTATGATGGCCGCATTCGCATATTATTGGTACGGCCGTTCATTTTTGGATTGCCATGTCCAAAGCTAACGTGCCAAACAGGCTTCCCGGAGTTCTATGGCAAGGGCTTTCGGTATTTTGTTTTGTAACATGTTAGTTTCTCCCCATGCCCGGGATCGACGCCCCCGTCTAACATTGTTCTAGGGATCCGACCCAAGAGCCCCGTTATCAACCAACTGTTCGGTGGATTTACGGGATTATCATTGATCCCGCTGACATTTGACTGGACGTTAGTATTCCTCGATATTTCTTGCTACCATTAAATTAACATGTTAACTAGATACATATCGAGTTATTTACAGAATCCACTTTTGTCGCCTACGCACTCGCACCTTAACACTCTGATAGGGCTTGGGCTCTTTGTCATCATAACCACTGTTGGAATCTCTTATTCTGGGGCTATGTAGGTATCATTTGGTTTTGCTTGAAGTAGGGTCTCTCATTTATAATACAGGTACTCGGATTATCTTCCAATCAACACCTCTTCCACGTTCGACAATACCCAGAATTTCTATAATGTTTCAAGAATTCTTGGACCAAACTTTTCATTCGACATTGAGAAGTACAAATCGTACTCTCCGTTGTTTCTGGCGCCAACGTTTGCCCTAAATTACGGGTTATCATTCGCTGCCCTCACCGCCGTTCTTGTCCATATCGCACTCTACCATGGCAAGGAAATTATTTACCGTGCCAAAGCTGCAAGAAATCAAGAGCCCGATATCCATATGAAATTGATGTCGAAATACGAGGAATGCCCCGAATGGTGGTATGCAGTCCTGTTAGCAGTTTCCGTCGCCTTGGGTTTGGCTACTTCCGAGGCGTATTCTTCTCAGCTCCCGTGTAAGTACCGTTCAACTCTACGACTACTTAACTTGTCTAAACATTGAATTTAGGGTGGGCATTTTTTGTTGCTACAATCATGGGGCTCGTCTTTGTTGTAAGTGCGATCAATTAGCCCCCCTTCTGTCGGTGTCCATGCTCACTCCCGGCCAGGTCCCTACATGCATGCTTTTGGCCATTGCAAATATACCGCTTGGTATAGTAACATCCTACCCTGTGAAAGGAGTTGGAGTTAACCCTCATCCTAGCACTAAATGTCCTCTCTCCTTTCATCGGTGGGTTCATGTTACCAGGAAAAGCTATCGGCGTCATGGTGTTCAAGGTCTATGCCACTAACACACTTGGACGAGCGTAAGTCTTTTGCCAATATTTGGGGCAGGCGCTCAAGCTAATCCTGGCTTACAGGCAAACATATAGCCGAGATTTGAAGGTGAAGTTCCATCGAGATAACTCGGGCCCCTCATATTAAATTCGTTGTGCAGCGATACTGACCGAATTAGCTGGGTCATTATATGAAAGTCCCACCGAAGACAACATTTACGTGCCAGGTCGGAGCCACTATATGGGCTGTCTTTGTCCAGATAGCAGTTATGAACTGGACTCTTGGTAACATCGAGAATGTTTGCACGCCGTGAGTTGCACTGCCGCATCTATGTTCGCGCAAGATCGCGACGTACTAACATTTGAAATAGCGACCAACCAGCTCATTTTACCTGTCCCAACGGTAAAACATTTTTCTCATCGAGTATAGTATGGGGTAAGCGAACACCTAGCCACTGATATGGTGAATTGTTCTTTAACGGCTGATTTTCTAGGTGTTATCGGACCACAGCGGATGTTCGGCCCAGGTTCCATATACTCTTCCATTCAATGGTACTGGCTGATTGGAGCGGCCCTCCCTGTTGTATTTTATGTTCTCATTAGGCTCTTCCCTCGATCCCCAGCAAGATTCCTCAATGCTCCAGTGTATGTGACTCTAATCCCAGGACTCCCTATTCGGGGTTGGACCCAGCTAACGACGAAAACTAGGATGCTCGGCGCTATGAACTGGCTGCCACCGTAAGTCCTAACTCATTGATTTGGTCGAGAGGTCCCATGAAACAGGGTTAGAACTTTGATATCTAACTATGCGTACAGTGCTACTCCCCTGAGCTTCTCGTCTTGGGCTATTGTTGGCTTGATTTTCAACTACTGGATTCGCCGCAAGTGGTCCGGTTGGTGGCATCAGTACAATTATGTCACCGCCGCAGCACTCGACTCTGGCCTTGTGATTGCCACGATCGTAATATTTTTCGCAATTACATTCCCAGGAGTTAGCCTCCCGAACTGGTGGGGGAATAATATCCCGTATGAAACGATTGTAAGTTAATGTAGAGTCAACACATTGCGTGTTTCAATGGCTGCTGACGCAGGAGAAGGATTACACCTACGAAGCGGTGCGTAGGACAGTTTCGCCAGGTGAGACGTTCGGGCCAAGAGAGTGGTAAAGTGGTTCATTGGTGCTTCTTTCCCCCCTGCTCAGATGGCCAGCTATGCCTTTTTCTTTTAACGCGGATTTGCCTGTTTTGCGAACTTTTGATGGCACTATCTGCTTCTTATCCTCTTGATATAAGAATTAGCGAATGATGGAACCTCTATACTCGTATTAAATCACATTGCCATCTCGATGGCTATCCACACGATCAGGAGTTCGATCCCTTCGCAATGCTAACCAGTCCTTCGAGTAAGCGCAAAAGAGAATATTGACGAGAGAGAACCATGAAACCCCTTAAACTAGATTATTGCTTGCACTACCCATAAAATTTCCACGACGGCTTATACTCCGGTGTTAAGGGTAAATCCTGCATTATAGCCCTGAGAAGTTCAATCGGCATCTGGTTTTCCCTCAGAATCCAATCATGGAACTCCTTTTCTCCAATAATTCCAGAATCCACAATCTCACGTCTCAGTGACCGAAGCTGTAGGGCACCAAGCATATACCCGGCCTGATATAACGGGGAATAATCACCATTGAATGACCGACGGACCTCGCCCTCCGCTGTGGCGCGTTCGTGTCCGACCCGCGAGACGAGAAAGTCGATGCACTCCTGCGGTGTCATCTGGCCCATATGAAACTTGAGTGAGAAGATGATGCGGGCGCAGCGATGCATGCGCCAGAAGAGCATTCCGATGCGGTTCTCTGGGCTTTGTGGAAATCCTCTATCCCAAAAAGTCATTTCCCAGTACAAAGCACCACCCTCGATCCAGAATGGGGTGGTGAAGAGCTGGCGATAGGGACGGTAACGAGAGGCCATGTAGAGTTGTAAGTGGTGTCCAGGAATGAGCTCGTGGAAGACAGTGGCACGGGAGAAGTGGACGTTGTTTGAGCGGAGGCTCATGAGCTTGTCGCTGTGGTCCATTGAGGAGGTAGGGAAGGAGACCCGAATAGATTCGCCGCCCAGGAAAAAAGGGGCTACTTTCTGTGCGGAGGGAGACATCATGAACGTCCTCCACGTCTCAGCAGCCAGAGGAGGAACGGTCACCAGATCATTCTTGGTTACATATTCAATAGCTTCATCCGCAAGTTCGCGAACGAGTTGCGGTTGCTGCCCAGGAGAAACGTAAAGATTCTTGACGTATTCTAATGCCCTACGCCAATCTTCTCCAAAGCCCAATTCCCGTGAAGCATTTTTCATCTCTCGTTCACACCATATATATTCTTTCTCGCCGATTGTGATCAGCTCCTCTGGAGTATAGGGTATCACTTCGGCTTCTAGGTCAGCAAGCAAACCTTCATAGCCGATTGGTTGGCCGACGATGGGGTCTTCTTCATCCGGATCCAAGCCAACAATGTTTCGTCGAATGGCTGCTGCAAGGTCTTCCAATTTCACAATCACTTGAGAATGCGGCTGTGATGTCCACCAAGTCAGTAGAGGCTCGTATCCTTCGTAAAAGCTGAACCATTCTGCGAGAGAATGATGAAGTTGCTCCACGGCACTGGCGGCACGGAAGGCGCTAAATTTGTCTATTTCAATGTCACCTTTCTCGAGCCTTGTCATGAGAGATGTTATCGCTTTAGAGATGTCCTCGAGTCGCTGCGCTGCGACCTGGCCATCCACCGGGGCCACCTTTTGCCTGTCCTCGCATAATTGAATAATGGACGGAGCAAATGGCCGTAGTAGGGGGTCCATCTTTTTAGTCCGAGTTTCATCCAATTCAAGTCGTCGGAGGCTCCGTCTCAGAAAGTTCCTCAGAAGTAGGAAATCTATCTTATCCTCCTGGTTGTAGGATTGAAATGGCAAAGCCTCCAGTTCTCCCAACTCTTCATGATAGTATTTTTTCAATTTGGCCACCGTGGTCGGTGAAATGTCGATTGAGTAGAACCTTTTCAAGCACTCGATATCTTCGGTCACCCTTACAATGCGATGTTGGATGCTTTCGCCATGGTCAATTGGCTGTTGAACGACAGGTCGACAGATGCTCACAGGATGCTGGACAATTCGTTTGACCATGATTCCTAACCGACGAGACGTAAATGGCGTTGAATGATCCGACCTTTCTCGGATGGCTCAATATATCTCGCTTGCCCGTTATGTCTACCACAGCAGGAGTTGTTGGCTAAGAAAGAAAATTGAGCAAATACGTATTTATGTACCCTCCGTCCATAGATTACTGCTCCGAATGGAGTATTTCAGAAGCGATCGGTAAAGCCGCCGGCTGTGGCATTGCCGATACGAAGGAGGAGACATTTTCCGCGGGTATCCGACAATCTGGTCGATGCTGATCTGCTCTCGCCCCAAGTTCGTTATGGATTGGACGTGCGTCCCCTCAAACTCAACGGAAGGGGCCGGAAAGGAGTGCACCACATGACGCAGGGTCCAGGAGCAAGGAGCTTTGTTTTCGGCATATTCGATATGTCTTTCACAACGTCAAGGACGCGGAGAGCATAGACTTTGGCGTGGGTCTAGCCAAGGGCAGGGGCAGCGCCACGGAGCAGTAAGTTGATTTTCGGTTGCACCCGTGGAAGATGTCTAGCTAGTACTAGCTAGGTACGGCGTACGGAGTAGAGAGGTGTAAAAGGTACACTCCGTAAGTTATCAGAGGGTCTGGATTCTCCTGTTCCGACTTAGCTGGTCAGTGCAAGACGCTCGCCCGTCTGTTCTCACTTCATGCTGTCCTCACCTTCTCCCCAGCCTTCATCTATCTCATGATTCCCAAGCAATTACCCGCCTGGCTGGCAGGAAACACTCCTAATGCTGTCAAGTATACATCATGCTCTACCCTAAACCCGCGGGATGAAAGACTTTGCCTTTGAGCCGAGTGAGGAGCAACCAAAACTTTCAACCTGAAGTCAGCACACTCAGAAGTTGAATGTGATTTGATATGTCATCAAAAAGAGACAGGGGCCTCCGTCCAGAACTTCCGGTCTATCCAGCAGAGTACACATTCAGCTTGCTCAGCTTCACCATAAGGCTGATGCTACTGGGCTCCAACGTAGAGGTGCAAGCTTAAAAGCCCAGGCGTCGCACGCAGGGCCCATGCGACCGGGCAGGGCAGATAGAAGGAAGCAACCAACGCCGTACGCCTACACCAGAACGCCAACACACTGGGGGAGTTGGGGAATGGCAAGCAAGCCGGTTTGTACAACTGCTTGTTGGTACACGGTCCTCCCGATGATGGCGTTTTTTGCAGCTAATGCCCTCTCTCATCAGCTCACCTGTTGATATGATGGGGCTGATTTTTCTCTTTTTCTCATTGCTTGAATTTACAACATTTCTTATTTACTATATACGCGTGCAGCTGGACAGCTCGATGCAGTTGGAGTTGTATCGCTTCTCTTTATGGGCCGATAGGAAGCATGGCTACATTTTACATTGCCGACATATGCTATTTGGAACTCAACTTTCCTCCTGTTGAAACGCCTTTCCGTGGTCCCTCTATGCAAAATTACACGATATCAAGGACACAACACAATTCGCAAAAGGAGACAAATGGCATCAAAGGAACCGCCGATATTTAACTCCTCCACCTGAGGCGGAGACCCATCTTTTGACACACGCCCCAACGTTGATGGCTGTTTTTCTTGTCCACCTAGCGCAGTAACCTGGGCTTCAACATCGTCTGCAGAGTCATCGAGCAAGTTATCTGCCTCTTGACCTGCTGTAATTTGCTCGACAGTTCCCTCGGTGAAGCCCGATTCCGAGTCTATTGCTTCGTCGTTGTCTGCTTCCTGATTTCCTTCCCCACTTTTGCTCTGCTCTTCTATTTCTACGTCTTCCTTTTCTTGCTCTTCGACTTCTTCCACTTTTTCAACCTCTTCAACCTTTTTACCTTCACCTTCTTCGACTTCTTCGACTTCTTCAATTTCTTCAGCTTCTTCAACTTTTTCAACCTCTTCAACCTCTTCACCTTCGACTTCTTCAACTTCTTCGACTTCTTCCACCTCTTCGACTTCTTCAACTTCTTCGACTTCTTCACCTTCTTCGGTCCTTTCACCTTCAACTTCTTCCACTTCTTCAACTTCTTCCACTTCATCAACTTCTTCGACTTCTTCGCCTTCTTCACCTTCTTCAACTTCTTCGACTTCTTCAACTTCTTCGACTTCTTCAACTTCTTCCACCTCTTCGCCTTCTTCACCTTCTTCGACTTCTTCCACTTCTTCGGTCCTTTCACCTTCAACTTCTTCCACTTCTTCGACTTCTTCGACTTCTTCAACTTCTTCGACTTCTTCAACTTCTTCACCTTCTTCACCTTCTTCGACTTCTTCGACTTCTTCAACTTCTTCGGTCCTTTCACCTTCAACTTCTTCCACTTCTTCAACTTCTTCCACTTCTTCTACTGCTCCTACCTGCCCGGCTCCTTCCGGAATCTCATCTTGAGGAGACTGCCGGTGATTGTGGCGAGTATCATTGAGGCTACTGTGATTATTCGCGGATTCCGTTATGTCATCTTCGTCAAGCTCGGGGTACGAGAAATCATCGGAGTCCACCCATTCAGCTCGACTGATTAAGCAAGGGGCTCACGGTCAGCCGTAAAACATCAGAGATGCAAAAAAGGGGAAAGCTTGGTAAGCTGGTTAGGGCAAGGAGAACGTAAATATGCACATACCAACATGGACAACTAGCTTCCCTGGGTGTGGACCACAAACTCGATGATGAACCTCCTAGGCATGTCTGCCTCCATAAATTTATACAGTCTGCGTGAAAATTTGAACCGCATCGAGCCATGCACCATGCTATAGAGGAACGGTTTGAGGTGCCGTGACAACTCGGTACTGCCAACCTATCGATAAGGCGCTCATGACAGATCATGCATTCTTGATCGGATGTTACACGTTTCCTGGTTGCACGTGTTGCTGATGTTGAATGACTGGCTTCAATCGCTGGCTGTGCCGGTTCATTAGGAGCAATTGAATGGCTCTCTATCAAGGAACGCTGTGAACTCCTCTGAAAGGTGTGGACCAGCTGTGGAGAAGGAGTTGCGCGGGGATAAGGGGTTGCAGGAGGACTAACGAAAACAGACCCGGACGTAGGGGTTGGATTATAGGTTGAAGCAAGAATTGCAGGGGAAGCAGGAGTTGCACTGGGACTAGGAATTGTACGGCGAGGAGAGGTTGCGCGGGGAGCAGGAGTTGCACTGGGAGTAGGAATTGTACGGCGAGGAGAGGTTGCGCGGGGAGCAGGAGTTGCACTGGGAGTAGGAATTGTACGGCGACGCGAGGTTGTGCGGGGAGCAGGAGTTGCAGGAGGACTTATGAGAGCAGACCTGTACGTAAAGACTGCGCTATTGGTTGAAGGAGGAGTTGCACGGCGAGCAGGAGTTTCAGGAGGACTGATGAGAGCAGACCTGTACGTAAAGACTGCGCTATTGGTTGAAGAAGGAGAGTATCTCGATCTGGTTGTTCTGAATCGATCGGAATCATTCTCCGTAGAAAGCCGATGACGTTGCCTTGATGAAGATATAGATCTCGGCGTATAGTTCCGCATTTCTGCTGCAAGCCTATTGCATTGGCTTCGCAGGTAATCAGCAACATCGCGCTCCCACCGGTTTACCACGGAATAGGCTTGATTCTGATGATCTTTTCGGCAGAGCATGACGGGTGCCAGTTCTCTCAAGATTTCAGAGACACTTTGTGCATTGTGAAGAAGAGCTGTACCTTCGGCAAGCAGATCCGCGGCATAAGCCCGGTTATGTCGGGCAATCCGATTGAGACAACGGCGGCCTCTACTTACAGCATACCCCACACACGTAGAATGCACATCAACACCGATAACATCTCCAAGGTTTTCCCCTAATGTGACCGGGGCTAAGGGCCATGTGTACTCGGAGCGGTAAGAAGAGCGATACCCCCGTCGGGAGACGGCCATTGTGGACGATCAAAGGAGTCAAAAGCTGTGACAGAAGATAATAGCTCTTTGAGAGGTGGCTAATGCATTGCCCTAGGTGAGCGAGAGCATGAGCAGCGAGACCAATATGATATACGGAGTACGGAGTATATATGTCTTGATCAACGGGGTGGGGGAACTCTCTTTTTTGCTAGATCTACACACCCGAGATGCCAAGAAACGCAGTCTTAAAGTCTAAGCCACTGTCCGAGTCGACAGGGAAAATTGTTTTGCAAACCCGGAATACTAGCTGGACGAGAGGCCAGAATTTATTCCGCTCTGTACGGAGTACTCCGTAAATTGCGGCACAGGCACCGAATTGATCAGCCACACACCATCTTCTGGTTCATGACGAAATACTACACGTGTAATCTCCTCATTGGCTTATATATATATATATAGCTGCGTCGAATGGTGTAAAAATTTTCCTTTTCAAAAGGTCTTCAAGCGCAGTGCATCTCACCCAAGCGTGGATAGGCCACCAGCCCTAACCCTAGCCGCCCTCGATTTCCCACCAGTGGGCACAGAACCGACACTGAGGATTATCACAAAATTTAATTTGATATATTACACCGTACACTGTACTCAATAGTCTACAAGGGAGATTCTTAGCATGAGACTCGATCTTGTTGACCAAAGTAATAATATAATTGGTCCCCCCGAACAGATCCAGCAGCCCGGCGTTTATGTACATAGAGAATTTGTTCTTGTGGGCGATGGACGCGGGGCGAGCCGCAACCTTGTGTCACTCTAGCCTGATTTGGCTAGGCAGGAACAATATGTATGTATGTACAGTCTTGGCAATGCAGGTTGATTCATTCCATCAGCCATTATTTGTGCCACCCCCGCATGCGCCCCCTTTTCCGTCAAGCACAGCCTCGGGGCAACGGATCGGAAGAAGGCTCAACTGAGGGAAAACGGTCGGTGGAGGGAAGTTAGTACATACGGAGTACTCCGTACTCCGTACGTCACATGCGAACTGGGCCGGTGACTGGCATGCATGTAACTCTGGCTTACCAATGGTTGATGGGGTCATTGCAAGGCGTCCCTCAAGATTCGAACACTCTAGGGGGTGCCTTCGACAGGAGACGTCTGAGGTCTTTTCTTTGTTTGATTACTGTATTTGCTGTAGCTCTTGGTCAACTTTGTCCCACTTTGAAATGTGCTGTATTATTATATGGTCGGAGCCGTTGAGTTCCAGTGCTTGATTGAGCCCCATCAGAATTGAGTGGAGTGGCCCTTGCACCACCGGGAGAGTTTTCCTAAATCTCTAAAACGCTCTAAAGTAGTTTCCATGAGTGGCAACCCCTTTTACGCTTTTTACGGACCTTTGCATTGTATCCAATTGGACTACGAAGTACGGAGTAGTTTTGACTCATTCAACGTCCGTCCATACCGGAAGCGAGTACTGTAATTTTGTGAACCCCAGAAGTTGGACCACGGCTATCTTTGTTGGATTCGCCAGTATCTTCGCTCTCTCTGTTGCTTTCCTTGTAGCCTTCCTCTTCTGCTTCATGATCCGGATTCGCAAGGCATTTTCCTGTCTCGTTTTCCGGAACACATTGAATCTCGGTAGATTTTTTAGATGGGGCAAGATTCAGAGTTGGAGGTGTCTTGGTATCTTTAGTTTTACTCCTGGCAATGGCCCTTGGTAACCAGATTTCGATTCGCCTTCCCCTCCAAGGTATCCTCTTGGCCACCGGCGTAGTTTCTGATGTAGGAGGCTTAGGAGGCCTGACATCACATGCAGTTTGTGAATTCGCATTTAGAGTATCAGAAACAGGCGTCTCATGGTCTTGTGCGGGCTTTCCTGAAGCTCTTCCACGGACATGCGATACTCCCAACAGTTTTCGCCGAAGAGGAGAAAAGGGGGAAAAGCGGATCTGGCTAATGCAAGCTGAAATCTGGGGCTTAAAACACCGTGATGCCCAAAACAGCAAGTTTTTCACTATCTGACATGTTGCTATTACTCCCCAGGTGAGGTTCAGCGAACTGGTCCAGATGCGCACCATTTTCTGCAGAAGTTTGTAACCCTGTCAGCCTTGCACTTAAAATGGTCGATGCTAAGAGGAAGGAAAAGCAGTGAAAAGAGTTATTACATAGCAAATTGGACCAAACCCCTTAGAGCACGAATAAGCCAGCCAAACACCCAGTTCCGGACCGTGACAGGTGAACATAACCACTGGGGGAGAGGAATCGATGGTGAATGTACCAGAGCTTGTGTATAGACCTTCAAGCAGCTTAAGGGCAGCTGAGGCCGTATTTGCCGCTTGGTAGTAGCAAAAGTCAATTGGCTGTTGCTCCTCTTCCACAGGACTCAACTCCACTGCCGCCCAGGGAAAACACACTAGATGATTCTGATTGAGGGGAAATCTTTTATCCTTTGTCCATTTACTGACGCCGCTCTGCGGGGACGAAGTAAGGCCAGCGGAGCATAGGGTCCCCAGGCTCTCGATCGTAAAATTAGTGACTTGTTCAAGGTCACGAAATCCTTTGGGAAGGCCATCCAGGTCGCAAGGCCTAAGAATTGGAATCCCATATGTGAGATCGGGCTTAGGACCTATCGGCTGCGTAGCAGAACGATCGACATTTGGATACTTTTTGGCTTCATCCCAGTGAACATTGCTTGCTCTAAAGGATGATGTTAGACTTTATATGGAGAAAAGAGGAAAAATGCGTTGGCTCGCATACAAATACCACTGATCAAAGAGATAACTATTTGATCATACCCCTCCCGATGTGTTAGAAATGATGAGACGCGTTTATCCTTCGAAGTGCTACTTGACTTACTCGTATCTCGTGAGAGGTGAGAAGGTGTCCTCAAAACTTTTAAACACATAAGAATGCAGGAAATGCTGCCATTGTTCTCGTGTAGCGTTCTTGAAGCAAAGGTCTCGCGATCTCTCCGCCACAGCCCGAAACTCCTCAATTTCTCTCTCAATAACGTTCTTCGCTACGCCCAAAGCTGGTGTTTGGAATTCAAAATCTTCAAGGTAGGCTGACTCCGGAGGGACCAAGCTACTCCCTAGGGGCAAGGATGTGATCTCATGTTGTGCGCACTCTGCGGCGAAGGTTTCCCTATGTCTGTCGGGTATGAGGAAATCAAAGGACAGGAGGGCTTCCATCAACGATTCAACACGTCCCGGCAGTCGTGATGGGCACTCGTCGCTCCGGTGAATTTGCCCGTAAGCACTGAGATCTCCCGCTGTCCACACAAAGCAAGATATCCTACCCTCTTTGAGAGTATTGTGATCTAACCTGGGCTTATCAAGCGACATGGTGGAATGAAGAGTACGTGTTGTCGGTTTATGATGTGCTTTGGGTATAAAGATTAAGGAACAGCTGGGAATCCCCCTTCTCTGATATCGATGTCCGGCTGTCATTATTGGGCCGGGCTCGAAGCGTGTATTTATTATGACCATAGCAGCTATATTTGACCTGCGAATGCTATCCTCATTTGTCAAGCTTGCCGCCGGCGACCCTTGGCATCCGCAACCCTGCATTGCGTCTGGCCATACGGAATAGAGGGTGGATGTCTCGGATAGATCGTTCGCAAGAACAAATCAATTCAGTTTCAGCAGCTGAATTGAATGGTCCTCTCCAAAATGGGATCTTGGGTCGGGTAAACCTGATTTGACCTGACCCACAGACCAACAGGCTCTGTAACAGGGCTCGACCCTGATCTTATAGGTTAGCTCGCCTGGTAGTTAAGCATGCATGAAAGCTCAGGGGAGCCACGAAAACCAATGGATTCCGGTGTTCAAACGGACTCGCTCGCTCTCAACTGAACCCACGGAAGCTTGCGGGCCAGATAAAACTCTGCTTTGCAGAAGTAAAAGACTATTGTTTGCTTCGCAATGTCTATTGTATAAAAGATGATGATGATATCTATCTTTGTAAATTATTTGCTTGTCGAATGTGCCAGAGTCTTTTTAGTTAATCAAAGAAAGAGAGCAATAATTCTCGAGAGATTATTTGTGCTGTAGTAAACAACACAGAGATGCAGGTCTTTATCTGACTTCTTCGGGAATAACATTGGAGTAGCTGCGGAAGAGATACTCATCCTTATTCAACCCTTTTCCAATAATTTGTTGAGTACTTTGGTAAATTAGGAAATCCAACCCGTGATATTAACTAGTTATACGGAATCTCGTGGTCGTCGTTAGTCAGCTTCGCTATTTTAGACGGCGCTTGTTCCTGGAGTTGCCAAGCCATATAGAGAGTGAACGGTCTACCATTACTCAGTACTTGCACAGTTTAGTGGAATTACTCTGTAAACAGATACCGAGTAGTTCTTAAGACTTTACTTTTGGCTTTGGCGAAGAGGAGCAAATTTATAGAAGTTTGTAGGAATGGTTGCAACATTCAATTGCACTTTTCATCAAGAGAGTCCCCACATTCTCCATCATCTTCAGTCTTATCAGGAGTATATTCTGGATCTTGACACTGGACATGCTGAAGATATTCTGTAAGTAGGGCAGGAGAACTCTCAGATTCAGTGATAAAGAGATCAATTTTTGAATGTTTGTTGGAGACATACACATTCAACTCTGTGTGTGTGTATGTGTGTGTGTGTGTGTGTGTTTTTGTGTTTTTCCTTTGGTGATGCCCATGACCATTACAACCTCTCCAGCGCCATAGACGAAAGCGGGGAAGTTCCATGGACAAGCCGAGTTCCGAAGCGCAATGTCAAACTGCTCTGTGGGAGAGAGGTGCGTCGCAAGTTTCTTTTGAGGGAGATGGACGAGCAAGTTCGGGCGTCAATTTTTGTGGATGGAAAACCAAAACGCAAACCAAAGCAGTGGCCTTAGAAATTGTTCAACTAATTATCCACCACTTATCGTTGGACGACAGCTTACCACATGCGCATGCGGTCGTTCCATGTCAGTCCCGCTTCTTGATGAGCAACAACAGATCGTAGGCGATGTTATACCTATTTGCAATCTCTGAGGAGTCCATCTTGTTGTGCTCTCAATATTTATCTGTCTGCGTTCTGACTGGCTCTTCATGCTCTTAGCCGTTGTCAATACGGGTGAAGTCTCTGCATCCCCACCCACGACAGTTCCCTTTTTCCATCTCGACGATTGCCATGCTCGCCGGGTGATCCAGGCGCTTCGCCGCATCCTCGCGACGGAGGTTGCGGAGGAGTCGTTTAGCATGCTGATAGATGGCCGACTGACCATGAAAGCCTTGAGGGCATGCAGACGCATCCGCCTGGGTGAAGACTATGACGAGATAGCAAAGTATACTGGGCCTAGCCAGGACACCATATCCATGTTTCGCTCTCTGCGAGAACAGTTCGATCTGTCACACGTACTAATAAAGGCATCTGTATGTTATGTGTTCCCATAAACCGACACAGTCGCCCTGATTCCATGATCCATTTAATGAAATACATGCCTAACCGTCTCCTAGTCCGCCGAGAGGTTCCAGCGCTCTGCTGTGCAGGCATCGTCTGCGGATTTTCAGCGTGGTCTGCTCGACCTGGTTGTTTCGATGGTCCATGACCTTGCCGTCAGCATTTTTGAAGAACTTCACCGGTCCAAGTACCAGAACACACCTCATCAAGGCCCCGAACGCGCTCTGCTCCCGGACTTCCGACATCCAAAATACCTCCAGTCTTATTTGTATCCACACGGGCCGATTGAGCTTGTCGGCTACTGGATGGAAACAAGGTTGTTTGGGGGAGTGGTCGTTTTTGAACATGGGAATCCCCTGGGTGAGGTCAGCATAAATCCCCAACCCTTGTCAGTATTTCTGTGTATCCTGTATACTTGTTCAAAAGTACCTTATATTAACCGAACACAGCCTGGAGCTCCCTGGATCCATTTCCCTTATGAGGGAATCATGCGGATGTCTGACAAGCAACTTGATGCTTTCACCCAACTTGCTTTTACAATATCCCCTGTGTCTGACGCTGCAGCAGTGAGCAATCTCCTACCATTCAAAGCCGAACCGGATGCACAATATGTTGATTCATTTGATGCCTACAAATTCGGCTTGTTTAGAAACTGCTTTGAGCGCAATCCACCCCCAAACATCAGTCGATTTAGTTGCACTGCCATGGGGAGGAATGTCACATACCCAGACTGGGTGCGTGAGTATCTCAAGAAGTCATGATTCCTGATGATGGTGGTTCAAGTCTTCTTCATAATTGCAGTCCCTTCCATTTCTATTACATCCCTTTTTTATTTGTATCGCTGTCGCTGGCCAACTGCACACTTGCTCTTTTTTCCCAAAGGCCCTTTGTGTTTGACAGCACATGTATCATATACTCAGGCCTGGAGCCTCCTGGTATGGTGTAGTCTTGGTTTTCAATTTGCTTGCTGAGCTATGTTTGCTGATTTCCAATCCATCTCTCAGTCACTGGTATACTCTTTGACATCAACACATAACGCGAAGGGGATGGAAGGAAGCAGGCAGGGAGACCAAGGAGGTCCTGAATGTAGATTAATCTTTGTTTAGTTAACTATGTGATTTCAAGCCTCTATTTATCAATGTTGTCCTCCAATTAGGTTCCCCCTTACATGAGGCAAATTGGCACATCATCGAGGCGTTCTCCATGTGTTATTATTCTATTGCCCTTACACACCTTCTCTTTGTTCTCTTTCCGCACAGTGGAGTGAATGGGATCTTCAAAGCACCAGTGATGTAGAAGTAGACAAGGATTCATTACTCCAAGTAGTGCGCTTTTTGCATTCCAGTTCTTATGGCCAAACATCCCGTGATATCATGATACTATCAGTCATGGTCCCTCCTGGCGGGGAAACCCACCGAGGGGGTTGCATGTAGGTGTGCAGAAATGCGAACCAACGCTACCTGTCAAACATCGAGTGCACCAAGCCGTCCAGGATCGCTCCTGAACTCAGAGCAACTTCGATCAAGTGGAAGGCGAGCTATCTCGGAATGTATCCGGAGGAAGTAAACGTTGTAACAAGGTTTCCGTAGGTGAACCTGCGGAAGACAGGTTTTAGGGAGGAGTTATTCTTTTTGCCAGGCCTTTTGGTCAACACATAATTATTGAGGCTGCCTCCATTATCATCTTGCCAGTCACCATTATGTAGGAAGCACTTCGAAATCCATTCTCCAGCCCAACCTCGGCTGTCATGGCCTGCCCTATCTTATATCACCATTGGACGAGACAGCTAGGAAAAGAACAGCTCAGATAAACTATAATTTGCACCTGCAATCCTCTTCATCGGACATTGGAGTATTCCTAGGTGTGCCCCTGAAAAGTGACAGGTCGGGCTTCATGGCTCAGGGTACTCAATCTGCTAGTAATCTAGAGAGTCTCTTGAGCGGTGAAGAGTGTCTAGCAGAAAAGAGAGCAAATATAAAGGCCAAAATCATCAAAATTATGGCTTTCAGCAGGAAGTTGGCAGTGTAGGTGGTTGTGCTAGAGGATGAAATGTTGCCTCGGGGGAATATTTAGACTTATGGCTTCAAGTGAAGAAATGCGACTGCCTTGGGGGATAATTGAAATATATGGCTGTGCGTGAAGAAAGGTGGCTATCCCTGGGCGACAAGTTGCCTTAGGGAATAAGGAATTCGTAGCTCAAACGAGGCTTGCCGCAGTCCAAAAAGCGCCCTGAGGATATTCATGCCCCAAGACTAGGAACTCCCTGAGGAAAGGCTGCCTTTGGTGCTGAAATCATGGCCTGCCTCAGTCCATTCAGAATTCTGCGGCAAAAAATGCCTCGGGGACCGAATTGCCTTGAGAGGAAAAGCCCTAACCTGGAATCAAGTGGCTTGCCTCAGTCACCCAGGTCCTAGGCGCCATGAGGCACAATTAGTTTGTTTCTCAAGGCTGTCTTGAACGATTGGCTGAGGGCACTCCATTCTTGCAGCAGGAAAGGCATCTCGTCAGGCGTCAACTCTGATGGCACAAGCCAGGCCTCCCGGTTGATTGAAATAGACCGATATTGTAAAGTGGCCGCCTGTGTTTGGTGGTTCGATCAATGCCTGGGCAGTCGTACCTGGACGGATCCTCGGTCTGTTTATTTTCCGAGTCCGTGCCAAGAGATTATAGCAAGCTAATTACGAATAAAGTTTTACAAAAAAGTTTCCCCGGCTCCGAAGAAATGTTGGCCCTGGAATCCGCAAAACTTCGTTCATCGACGCTGAGCAGCCACTTGAAATCTTCCCATCCACACCCTGCATCACGCCCCCCCTTCTCTCGGTATTTTTTACTCTCGTCCCTCTTTTGTTTTAGTCTTAAAAGTTCAGATCACTTGCGCCTTATTACAATGGATCACTCCCGCGATCCCTGTCCCTGGTAATGGTTTTTCTGCTGTTATACATTTATCGCGATATGTTTGATCTACTAACTCGGCTTTCTCTTAAGGGTTGCCTTATCGGATTTCGGAGGAGCATTCTGTATGGGTGTATGTACACCAGTTTTGACTACCTGCCAATACCCCTAGTATCGACTGCTCATCATCGCTGACTTTTTCCACTCGACAGGCTATCGGCGGCGCCGTCTGGCATGGCGTCAAAGGTTTCAGAAACAGCCCCTACGGCGAGCGACGAATAGGAGCAATCACAGCTATCAAGGCGCGAGCGCCTGTTCTAGGAGGCAACTTTGGTGTCTGGGGAGGTCTATTCTCGACATTTGATTGCGCCGTGAAAGGAATTCGGAAGAAGGAAGATCCTTATAATGCCAGTATGTTTCCGCGGGCCTCACTAGTAGTAATCACATACGACATCTACTGACTCTCACTCCTTTTTTTCCTAGTCATTGCCGGTTTCTTCACTGGCGGTGCTTTGGCAATCAGAGGCGGGTACAAGGCTGCTCGGAACTCGGCTATTATGTGCGGCGTTTTCCTCGCAGTCATCGAAGGTGTGGGTATTGGATTCCAGCGGATGATGGCCGATAATACAAGATTAGATGTGAGACAAGATCCTGCTTCTTCCCCGCTTTCAAGCCTACTAAACCCAAGCTAACTGTCATTGCAGCTTCCTCCACCTCCAACAGACAAGGCCGTTGCCTAACTTTCCCCCATTTAATCCACCAGTTACCGCGTTATAATCCTTCTCGCAATGCTGTATAGCCCTGTATCATATCAACTCTTTTTTTATTTGCTTTACCTCCGGCGTCTTGGGCTACGGGTCATGAATCCAAAAAGGGCATGGCAAGGTGTTTTTGTTTATAATCCCTTACTCCAGGACTTTCGAAATATATATTTTCGCATATTTGTGTCCCTTTTCCAGCCACCCTAGACTGAAACCCGCCGTGAATCTCCAAACCACCAAGTCAAAGTGAAATTGGAGACCTTGGAGGCGCGCTTGGCCTAGCCGTGGAGGGAATTGGTATACTAACATTGGCTAAAGGCGCACTGAGCACAATCCTGGCAGAATGAAAGCTGATGCTGAAACCTGGGAGATAAAGTTTGGCGTGTGGAGGAACTTTTACCATGACTTAGGTAGTTATAGAGGGAGCTATACATATCGGTACAAACGTCGGTCGAATTCTTAGCACGCCCCTGTGCTCCAATTAATGCCAATGTATTACTTTCGATCTGTTTCTCTGGTAGACTTATAACGACACATATTATACACCCAGCACCTGGACTTGCTTTCCCTAGTATCTCGGGTCCCCTGCCTCCAGAACACAAGCCCCACGGCAATTCATGCTGCCTCTTGATATCTCTGGATCATCTTCGGGATTCCACCAAATTGGCATATTTCGCTAGTATTTCGACATTCTTGAGAGCGCCCCGGGTCATCATACGTTGTTCGAATAATCTTATCCGCCTCTAGATAATAAAGGCTTTCCTTGATGCCCATCTTCGAGACCTCAGATTCGCTGTAGCATTGGAGGCAAGTTCCGGAAAAAGCTGCCGCCGCACACCATGACCCTATAAAATTTGGGACTTGAGGGCACCCACTGCCACCGGAGGAGTAGTTAAGAGGCTGGTTAGTGAGATCATGGTTGATTCGTTCGGGAGTCATAAACCGTGGCCGGTGGGTTGGAGCTGGGGAAGGCAACGGTGCAAGTATTGCCGGGACATGGGGCAAGTCTAAGCGAACCCATGCAAACTTCCTTCCGTCATCAAATCAAGCTCGACGATCAGCTTTTTTTTTGACTGCCTCGTTTTCCAAACCCGCTCCCAAAATTTACCAGGTCAATTTACCATCCAGCTTGTACTTTGATAATTCAGTCATATCGTCTACACGATGTTCTCCCTCAGAGCAATTTCCCGTTCGCTTCCCCGAACGCTTCCTAGATCCATCGCCAGACCTCTCCGAAACACAGTTCCAAAGCATGCATTCACCCAGCCAGCATGGGGCCTAGCCTCCCGCCCAGCTTATGCCGCATTCTCTACAACGAGAGCTAGATGGGAATCAGCTGGTCAAGGTACTGTCTGGCCTCAATTTATGGTTGTTACTACACTATAGCTAATGCTGTTTATGCTCTTGCAGTCGACGTTGAACTCGCCGCTAAATTCCAGGACGAGCTTGCTTTGGAGACGGAAACTGGTGAAGCAGACAAACTCCCGGAATCGCTGAAATACTTTTTAGAAAATGGCCCATTTGAGGTATTCATATGCCCGTGCTGGTTGATTGGCCCTGTGCTAATAGCTTGACAAGATCCAAGACACCCCAGGCGAGGAAGAGGTTATTATGACCCGTAAATTTGGAGATGAAAAGTATGCCTCTCCCACTAGGCCTGATCTATTATTCATTTTCCTAATTATGTTACGTGTAGGATCCGAGTTTCCTTCTCAATTGCCGACCTACAGAACCTTGGTGCTGAGAATGATTATGACACCGCGCTTTCCGATGAACTCGAAGATGTCGACTCTCATGCTATCAACGAGAAAGGCGCCAAACCCGGAAACATCAAGGTGGCTCCAGAGGACAAAGTTGCGCCCTCTGACCGCGAGGAAGATCTAGGACTAGACGAGGAGGCACCTGAACCTGGATACCCCGTTCATGCCAATGTTACCATCGAGAAGCCTGGTAAGGGTTGCATGTACGCCGAATGTCTAGTTGAAGATGGCGTGACCCAGATCCTGGAGCTCCAATACTTCGAGAAGGCCGATATTGCCAACGCCCAGTCTGCCGATAAGCAGTGGGCTAGAGGCAATATCTACGCTGGCCCACCATTTGGAAACTTGGATGAGGACTTGCAGATCCTTGTGGAGAGATACTTGGAAGAGCGAGGCATCGATGCTGCTCTTGCCTCTTTCATCCCTGACTACATTGATTTCAAGGAACAGAGGGAATATGTCCGCTGGCTCGGAAGTAAGTTTACATTCTTGTCTCGGTTCTCTGCATAGGCGCACTTTGGAGCTGACTTGATCTTTTATCACAGACTTGAAGAAGTTTGTCGAAGTGTAAATTAATTTGCCCCATTCAACTGCCATTGGGCCTGAATAAAGATGCCCATGCCGGTGTCATCCCTCAACTCTAACTTCTATGCGATGTCTTTCTAACGTCATCATGTTCATTTAACTTTCACTGGGAACAATACCTGGTTCAGACACAAAATTTGTACCTTATGTATGGCTTTGGTTGTGTTTGGACAAGATGGAGTTTATTATGGCGGTTATGGCCAGCAGATAGTCCGTTTTTGCCTCTTTCCTCCGTGTAATATAGAAACGGCGCATCGATGAAATTCCTACTGGTGCATACACAGTAATCTGGGGATCATACTTCGCTCTTCTATGCCCGCCAGGTAAACTTAATTCGATGATACTCCTTACTCCATTCCAGAGCTTGACAATGTTGTTCGAAACATTGGCTCAAGATCCGATTATATCTCCAAAGTCGTCATGTCCTGCCACGGGGTAGAGAAATATAAAACGCATTCGCTAGGCATCCGAACCTCGAAGTCTACTACAGACACTCAATCAGGAAGAACCGATACGCATCCCTGAACGCCATAAAAATTCGCCTTTTCCCTGCGACCCAACATCTCCAAGACGAAGTCAATGAGGCTAAAAGTCCATGCTACCCTGTTCTCCAGCGCCATCCTCCTCCCTCTCCCTTTTCCCTGACGCCCGCTCATCCCGATTCAAACTCGCAACAAAGGTTCTAAAGTAATCAATATATGGCCTCAGCTTTGTCTTTTCGTAATCCTGTAGTCTCCTCTTCTTCATGTCGTCGCCATCTGCGCCATCATCTTCGTCACCGGCTGACATTTTTGTATCCGTCGCTTCAGGTCGATGTTCCATGTCCCATGCATTAATTTCATCCAACAATTCCGCCACCGTGGGCACCTCGAGGGGGTTGAATTGCTCCACTCTTTTCACATCGATAGGCACGCAGACTCGGCCCGTGCCCGGGTGCACGACAAAAGGTGACTTAAGCAAATGGATTAATTTCTTGCTGACTTCTGCGTCAAGTCGGGGGTACGTGTATTCTAGGATAATATCCTCCTTAGCTTCCAAGAGTGCCTTCGTGTCCAGACCCTGGTTTCCAGATGCTTTCGCCACGTCGTCAATGTCAGACCATTTCGACGAGCTGCCACGCGAAGGGGCAGACTCCCATTTCTTCTGAAGGGCATCTTTGAGAGACTTGTCAGGGATGAATTGGAGGAGTCGGGCGGCTTGGTCCGAGGAGGAGAAAGTATCTTGGTTGTTGAGAATTGTGGAGCGAAAATAGGGAATGAGGATATTTCGACTGCGCTCAACATGGGGATGGAGAGGCCGCTTCAAATTTACGCGTTTCCCGCTCTGTGCGCCGCCGCGGACAACCTCTAGGTATCCTGCGATAGCCTTTCTTCTTTCATCGGTGAGGTTCCTTGCTCGCTGATCGCATACCCAAGCGTGAGCACCTCGGCGACCAGAATAGACCCAGAGTATATGTTCGAAACCAAAATCGTCACGTAGAGCTCTGTCGATTACTTTAATCGCCATTGTCACAAACGCCCAGCACTTCGGACAGATGTTTGCCTTCTCGCAGCATGTTCGAATATCATCGTAATCTGTCAAGTCGATATCAAAAACCAATTCTTTGGAAACCGGTCTAAATGCGCTGGACTTGCGAAGTGATTTGCGGTCGCGTGGATTTGTGCTGTAAACAGGGCCAATTTCAAATCTCGAGGGGTTGAGGCGCAGGATATCCTTGCGGAGACTATAAAATATCAGCTAACAATATATGGTCCAACCTCTGAGCATGAAATTGCTAATCCTACCCTTCAGCCGTGGGGTATGATTGATACCGTAAATATGCGTCGTTTTGGAGGGTGAATGCAAACTCTCGATTCCCAAAATCTACGGAAGGTTTTATCCCATGATTCAACCATTGAAATAAATATTTAAATGGAAACAAGCGCTGGTAAAACGCATACATCGTCTCCATGTCAATTTTCGCAGGCTGAGGCCCCGGATTCCTATCGCCCACAATATCAGCACTCGATCGCCCTGTGTGACTGTGCGGGGTCAAGACTATGAGTCGTACTCTGCGTTTTCGGATTGAGAGCCATGTGAGGCCGGTTCTGTGGCACTGGAAAATGGATACTCATCATCGTCGTCATCGTCCTTGAATAAATCTTCTAGTTTCACATTACTCGTTCCTTGCGCTGCCGTGCGTTCGTTTGGATCGTGTGCATTCCCGTCTTGGGCCTTTGGCGCCTCCGCATTCTCGGAGATCGCGGGTGCGTCCGGAAGGACCTCGTCGTCAGACATTGACCGAATCCTCGAATGATGCGAATGCGATGGCAAAACCTTTGGTTCATCAATCTTCAAGGCCACCGCATGGGACTCTCCGGCTGAGCTGTTGTTCGAAGTGTGAAGTACGCGACAAGACGCGTGACGCGTTGAGTGGTTGGGTTAACCAACTAATTTAACGGGCAGCGAAGCCAACCTTCGTCTTGGCGCGGCGTTTCCATTTCCTTAAATTCCTAGTGGATCGTGGCGGCTAGTAGCGTCACTCAAAGATGCTGCATCCGTGCCGCTTCTTGGAGAGGAAGCTCTCTGATTAGAAATATCCATTAGGGTCTTCCCAGGATCATGTTTCTTAGAACTATTACGGAGTAGGCAGACTGGAGAAATGAAACTTGAAGAACAGAGTTTGGCCTTCTGTTGGGTTTGCCGGGCGGAAGTTATGCTTTGGCCCACGCCCTGCTGCAAATGTGAAAATGTGCTTGCTCTTTTTTTTTTTTTTTTTCAGGCGGGCCGAACCCGATGACTCGCCTCCCACCTGAGTCGTCTGGTGGCGTTGTCTCTCCGTCTCAATTGCAGTGGAATGACATTTCTTTCACCGTTTTCCAGTGGATTTATCTTGGAAAAGACCTTGCATTGACTGCCTTTTAGAGGCTATGCCCCTTGATAAGCTATTACCCTAGGATTCTACAGTATGTCACGAACGTCCACAGAAGTACGGCGCCCTGCATCAATCTACCGGACAGTATCCAAATCTACTGGAGTAATCCTGTCCACTTCCCCTGAGCAGGTAGCGGGTGCTTCTCACAATGTCTCGCGAGAGAACCTGACGGGCGAAATCTCTGCCAATGCGCCGGGTGCGACCCAGATATCCGCGCTCAAAGCAGTGATTATCATTGCAACAGCTTCAAGCATGACGCTCATGAATTCCTTGCTCACGGGTATTTTAACCGTGGGGCTACCTGTGATTGCAAAGGATATTGGACTGGCCGAGAACCTGCTACTCTGGTATGTGCGCAATTTTCACCATTTGCTATAGCCATTGATCCTTATTATGCCTCTAGGCCGGCATCAGTATATGGCCTAGCATGTGGTTGCACCCTCCTGCTCTCTGGCTCAGTGGGAGATGTAGTTGGTAGCCGACCACTTTATCTTGCGGGATGCGGCCTGCTCTCTGCTTTTACCTTAGGCTGTGGCCTTGCTACAACAGGAATTCAACTTATTGTCTTCCGTGCGATCTCGGGTGTCGCCCTGTCTCTTAGCCTTCCCAGTGCTGTATGTATCATTACGACAACGTTTCAGCTTGGGAAACGGAGAAACATCGCCTTTGCATGTCTTGGTGCGGCTCAGCCTGTAGGATTTTCCCTGGGGATTGTGCTTGGAGGCGTGCTCATTGCGGGAATTGGATGGAGATATGGTTATTATATCGTTGCCGCGTTGAACGTTTGCATTCTTCTCATTGCGGTTTGGCAGATCCCGAATGATCCTCGAATGGTCTCGCCAATTACCTTGAGGCGCTTGTACAATGAAATCGACTGGATAGGAACAATTCTTATCAGCTTGTCGCTTGGAATATTCTCCTATACCCTATCGTATGCTTCCTCTCCTCCGAACCACTCTGGCGTCTAAAATATTAATGCTGATCTTAGGACAATGACTGCTTCTATTCGCGAACTCGTTAAACCGGTCAACCTCTCCTTGCTGATCCTGTCCCTTGTTATTTTCGTGGCATTCATATTCTGGATATTTCGCCAGGAAAAGCTTGGACGCGTCGCGATGGTCCCACCCTCCCTGTTCAAAGCAGATGCGGCGTCTGCACCCCGCCGGGCACGCAACTTCACGGCCATCTGTATCTCCGTTTTCTTGACCTGGGCCGTCTTCAACGCCTTCCAGTACTTCACATCGCTCTACTTCCAGCGAATCCAAAATCTGTCAGCGCTCCAAGCATCCGTCCGCTTTATTCCCATGGTCATCTCGGGCGCCCTGACCAACATCGCCACTGGCCTACTGGTTCCTAGGGTGAAGGCCAACGTACTCTGTATTGTCGCAGCGATTGTATCCGCTATCGCACCCTTGCTTATGGCGGCCGCCAAGCCTGAATGGAGCTACTGGACAGCGCCATTTCTCTCCGTGGCGCTCATTCCTGTTTCTGCAGACACGCTGTTCACGGTGTCAAATCTCGTAATCACCTCTGCCTTTCCTGCTAAAATGCATGGTCTGGCGGGTGGAGTGTTTAATACAATCTCTCAGATCGGAATGTCTGTCGGCCTCGCCGTTACTGCCGTTGCAGCGAATGCTGTTACCGGTGATGTGGGGGCTGGTGACGAGGGCGACAGAAACGAGATGGTAGTCGAAGCAGTCCTGAAGGGGTATCAAGCGGCGTATTGGATGAGTTTTGCGGCGGGAGCAGTGATTGTGGGCTTGAGCTGGTGGGGGCTGAGAGGGATAGGCCGGATCGGTCTCAAGAGCGATTAGATTGTTTCTTTTCTTCATGGATAAAAGCTGGGTAAGGGGATAATAAAAGGTTCATTATTATGGATAGAAATGGCTTGCGCGGGTTTACTGTTAAGGAACATTCAACAACGAAGTGAGGTATTCTAAACATAGGCAACCGAATTTCAAAGCCCGGATCAGATAAATGTCGAGCCCCTGCACCAAAATCCATGACGTCGTAGGTTTAATTCATAATATCGTAGTATGTATGGAGTACGGTATATACATAGATGTATGAAGGTGGTATCCCCACATTAATGGGCCTTGACTGATTGGGCTTGGCCTTGTGCCTGATCTTTCAGTATGCCCTGAGGAATCTCACTCACTTGGTTATTCCTCGCCTGCTCCTCCCTAATCTTCTGCAGCAAGGTTGGATACTATCAATTTTGTCAGTAAGGAGAAGTGTCCCAGAGTAGGAGACATGAGAGACATGAAAGAGCACTCACCCATCTTTCTCCCACATCTGGATGGCTTTTCACCCTATTCATCAAAGTCGCCTCCCCTAGATGCCCCCACCGGCCCTTAGAGAATGTGAATTCGATATCATCCTCACGGATTCCATTCTTCTGGATGACTTCCTGCCGGAGGGCCTTGACGTGCTCTGGAACCTCCATACTTTCGAAAGTAGCATCGTAACTCACGCCCTGGAAGAATGGAACACTATACCGGGCGCCGGAGCCTCGTGCCGGAGAGAGAACGCGATGCGTTGTGCTATTGTCTCGTCAGCGACCCAAAAACACACCTTAGCCACCGAAATGTCGCGGTCCATGCTTACCTCTGGCAAACACCCTGAGTGATGGCCTCCAGCCCCTGACCAATTGCCACCACTAGCGTCCCATCAATGGGCGGGCAATCGATCCATTCTCCCCGATGGTTCTGCACCTGTAGTCCTCGATGATGACTTGCCTGCAACAAATAGCTCGTCAACATACTATCTTTGTGCGGACCGACCCCCTGCTGCTCTAAATCTCCGTCAACACCTAGCTCTTCCAAGTCAGGGTATTTCACGATCTTCAACTTATGCTGCTGATCGGCGTCGAAGAAGCGATTGAAAGCGTCGGACGGGAGTCCGATGGCCTCAGCAACAAGGGAGATGAACTCCATACTAATAGCCCCCATCTTCTTCATGTACTCTTCGTACACGGGCCGGAAGCGGGGAATGGACTGCTCATCGGGCCATTGGTTGGGCGCGAGAAGGTTGTGGTAGAGGGGATCGGATGAGGAGGGAAGGGGATGGTTGGTGGAGAGGTCGATTTGCTCGCGCCAATCGGTTTTGAAGCGGGTGATTTCGTTTCCAAGTTTGCTGTATCCTAATCACGAAGAAGAGAGTAGTGATGGTTAACTAGAGGTCCTCAAACGTAGTGGTGGAGAGATATCGCGGTCAGGGGGGTTGTATCGGGATGCGGGATGGCGGTAGTGGGCATACCGAGAAAACTGGGCGCATTCTTCATCTCAATTTCCAATTTCTTCTCTGTCGGCAGGTCAAAGAACCGCTTTCCTTCTGTGATGACATCCTGGATCAGTTTGGAGTCGATGCCGGTGTTTTTGATGTAGAGGAAGCCCACTTCAAGGAGGGCATGGCGGAGGTCGAGCAGGAAGGCTGGTTTGGAGCTGGGATCCCGGGCCTGAGAGAGGTCTAGAATAGGGATGGAATCGAAGGACATGGTTGTAGGGCCAAACCGAAGGGATAACTAGCACACTGGAGCAAATCTTATCCGTTAACATAGAACTGCGTTTCTTGGAGGATAATCGTCTTGAATATATTGCCCTGTGCTCTCGACCCCAAAGTGCGGGGAAGAATCTCGGGCAATGATGACATCTGAGGCTGGTGTTGGGTTCCCTGCGGAGTCATCCCTCGACGTTTCTCCGAGCGCTTGAAACTCGAGATCCTCGGCAAAGCCGAATCAGTAGCTAACCTAATAACTAGTTAGTTTGATAACTAACTAATATATTGAGAGACCCCGAGGCTACTTACTCCGTACACAGCAACTGTTCAGAAGGATATCAGACACTAATATAACTAACTAATCAGAGTAGCTACAGATCAGCACTCTCAGCATCGCACACTGATTGAGTATTTTTTGAAGAAATCATCTCATATCATAGCAGATCTACCATAAAAGCTCTATCATCTAGCTTGTTATATCAACAGAAGAAATACAAAAGCCCCAACAAAATCGAAAGATCTGTTCAAAATCCAAGCTGTGTGTTCACCCCTGCCCCTATTATTCATGCCCCTTTTATCCAGGAGGAATCACGCGATTTACGACGCTGATTGAAATAAACACATGCCAAAATATACCTTTCAATTCAAAGGAATAGCGTTGGGGTCCTTCGCCGTATAAGGAGGCGGTTGTTTCGACCTTACGAGCCGCCTACGAAGCAGGAAGGCAATGGCTCTGATCAAAGCAAGTCCAACAATACCCCCAACAGTACCACCCACAACCGCACCGACATTCTTCTCTTACCCTCCGATGGTCCGGAGGATGGAGTGGGCGTGGGTGACGCCGGTGGGATAGGCTCGTCTGGATAGCCGATGTAACCCATGTCTGAAATTGTTTCAGGAAAAGGTGGAAGGTCCCATGTGTTTGCGGCCGCTAGGTACATATCACCACCTGGGCGAACAAGGATATTTGCCATTTGGAAGAAAGGTTTTCCGAGAATCAGAGGGGCCCCAGGGGGGTTTGTATTCTCAACTGGCTTGCAGCGGTCAGGGGACTTGGTCAAGTAATCGGGAATGCGCACGTTCAGAGCGCTGCCAAAGAAAGTGAGGGACACGTTTCTACCACACCAATCTTGACGGGGAAAGGTAACACTTTCGCTATTGAAGTCCAAAATCACATCTTCTGACGTCGGAAGAGATTCTTGTTCAGTTCTAGTGACATCTCCCCAATTCAATATCGCCATTTCCACGTTATTGATTTTTTGCCTCCCTGATATCAAGAACGTGCCATTGTGCGCATCATTTGTATCGGGAACTCCATCGAATGATATCTGATGAAGGATGCGATTCCGGTCGTAGAAATGATCTCCTAGAGTCAAGGACCCGTTCCAGAGTCCCTTGCGGCCGAGGTTGAGGCAGAAGGGAACAGAAGGTATGGTCTCCTTGCGGTTTCCAGATATTTGCGAGAAACTTAGCGAAGAGCTTACGCCTAGCGACAGGACAGTGTTATTCTCGGGGGACATGAAGATACGATCGCCATCCGGATCCGCGCTGACAGCGAAGGGAAATGTTGCAACGTCGCTTGAAGAACCTCGTCCGGTGTTGACATTCCCGTTGCTGCCTATAACAATAGGAACTACTTGATAGCCGGCGTTGTCACCCCTGCCAAGCGAAACATTCGCCCCCCATGGCTTCTTTGGGTCATCTTCGAGGCCGACCAAGGGAATAGACCAGCCGATGGCTGGCGAAGCTGAACTACTCGCTGACGCGGCAGAGCTTATAGAAGTTGACGCCGTCGCATCCTGAGCAAAAGACAGGTGGGCGAAAACCAGGCAAAGGAAAGGAACGAGCAGGACCATCACTGATTCGGGTCTCAAACGAGAGAGTAGAGAGCCATTCTTGGGTGAATCTCCTAAAGTAGAAGAGAAGGGTATTGTTCACAGGAGCAAAAAGAAAAAAGGAAATGAAGGAAGAGCAGTGCACGAAATATGGAATTGATGCTTAGCCCCAAGCTTTTGAGCCTCCGGTAAGCGCTCTCGAGCCCGCAACGGTTGGCTTTAGCAGTGCTTGGGGGGGCGGGCCCTTTTTAGGCGTTGGGCCCCCATGGTTAGGCTGCCTTCCCCCCGCCAATTACAGGCGGCTACCGGGGCCTCCTACCACGCCTGGCAGTGCGATTTGCTAGCCGCAGATCAGGGATGGTTAAAAGGCGCGTGTTGGTCTGGGCAACGGTTTCACCCAAATAACCACGAGCTTCCGAGAGTCCAGCCAGTCCAGTTCACCTGGACTTCTAGGTTCTTTGATATTCCTTTTGTATGCAAGTCTTGGACCCGTTTCATATGATGTCTGCGGTGTTCGGAATAGGAGATCCACCGCTTCCGACGGAACCCACGTGTCGCCTTTGCTCCAGGCTGACTTGCTCGTCGTCCTCATCCCAGCAGAAGGCGATGTTGGTTTTGCTGTTATTCACTCCCTCCTCCAGCCTGTTGGATGCTGCATCAAGCTCGATAGTCTGTCGTGCTCTCTGCGGCCTTTTACCTCGTCCCACCCAGTGACTCGAGGCTAAACGCGTTTTTTTCTTGAAATGATACCCGGGATTGCTGCCCGCAGGTGCCTCTATCCAACTCTTGAGGCTAGTCCTTTGTCGGGACTGTCTGATGGTCAATTTCACGCATCGGCAAGTGCTGTCGCTCAATCAAAGTCCGCTCCCTTGCCTCATGCCTGAGTTGCCAGTGAGAGCTCACCAGGCCTAGGCAGAATTATTCGGGCACAGACATTTCCTTCCATTATCCTATTTTGTGTCCAGCACCGGGTCTTCCAAGGCGGCGTGACTATCATGTTGGCCTGGACCTCTTCCTCCCCGGCTTATATAGCTAGACTTTTCCAGTACTCCTGTCTATCGGACAGCAGTCTCTTCCGACTATGCGCTTTTCCTCCCTATGGTTGATTGAAGTCTGTTCTCTCCGTCGTGATGACCATGCGGTTCGTTGCCTTGTTTCTCTGCTTCTCTGCAACTTCCTAGGCCTATCTAGGGAGGGTAGGTAGCCTTCAAACTTCGCAAACAGTCCTCACTCCAACACTACTTGCGGGTGGCCCAAAAGCTCGGGTTACACCTTCTCCTAACCTTCGAGTAGACTCAAACGGCTGGGAGAATAATTTTCTTGCTACGGCGGTTGGGGACTGGAGAAATGTTCACTGTGACGACCCGAGGCTCACCGATTCCCTTGATCCTGCCAAAGAACGTTGGAAAGCTGCTCGGGCTCCAGGTAGTCAACTTTCTTTTTAGAGATGCACATTGTGATCAAAAAGAGTTAATCCTATTCACAGAACTATGGTCTAGAATTATGAAATCATACAACGTATTTCTAGAAACTGATCACCGAGAGCCGCTTGGGAATAAATCCTTTGATCAATTCTTCTTTAACATCTTTCACCTGGAAGACTTTCCGCAGTGCTGGAGGTATCAAAGCAACAGGTGCAATATATTGGCGAGATGCGAAGAAACAGTTGCACCAGCCGTTTGGTTGATCAAGAATTCCCTTGTGACAATGAGCACAGTTAGTATTGCTCCAGGGCCCATGTTTCGTTTTACGTCGTATCTAACATGCTAACGAAATCATAGTCTATAAATAGTGGGTTTTTAGCACTTGTCGGGGGTTTTATCGATGCGGACGCAAAGATGAAAGCCTTTGCTGAAACTTTCACATCAGTTCCACCAAAAGACTTGTCTGATAAAGTATTCAAGTGGATTCTTGATTCTGTTTCTTTTGCCGTTGGAATAGGATCTGCATTCGCGTGGAATGTTTGTGCGTGGCCCCCGTGCGTAAAGAGGTATAAAGTCCACTGACAGGTAGAGTGAAACAGGGATAAAAAAGGCAGCTGTATTCACAGGTATATACATACATACAACCTTTGTTAATTTCTCACGTAGGCCTGCTAAAATTCCCCAGATGATGATTATCGAAGTGCATGGAAAGATGTGTTCAACGCTGCCGTTGCATACTCAATCATTTTCAGCAAAGATGGTGCGGTGTAAGTTATCCTACCGCCGTTGTTGCTTGTTGCTAACGACAAATCCCAGCCCTGCAAAGACCGCCGCTGATCTTGTTCCAATTCTGGCACAGGCTGCAAACGGAGTTTTTCAAGCAGTAGGCAACAGTCAAGCACGCTTCTTAGAGGACACAATTAGGGCGCTTCACAAGGAAAATCAAACAGCACTAACTAACATGATTTCGGACGGAGCCATGCTGCAGCTTGCTTCGAATCATCAAGCTGCCTGGCAGGAGATTCAACAAGTCGTGTCTCAAATGTACTATGGATGGATGATCCCACTTGCATGGGCGTTGTCGCAAGAAAAGCAGAGACCTTTTGTGTTGTAAGTAGAAGCCGCGCAGCTAGGAGAACTTGAGGTCAGCAAGTCGTGGCTTACCCAAAGCTCGCATAACAGGCGCGTGGATCGTGAACAATACAGATGTGGTTACGAGGTCAACGATGATGTATATACCAAAGGTTTCAATTTGGGCCACTATATGTCCAGGGAAACGGCGAAAAAGACTCAGTGGTGCGATAAAGAGTAAGTGCCCCTTTGGCATCATTGGTGTTTTCGGGACCTTTTTTCGGCCAGATGCAATCATTGTGCAAAAATGCATCAACTTCTTAGACTGGCACATACACCGCTTATTACCGTAAAGGCGAATTGCTAATGTCTGCTTTAAGTGGCAATGCCTGGTTCTTGCTCAATGCCAAATATCCCAGTGATTGTCGAAAGCATCCGATGCGATTTGGATGCTCCGAACCGAAATATTACAAGTTCACACCTTTGGCCGGTGGTGACACGGAGACGTTGGATGGGAAAAACTGGGGAGGCATCAGAATCCAGTATGGATTTGAATATTTTTTTTTTTTTTTTTTGGGGCGTTTACTCTAATGCTTGCTTGCTGCCTAGGGACATTATTAGAAGTAGCTATGGTGCATTTCTCGCAAATGACCGTAAGAATGGTTACGTGAGTACCTCTCCTTTGTCATTTCTTGCGCGCAGAAGCTCCATCCAGACACAAGACCCAAGTCGTTGAATAACCGACTGACTAAAGAGCCGATTAGTCCTTCTCCTTGGATACTAGTGTTGTGCTCACTGGTGATGGGCAAGCCGTTGAAGCCAGACCGTTCCCTTTGTTTGACGGCATCACAACTCCCGGTATGTAGTTATGACCATGCTCTATTTTTTTCCACTCTGCCAATGCGGTAGTACTAAGCTTGGCTTTGGTAGGTTTTTTTAACTTGACTATCTGCCTGGATGCTGAAGAAGCTTCCAATAGAATATGGAATAGGGAGGAGGAAATATGCCCCACAGAACCCAGCTAAAAGCCAGTCAACCCACCGGAAAATGAGCTCGGTTACACGCATGGCTGGTGTGGGCTACATATAACGCAGTGGTCCATGGGAACGGAGTCTCATGGCTCAAACCCCTTTGGCGATAAGTGGCAGCTTGCGGTAGCGATCAAAGACTCCACGGGAAAAATAATTGACCAGGCCACAAAACAGCCTGTTGATTCCTCTTTCATCATCAAGAGCAAACTGCCGCACGAACTCGCCGTATCCATTGGCAGCGATAACCTGAAGGCGACACAAAGGCTCTGCTTCTGGTATTCCGATCAATACTGGTGTACGGAAGGGGCAAAATCTACCAATGACAAGTGCAAATTGGGTAAATTTGAGGGTGGCAAGCGCGAGATCGACTGCGGTTTCGCATGCCCTCATCCTCGTCAGGGTACTGCCTCAACTCCGCAAGTGGACGCCACAAAAAAAGCTCCAATAGCCTTCATGGGTAGCGGTGACGAGGACCCTGAAATCATAGGGACCACCAAGGATTATAACCCGGGATGGTGTGGCGTCCACATCCGCCAGGATCAGAAGAATGAGAAAGATAATGCTCAGAACCCGAGTTCCGATTACGCTCTTGAAGTCACCGTTTACGACGCTAAACAGAAGATGATCGATTACCTAGACAAGACATATACTTCAAAGGACATGCACCTGCATGCTCAAGGCCCACTCCCATACAAATTGGTGCTATGGACAGGTGCTGTTGATGATGATCCTGTCCACATGGCGTATGGTAAGCAGGAGTGGGACTCAAAGAACAAGGTCACTTATCATTGCAAACAGGGTAAATATGATGGTGGAATGCGCGATATTGACTGCGGATTTACGTGCTAGGATGCATGGAGCGATCCTTCTCCGCCACTCGCTCTCTTTCATTTCTTCTGCCCTCGCCCTTCTTCTGCTGGCTTCGCGGCTTCACACATACTAGGCCGGCCTGATCTCCCTTTTTGGGCCTGATATCCATTAGACTATTTCCCATCTTCCCAAAGGCCACAGTTGTGTGTTATTAGGACACCATACACCCATCAAAAACAACTCTATAAGCCTCTTTACATTGACTACAGTAACGTACTTGGTCTGCAGATAGGAGCGGGGAATTTGATAGAGTGGAGTAGGAGCAATGTTCAAACAACCAGGCAGCTTAGACCTCCCTGGTAGATCTTCTTGCTTTCTTCTCAAGGGCGAGTCTGGGTTGTGAAGGTGTTCTTCGATGGCCGACCGGCGGCAAAATGTCTCTGTTTCCGTCCTGCTGCTGTTTGCCATTGGTTCTCGAGAATGCTGTACAGATGACAAGGAGTGTGTATAAACCACACACCTAACAACCTAATTATCGAAGCAGATCATCAAGAATGCTGTTTCGGACCACCTGCAGCCAGCCTGGCTGCATAAGAAATGCGTGCCGTGCCAGATCTTCAGCTGGAAGCCTCTCTTCAGGTAACCATGCGAGCGCCGATCGTAGGAAATGTAAGAACATAGTACGGACATCCCCTTCCAGGCTCCGCTCGCGTATCTCAAAAGATTGCTCCGGGATAGGAATAGATCCTTTCCAGTTTGCTACGGACAACACTTGTTAGCTTGCAAGGTAGTTTGCAATTGCTGGGTTATAATTGTACAGTTTTCATCCCAGTACTGAAGACACTTGTCGCTTCGTCTTATGAACTCGAGAGGCGGGGGCCCAAGAAGTGACACCATTTCAGCTAGGTGCTGTTCATCATTCAGTAGGCCGTCTTTTCTTGCGAAAAAAAGGTTTCCCGTTTCGAGGAGATCCCAGTTCTTGAAGAACGAAATTAGTCGCACCTCACATGCGTAGAACATTTGGCAGAGATAATCCCCTTACTGTGAGGCCGACTGCCCAAATATCCACTTTAGAATCCCACTCCATGTCCAGAATAACCTCTGGGGCCCTGTAAATCCCTGGCATGACATCACCCTTGTGCTTGTCACCGATGCGGGCTTCACCAAAGTCGCAGAGAACAGATAATCCTGTGTTTATCGGCATGGGTCGCGAGATATAGATCGTGCGGTCATCAAGAACCTTTCTAGCGATTGGCTGGCTGGCCTCACCATCTTCAATTTCAGAAAGGGCTGTAAGATCGGTGATCCCTTGGAGAATGTTATTTGCAGATATGTCTAGAAACCTCAGTACTTGGGCCCCAAGCTTGCGTTGTATGTACCAGATAAGGAAAATGTACCTGTGTGGACAACCTTGGCTTTATGTAAATAGTCTAGCCCCAAGAGTATCAACTGCATGCTCCTCTGAAGCAGGGCCTCAGGCATCTGCTTGTTGGGAAACAAATCAAGAAATTCTGTGTAGCTCATCCCAAGAGGTTGGTAAAGCAAGCACTGGTGTTGGTTCCCAGTTGGACCCATGATGTTGAAAGAATCAAGTATCATGCGAACAATGGTGTTCCGGGGTGCTCGATGTTGCTTGCCTTGAGATGGTTGCAGATGGCAATTTCATTATTTTGCTGTTTGTGTGAAGCGCATACTTTGAGAGATAGATATTGATGATCCCTAACAGGAAAGTTGGTCATCTTGAAGTCACAGCATGCGCGCATATTTTGGGAAATACTAACACAAGGTCCCGACAAAGCCAAACTGTAGACGACATACCAAAGCCAAGTTTAGCTACTACTTGGTATCTCTCCACGAAGACCTCACCAATCGTAACTGGGTAAAAATCTCCTGGCACATAGGAGGGTAGTTCCTCCTCTTCTACCTTCAGCTTTGGGTCGAGAGCCACAAACCCCGACGAAGGGAATCTGCGTGGAGGTGAGTGAGAGGTTGAAGCCATGGTCCTGACTGCCGCTGGCCAAAAGCGGAGTAGGGAAATGGGCAGCAAGACATGACGGGTGTTTGGGAATGCGAGGAGCCGGGAAGTAATAATACTAGCAGGTAGACGAAAAGAGCCTCCGCGCATAATGATTGCAGCCAAATAAGGGTTGGGCCAAAGTACGCCATGAGGTGATGGGCGGCTACAGAGAATGTGCAGGTGTGGTGTGGAGGAGGTTGGGTTGGGGAAGATCCCAGTAGTTAGCGGGGTGGCAGGTTGCGGCGGGTTACTACCCGGGCGCCCCTTGTAACGCGGTTAGACGTCTTTCAGACAGCGCCGTACGGCTGGAACAGCAGTATCAGGGTGCACCCACCGGACGACCATCTGTGATAGCTCAGGTCAGCGGCTGGAGATCTCAGAGAAGGTCCTGTAGAGCAGGCAAATATAGGTTCTGTAGATAGCTAGATGCCTACATAGTATGATTATACTATTCTCTATCCCGTACGGGGCAGAGTGTGTGTGTAGCACTGCTGCTCAGCACCAGCGCCTGATGCAGCCGTGATGCAGCCCCGATGCTCTGACTGGTGAAAAGAGAAAAGAAGAAGCAATAATACTCTAGAACTATCAGTGACAAGCACCTTTCAATCTCTCAAGACTACTCACCAAAGACTCAATCTTGTCTGTAAAGAGATAGAGGTTCTCTCAAGAGAGAAAAGCAGAGATAAATTGTGAGAGAAGAGAGAAAAGAACTGCAGACTGGCAGAAACTTCTAGCAAGTATCAGCCTCTCCACAAATCAAATCTCATGCAAAGGCAAAAATTCCTAGGAGAGGCCATGCCATACCTCTTACAACTCACATTATTCTCCTGATTGAAGCCATGCCCCAAGGAAAAATTCTCAAAATCTTGAGTATAACTGACACATCTCAACATTTGCAAATCAATAGAAAGTACATAATTAAAGTGGATCATCTTGTAAACCACACAGGCCCAGTATATCTCATACCTAACTCATGTATATTCTGATCTATAGCAATCAATTATAACTGCCCAACAAGATAGCACCTGTCCTCCTAGGGGATGGGATCCTCCATGGTAAAGATTTCTTTTTGGTCAAGATGAGATTTGAACTTGCAATCTTCTGTTCAGTGTGGTCGACTCCCTAATCAACAGAACACCTACTTCAGAAGAATTCCAGGCCGGCCCTTTACCACTTGGCCAACCACCCCACCGACCATGTTGGTTGAGGACAAAGGAGCCCGAGTCGCTGAATGTACCAAACACATTGTTGAGGTCTGTCGGCACTATACCGTGAGCCACTGAATGGCATTCTCTCATTACGCTCTGATCTGTTTTCTTTCTTTTTTTTTTTTTTTTGGTCGAGGAGCGAAACGTTGATTCCTTCTGGAAAGAATCCAGTTGTCCAATCAATCTTATAAAGTTTCACTAGTTTCAGGTGCCTATTTTTGACTCCTGAGGGAATGGCATTCCCTTGATTCTGGAGCCTTTCCCTCCCATGTATTTGTCATAGAACACAAATAACTAGCTGCCACAGATGAACTGTGTCCTCTCCACCACTGAGACACAGAGAGTCCATTTTCAGGCCTTTTTTCTTGATCCACCATCAGTGAAAAATGCCAATTTGGTACCACTTCATGGGTGATACAATCTGCCTAAAATGTTGAAGGGCGTGTCTTTGCATCCTGATGCCCAATGCTTCGACCAAGTTTGAGTTCTTAACTTGGAGTTATCGTCCAATACTATCCTCTCTGCTCTATATAAGTGAGAGAATCTCTAAGTATCTCTACTCCGATATATCGGAGCTGTAGGGCATTCGATATCTCCACAGTTTTGTCCAATCTTGAGTGCTGATATGTTCTCCGGCCCTGATGGGTTTTCCTGCCTGAGCAGTTGCAAAGAAAGCCAGCCTGCACACTTGTTGCTGGCAGCGATATCTTTCGCTATCCCGGGCCATATTATGGCTGCCTCCTTGGGAGTGTCCACCGGATATGAGAGGGTTCTTCTTCGCGGGCTCTCATACCGGGAAACTCGATACTTGGGCTTGGGTGACCCAAGACCAATGGGGTGGCGAGGAGCCGCCTGTTGCCCGTGAGGCCATTCCTGCTCATCGGCTTGCGTTCTCGTTTTGGCTACGACGGTCAGTTCCTCCTCCGAGTTTGGCACTTGGTAGACCGACAAACCAAAATGTTGAACGGAGATGTTGTGCCGGCCCATGACCTCTTGTGTGACTATTGTCAGGGTTGAGTCCCATTGAGAGTGAATATAGGAAGCCTTCCCGAACGGGTATGCATGTTGACCCCAATGGGTGGAACAGGAAGGCCGCTGCGTCTGTAATTTTTGAGCCTACCTTTCAAGGCGCGGGAAGCAAATGATCCCCGAAACGTTGACGAAAAGCTTCGATGTGAGGTGGCTACTCACATCTAGATCCCATGCAATGCAATGGCAAGGATCTGGAGAGGCCGACAGGCCATGACCGGGATGCATTGCAAACATCCGCTGCAAATGCAACACAGAAGGGGAAAGAAAAATGTGGAAAATGCACAGCCAAATCAACAAAATATGGAGGGCAGCAATCGTAATGAGGTCTAATATCTCTTAGCTTGACTTTTCAATGTGCGCTCTCTAAAGCCTTCTTGGCATTTTCAAGGTTCGCAAATTTCAAAACTTACATCCGCTTTAAGCCCTTGAACTTTCTCCGGATTTTGGAACTGTCATAGAGTCTCTATTGCCTCGGAACTTTGTAAATTGAGGCTGTTTGCTCCACTCGTTGAATATCAAATGAGCTACCATTAGAGGACGCGTGGCGCCGGTACTTGGCCTGCCTGTTTTCCCGGGAAAGATCTTCCAATTTTTGTGAAAGAATTCCATCCTGCGAAAATAATTCATGACCCTAGGAAACATGTCGAGAATCTTTCAAAGTCGTCGGAAAGGAGATTATGGATGTATGTGTTTCATAAGCCATAAGAGCTTAAAAATGCCATTTTCTCCCTGGGAGAGTCGACACGTGAAGGACCCAGGTTGAGATCTTGAACGTATGTACGGAATTTTGGGGGCCGAACCCACGACAGGGCTACCAAAGTATCAAGTAGTTAACGAAGAACTGGGTTCATTTAAGGCGGTTCACTGGCGATTGGATGATCAAGGCTGGGGACAGACTCCTCGGTCACGTTGGGGGTTTCCAACCGGAAGGGAAATGGTTGCACTCCGGTGTCGAATGTCCGTCGCACGAAAGGATAGAGCGACAGCGGAGCGTCTTTCTTGGGTGTTCATCGGCGGGCTTCAGGGACGTTAACGTCCGCCCGCACCAGGTAAAACAGATGTTCGACCAATTTCACAGGGAATTGGTGACCTGAAGACGGGCCACACAGTCAAGGCAGCATTCAACGGAAGCGACCTCACAAGATGCAATCACACCCTGTCGCCATCGATCCCCGGCCAGACCTGCAACGGTGGACGGAGTACTCTCCTTGGTACGGAGCAGGGACATACTAATTTATGAACTAGGTCAAGCAATGCTTTAACCCGTCATTCTGCCTGCTTGCTTCCATTTCTCTCCGAGTTTGCTCTGTCAAAACTGGTAATTGTAAAGAAATCGATCTTAAATTCAGTGGCGCAGAGCGATCCAACTGCCGGTGTAACATGGGCACATGAGGTGAGTTCACCAAGAAGCCCAGACGACCGTTGACTGCTTGTCTTACGGGTGCTTTGTCTGGGCGCTTGGCTGGCGAAATGTAAATTTTAGGCGAGGATCCCGTACAAAGGACGGAGTACTCTGTTCTGGAATTAATTGGGCGACCCAGGGCAAGGTAGATGCAAGCGACGGAGTAGTTCCATGCTTCAGTTAAAGGGTCAGCACGGACAATGGAGGACAACGTCTTTGATCCGTTTAGTTGTTCTTTTTCCTTCAGACTTCTATCGCGCGGGAAAACCTGACCAAGCCGGCATCCGTGTCCAAGAACGCCCCATGAAAGAACGTAGAGAGATTGGTTTTCCTATCTCGCTCCAAAGGCAGTTTCTAATATTCAGTCGATTCCCAACTTTAGATTCTTTTATGAGAACCGACATCCCGATGGGGTCTGTGCATGAGCTGGTGGAGCAGACCGAAGGTTGCACCGGCTCTCCGTAAGGGGACTGGGTCATCCGTCTGGGATGGTCTGTTTCGAGACAATCAAACCCGATCGAAACCTGGATGTTAGGCGGCTCCTTCGAGTGACAATTGGAACCTGGAAATCTCGCTAGTTAGCTGAGCCAAGAGAGTGAGCAATCCCCGGTTTGGCACCTTGGCACACCAGGAGGTGAAGCAAACAGTGCGAGCGAGAGATTTCATGTCAGCGACTTTCAGACGTGTCGAGGAAGTTTAAATAGATATAATTAGCTCACCATCACCCGGAACGATGGCGAAAGAGCGCGGAAAAGGCAAAACCCGAAGCGTCGCAAGTGGACCGCGATCGGTTGGATGCGCCAACCCACTCGCTAGTCGGGAGAACGCGCAAACAGGGCCTGATTGACCTTGCAACACCTCGTTTTGCCAGCATTGCCCAATCACGAAACCTGCTTTCAACACACCCTCGTGTTCTTCCGGCCTGGGTTGACGTCGACACTGCCGCTGAAGGATGTGCGCCGTAGAGTCCACGCCCGTGCTCGGCGACAGCTCTGCCTTCACATCGCATGCAACTGGCGGAGGAACGGACGCGCACTGTTCCACTCAACGATATGGACAGCTGTCGCCCGGCCCTGCGCACACGTCCCTCCGATCTTCGCAACCGTGTGTTGATGGTCACCCTGCGAGGCGGTGTCACAAGAAGACCGGAACTCTGACCGGAATAAGAAGATGCCAGTACCGCCGCAGAAACCTGTTATTCCCTCCCCAGGCGAGTCTGTAGAAAGACCGTTGCGGTTTCTGGTCGTCGGAACCGCCGCTTTTGCAGCTCATTCACCCTACTTCTTCTTCTCCTCCTGGGCCCCAGCCATGATCGCCTTGGACTGCAGATCGCTATCCTGACTCTGCCCTTCATCAGCAACAACGTCTCTGTCCGGAGAAATAATTATTGCTGACTCGATCCTTGCTGCGGACACCTGGTAAACTATTGGCAGGGCCTCTTTCTCTCCGTCTCAAGGATTCAGTCCCGAGCTACTCTGTATTGGGGTCTGGTTTTCTATTCTTGACCTGAGTTCAGTGTCGTTGAAGAGCTCCAGAGGTTGCACCACCTCCGAAGCCCTCGATTGCTATCCATTCGACTTTCTTCTTCTTCTTCTTCTTTTTGTTGCTGGCCTGTCTATGCTCTGTTCCTATCCTTCTCTCATCGCTAGCCAACAATCAAGCTCTTCTTTACCTGCTCCCACATACGCCGAGAGTCAAGAAACATTCCGTATCATCACAGATGCGCACTGCCTACACCGTAGCAGCTTCATTACCGTGCCCTTCGGTCGCATCAGACCGTCGATTTCTTCGTTGCAATCACCACAGGGTGCTGCTGGTGTCATAGTGCAAGCTCATTGTCGCCATTATGATCTGTCTTCATGCTGGCCCTCCTAAACGGCCTTTAGTCGCCACTTTGGCCGTTTTCACCTTTTTCGCTCTCCTCTACCTTTCGCACCTGACATGGAGATCTACCGGGCGCTCGCGAATCAAATATTCTGCCCCCAAACATAGCTCGTCGATCCCCCCAGCTGCTAACACGCCACTACGTCCGCCAGAGCTTGCTAAACCGGAAAACCTCACCATCAGCGGAATGGTATTCTTTGGGCGCCGCAGCAGGGTCAGGTCTTTACACTGCTATCTTGAGGTTTGTCTCTCTTTTCACCTGCGAGTCGCAAGTGGTTGCGCAATTCAACTGATACACTGGCGTTCAGCGAAATCTGGTCGATAATGGCGGCTGGCTGGACGAGGTCCGATTCTTTGCCAACACCAAGGACAAAGATGATTTGGCATTCCTAGACCAGATCTTGAAGCGCTCCCCGCGATATAAGAAAATCTTCATCGAGAAACCTGTCTGGTGGCCTGACCACACAAAACTGTGGAGGCAAGTCGAAAGAGGCACCATGTATATCAAGCTTGACGACGACATTGTAAGAGCGCACATATTCACACAGATTTGTCACCTTTGAACGGTTGCTGATGAAGCATAGATGTGGCTGGCAGATGATGCGATTCCCAATATGGTCACCACGAAATTACACAACCCTGACCTTTTGGCTGTTTCCGCAAACGTTATCAACGGTCCTCCACTGAGCTTCCTACACTACCACCATGACGCTCTTCATCCATATTTTCCCGAACTGCTGCCGTCGAACAAGAAAGATGAGCAGCCTGATCCACGCCAGACTCCTAAGAACGATACCGAGAAGCGCTCCCTTCCCAGCTGGCGTCCATCGGAGCATCCATTCTGGGAGGGTCCCAACGACTTCGAATGGCCTCTGGAGAACGAACCACCAAGCGACGGCCACCGATGGCTTCGCGTCCAAGACGACAAGGCTTTGAACCGCACGCCCGTCGCCAAGTTGACCTACGATTTCTGGGGTCCAACTTACGAGAGCTGGGCAATCGCCGCGCAGCAGCACTACTCATTGCTGGAAAACATAGAGAAAAACACGCTTGACAGATACAAATTCTCGCCTCCGTGGAACATGCGCGGAGAGCGGATCAGAATCAACGCACTCGCTATACTAGGCGACGATGTGCTGGACACGGATGTTTACCATTGGCCTGACAATCGGGGTGATGAGGATATGATTGCCCTGGATTTACCTAAGCAGCTTAATAGACGTAAGTTGAAAGCCTTTTATTATTTGTCTTTCCTCCTTTTTTTTTTCAATATACTCCCTCCACCTGCGCATTGTGTGTGGCGTGCGTTAGTGACTAATAGTTATCGCAGATATTCTCATCGAAGGCAAAGCCCTCGCTGCACATTTCAACTTTATGCATCAGGGGGCTCTCACGAAGACCGATCTACTCGATAGATATTACTCATACGCATTAGATAAAGTCTGCAAACAGCCATTTATACCTTCTCCATGATGTTAATACCTCTGCATACCTTTTCTTTTTCCTCTCTTTTTTTCTTTTTTCTAAAAAAAAAAAAAAAAAAAATTGGTGTTCAGGATATCCGCCTACACACTTTATTATAGTGATAGTAGTGTGTTTTAATTCTTTTTCTTTTCTTTTTTTTTTTTTTTTAATATGTTCGGGCATGATAACCAATGTTTCTCAGATTCGATTCTCTGTATTATATATTTTCTTTATGCTTCGGTCATTTTGAACTCACAGGGTGGACATGAATGTTATGACTGGCCATTTGAGTGACGATTTTGAGTGTGCTTTGTTTCTGTTTCTCAATACGGAGTACTACATGAAACACATGGCTTGTGCTCTGCTGGAGTTTAGGAAAAGCTTCCACGGGACTTATGTTGGGACTTTTCGTTCCTTTTTTGGTTTTCCTTTTTTTTTTTTTAGAGCCAAATTTATTATTTTAATGCAGAAGTATAGAACTATATACTTCAAACTGGCAGTTCAAACAATTTTAATCCATGGTCTTCCTACTCTATGAGCAACTCGATTCTAGTATACAGTGCCAAAATGAAAAAGAAAGGAAAGGAAAGGAAAAGAGAAGGAGAAGGAATCAAACGTAAAGAACTGGCTCGCTCTTCAACAAAGCTGAGAGTCTCGCCCGTCTTCCGTTAACCAACAAAATCTAGCCTCTTTTTAAATTTAAACCAGTGGGGGTCTATGCCATCTTCCCTTCTCCCTCTGCACGATCAGGACTGCCGGTACTACTTTCGTCTAGGGTATCCAACCCCTCCACGCCGTGCTTCTCGCCATCGATCTCCGATCCAGGGGTGAAAGCGCTCCCCGCACCAAGAGAGCCGTCATTACTCGCCAAACCATACTGAATCATCATCTCCCGAATCTCTTGCTCGCTCAGATATGGCAGATTCTTGGCTGCGGTGACGTAGCTAGTGTTCTCCGTGAATCCTTTGGCGAAGATAAGATCGATCTCTTCAAGACTGCGCCGAGCGGTCTCGGGATAGAAGAAATATATTATTGGCAGGAAACATGCGTTGACAACAGCGAAGAAGAGATATGTACCCCAGCCGATACCTTCAAGCATGACGGGCGTTATCATGACGATGGTGAAATTGAAGAGCCAGTTTGAACATGTGGAGAGGGCGTTGGCTTTGGCACGCGTCTTGATGGGAGATATCTCGGCGGGATAAAGCCACGGTAGAGGAAGCCATGTAGCGCCGAAGGAAGCGATGTATGTGAATAGCCCGACGGCGGCACCCTTGGCGGCGCTTTCTGTTCCGGGGATCAGGCAGGAGAATGTGAGCACCATTGAGAGGCATTGACCGACTGTGCCATACAGGAAGAGCTTACGGCGGCCAACACGTTCAATGAGGAACCAGGAGGTGGTGGCAAAAATGGAATAGACGATCATGTTGACCCCGCCGAGAAGCATGGACATTGTGTGGGTCTGATGAATCGATTTCTCAAAGAGAATCGGGAAATAGTCTATCAAGAATCGTGAGCTTTTGTGATCTCTAGCGTGCTAATTTTAAGTGGAAGGCAAACTAACAGATCACCGCATTACAGCCACCGATTTGCTGCATGATCTGGGATGATACTCCCAGAAGCATACGACGGAAGTGCTGAGTCTTTCCGTTGGAGAAAACGGCCGATAGGGGTGCAGCTTTACCTCCTTCTCCGGATCTAAATAGGAATTAGCAAAAATCCATCCGGTCATAAACGTATCCACAATAACATACGCCCTGATAGAGTCGAGAACAATGGTCTTTTGTAATTGAACATCATTGTGAGACACTGGTTTTCCTTGAAGAGCAGCAATAACCCTCTCTCCCTCCTCGAATTTGTCGTGCATGCAAAGCCATCTCGGCGATTCAGGCATGAACCACATCCCGACAACAATGAAAACCCCAAAAACGACTTGAAATGCAATGGGGAATCTCCATGTCAAGTCCTCCGGACCGTAGGAAGCTCCGAAATCAATCCAGTATGATATCAGCGTACCAAACGCGATGACGCCGCCCTCGATACATATCAAGAGCCCTCGATTCGATGTACGAGAGCATTCAGCCTGGTATGTCGGAATCGTAGAAGTGTTCATCCCGTTCCCAACTCCTGTGATGACTCGCCCAACTATAAACTGGGCGAGTGGATCATGGCCGGGGAATGATGTGACTTGGATAATAACTCCAAGAATCATGATGGTTGCCCCAAGCATAATAGACTTGCGGCGTCCAAGAACGTCACCTGCCCAAATAATAAACATAGCACCAGCCAGGCAGCCTATTGATTGTGGTCAGACATGCTCCATCAGTGTCGGCTAAATTCGACATACCAATCTCGTAAATGGCTGTGACGAAACCTTGCATTGTGGCATTGTCTCTTGTAGCAGGGAAAACATCATTAAATGGTTTTGCGCTGATGATACCGGACATAATGCCCTCTATTATTGAGATATAGGGTTAGCTATGCGTTTACTGAAGGGTATGCGGTTCAACGACGTACGATCATATCCAAAAAGCAAAAATCCGCAGGTGGCCACCGTCGAGATGGACAGAGAGAGCTTTTGCCCGGTCATGCCGGCATACCGTGGTGCCCCTTCCATGACTGTGAAAGTCTTTCCTTGAAAGGATCCAATAAAAGGCCGTTGCAAGTCGGCAGATCAGTGGAAGCAAGTCAGCTTTTTGACAACGCCTTCCAACCAAAAGGCTCTCCCTTAGAGGGGCTCGGGATCGTATTCGAATGTTGAGATCCGGATGGCGACGGTGACCATCGGAAGGCGTAGATAAAGTGGGACAAAAGAATGGGGGAGAAGGAAGCCAGAAGCAGATCTGATAGAGGATGGGAATGGGGTATTCTATATATTTATCCACCCGCATGTGATTGCCATCAGGGAAGGACTTCCGATGATGATCTGCACCAGAAAATTGTGTACCTCCACCTTGGAAACCCACATGGTCCGAACTGTGACAATGGCGAGAAACGGCCCCAAAGGCTCTCCATGGAAGGTTCACACAACCCAAATTGAAGAGACCAATGACGATGGGTGTCCTGGAATGATGCCAGGAACACTCCGCTGAGCCAGACTTTGTATAAGGAAACGGGGGAACTCATTGACAGGAGTGGGTGGAGTTAGTTACATAAGAATGACGACGGTGGGGTTAACTAACTGTGGAGAAAAGAATCCGTCAATGGAAATTCTCTTCTCCAGCATTTCATTGTCCACACGGCCACTAGGCAGTGGACTGCAGTTGCCAGGATCATTGCCTGGTTGCCACATGTCTGGAACGGTTCAGCAGCTGAGATGAAGAGAGGGCCACGGCCGCTCTCCATTCTCATGCATCAAAAGTAATCCACTGGTGCGGAACACGCCGACGATCTTTATGGATGGATGCCAATGGACAATGCATGTGAAGATGAGTGAATTGGCATCGCTTAATACATCCAAGATTCCTGCTCAGGATTACAGGATACCAGCATAGGCAATTCTTTAAGCCTGCTGCCATCTCGGTTGTATTAAAGAGCCTGTTCTTTGGTAGAGTTACCATTTGATAACTGAGCGAACGCCACAGCGCCGAAGGAGCCGCCAGACCCACAGAAACGTGTGCATATGGGTAATACACCACTATAAGTACTGTGAATGAGGGTCAAATTTCGCCAGCAGATCGTAATAACGATATCCCAGCTTAAGATTTGCCCGCATATCTGGAGTTTGGATTCTGTCCGGAGCGCATCCAACGCTGGGATCGCGGAGGAGAACATTGGAAAGGGAAGCTGGGGCGACAAAATGACTGGCCGAAGGGTCCCATATCCTTTGCGTGCCCAAGGTCCGACCCATCGTCGGTATCGTGGCTCCCACGAATGTGACATGGAGAGCTGGCCGTTGAGGCTAACTTTAACTCGAACTTAGGCTCGGGGTGCTCCTTATACGATCGATTAGATAGTTAGACATCCTTGGACACTATCCGAGGCCGGCATACTGGTGTAAATGAATCCTTATGGTCACTCCATGGCGGTACAACCACCCTTGCGAGGTTGTTCGGCAGACTTGCTGCTTTCAGCGTGAACTACGCGATAAGCTTCTCGCTAAACAAGCTCGAAGCCACCGACCCGGCTTGGCTGACATCACGCAGTTCAAATTTTCCCTGGAACGATGGAGGATTAACCAAGCTTGCCATCACACTTGGGTGGGGTGGGGGGGGGGGGGGGGGGGGGGGGGAGGGAAAAGAAAAGAAAAGAAAAAGAAAAAGCCGTCTTGAGCTTCAGTCTATGGCCCGCGTGTAGCTCTTATTCAAACTCCCGCATAGCTAACTAGCCCATGCCTGTGCTCTCCAAATAGAAATCAGCTCAAGAATAGGCACCAAGGGGCTTCAATTTCATCTTTTACCCGGCAAAAATATCCACAAAGAACGAGGTCCTGATGAAACTACGCAGATAGCATCGTAGAAGCTACCCGGATGCACAGAGATAGCGATGTCACTTACCTTCAGGCTCGTTTCCAGATTACTTTGCCTCCCTAAGCTTCTTGAAGGACTGACCATTATCAATGAGCTAGTCAGGAAGACTGCCGTCTCATCTGAAAACGCTAACTCAAAACGCGAGGGAAGAAATTGCAATGCGACATCAAGACGTTGCATTTTTTGTCATTCAGACTCCAGAGCGTGAATGAGGCACCAAGGTTCAGGGGTGGGGAAAGGGAGAGTTTTCAGGAAAACGTTTCTGGGACAACATGCAAGTGGGCCGATCCCGTGAAGCTCTGAACACATTGTTATGGTTTCCGCTTTAAAATTGCTTCTGGTGCGTGTGGGTGTGAAGTATACATAACACATCCTGCTGAGCAAGTATTGAAGTATCATGGTATTCTTTGTTGAAACAGAAACTGGCTGTTATTGAAGAGAGGGTTCAAATTGAAAAGAGGCAAAGTATCAAAAAGATGTACACGGCAAAGTCCGCAAAGCAACCGGTATATGTGAACATATCAAGTCAAGAACAAGTGCTATCAACTTCGAAGAAAGTAATAAATGAAGGTGTATCTCAAGATGATTAATTCACAATATAGAAGAAAAGGAGTTAGGGTATCGAACATGCTCTCAAACAAAAGTCATTTTTAACCATCACGTAGCCGCCTAAAATCCTCACGATTGAATTACTACAGTACTCCCATGTATCGCCTCATCCGTCCGAAACCCAAACACCAGCCGATAGAGATCCAGTAACCATGCATACTGTCCGTTATGCTGAATCATCACTTGGACTGCCCTCGCAATATCTGGGGCCGAGGCACGCGCGGGTGGAGGTGCAGCACTAAATGCCGGATCGCCAGTCACTAGTTTCTTATAATTCAGCAACAGAGATGTTTGCCAGTGCAAGGTACCAAAAGCATCGGATGACAACGCTTTCGCAAAAGATGGAAGTGTATGTGCGCCACCGCGTTGGAAGCCGTTGTTCATAGCTGCTCGGACGATAAGCAGTTTGAGACATGTTAAGTTTGGGTCATCGGCAGGTGATCTTACGGTATGTGTTGAGGAGGTCGTGGAAGAGCGGGAAGGAGGGCGGGAATAACCCGCTAGAGTGGAGCTGGAAGTGGAAGCCCAATTTGGTTGTAAGGATTGAATGTTTCCGGCCCCAAGTACGAGTATATTGGGGACTTGGGCTTGGTCCGGAGAGAGCATGGTGGCGGTATCATCGAATATCGTGGTAGGAGTTTCTGGGTTAGGGGTTATGGGAACACCTTCGACGGCCTCAAAATATCCTGCTCCCTTAGCTTGATAAAAGGCTTGCGTAAACGTTGTTTGGCTTGGCCTTGGTGTTCTACGATCCGGGCGGACCTGCGTCCATCCTTCCCGGAAAAGGTCACATAGATCCCAGCAAGCCTGTACTGCAGAACCCAGAAGATCTTCGTCAGCATGTTTGCCTTCTCTCTTGCTTTGCCGCAGGTTGAATAACATCTCCGCGAGGCCCCAGCAGGCTCTCAGAAGTGAATCTGTTTCTTCGGCCAATTGGGTTCGCTGCTTCATTAGCCGATGGCATAATGTGATATAAAAGTCCAGTGTACGTTCTCGGAACGCTTCGGGCAAGTTTCGATCATGAGTATTGTAAAGATGGTTATTTAGCTCAAAACTAACCCGTAGAATGGAGTCTGCGACTTCGTCATCTCTTATTCGAATTTCGAAGAGCGCCTGGCAGAATTCTCGACAAAGATCCAAAGTTGGTCGAACATGGAAGGCATAGTCGTTGTCCCGATTTTCATACAAGTTTTGACAGAGTTTCCAGCATGATTTCCATGCCTGTTCTTCCATATCATGCCTACCGGAACCCTTGAACAGACGCTCTCTATGGATAGAGCTTAAGGTCGCCAGTGTATTACAGAGAGTCCAGCACTCAGAGAGCGCGGTTTTCAATGCACGGATTTCACAATTATGAGTAGGTAAGGGGACAGCATTTTCCGATCCCTCTTCAGCTTCCTCGTGAGCCGAATCATGATCGAGAGTCTCTGGTATATCTACCGGAATCATCAGCTCTCGAGACTTGGTGTTAGAGGAGAACGCTGTTACCTTCCAAGCTATTGGGCCGTGGTTTTCGGCCAAAGGCATCAATTTCTTGTCTGGTTTGGGCGCGTGGAGTTGCTCGATCAGACCAAGGCGCAACTTTCGTTGTCAATGGCGGTGGAGAGATCGGGCTCGTGGACAGCTAACCCAACCGTTAGCCAACTCCAGGAATCCTACTAGATGCTCCATGTCAAACCTTCTCCGATTGATTACCGGGGGGCCTCAACGTCCGGATCGTTATGTCGGAGTCAGGGGCAGACGACATTGTGGATTCATGAGGAGAATCTCCCGCTCGCTATTCCTCGTCAGTAACATTCACAAAGGCTTCGAGGATACTGTCATGACTGTACAAATTCGGCGAATCCAGGAGGGGCGTGGATCACAGACTGTGGGTCTTCCTCGGTAGGATGAGAGTTGTTTAAATGTATGCCAGTCGTTTGGAGCTACATATACCAGTTAGCATCTTCTCCAGGAAAAGCTAGTTAAAGATAAGGATTAGTCTCATACAGTAAGCTCCTGTGGAGGTGGCGGGCTTGAAGAGTCTGGTTCACTGTCTGAAGTGGTAGTGATGGCCGCTCTGTCGTTCATTAAACACTGTTCTGCCTCCACCGATTCCAATTCCTGATCCTGCGACAACACGGACGTGAAGTCCGGAGCATCTTCCATTCTGTCAACCTTTTCAATTTTCGGACTCGGGAGAACCGGGGGTTTATTTTGTGCTGGTACTTCGGACGGCCTATAAAACAGTCAGAGTAAGGCTCGTGGAAGACGTTGGACGCCGAACGAACAATGAAGACCTCGTGGATTTACACGGGCTCAACGTGCTAGGGGAGTTCGATATGGAAGAAAAGACGCGATCCACGGGGGAATGAGAGGCGGTGTACGCGGTTTTAATTGCAATCATCATTTCTTCGACGAACACCTAGCTTGCGATAGATACTAGTCAGCTCTGAGCCGTTAAATATGAAAACAAGACTATCGCTAGAAACGGCTTATAGTCCGCATCCTCGGCAACGTAACATCCATGATTGCGGAATTCCACAAAAAGAACAGGCTGCATCCGAATGTTCCAAGGAAGGCACTTACAATTATTATGGCGGAAGATGAGTGACCAACGATTCAGCCCGAGCCAACGATGTTGGTAACGCGATCAAGACTCAAAGTTCCAGGAGACCTGAGAGAAAGAAGCTTCCTCCAATTCCTTAAAAACGAAGGCCGCATCGACAAAAGGTGATAAATAACAATAGCGTAGGAGGCGAGCAGAAAACAGGCCGGTCACTCCGCGACGGACAACTCAGAGCCTAAACCTCCTGCTCCATTTGTGCAAAGAGTTGCGGCGTAGTCGGAGAGAAAAACGTCAGAACTTTCTGGCCAGGGTTATGGAAGCATCCACTCGGAGCGGTTTCAATATCGGTGAGCGTCTCTCTTCGTTGCCCCCAGATCGGAGGGTGATGCGGGAGGGAAGCGCCGGCTTCTACCAGTCACAGAGGGACCAAGGACGAAGGACGGCTGGTCGACGAGCAGGGATCTAGGCGCCGGCCTGGTGGCCAAGCCTAAGCTCTGAGGCCATTGGCGATGGTCGAATTTCGTCGTGGTTGTCCACAGTTGGATTTTGGTTGGTCCAAGCAAGGCACTAGGCTCATGTTTCGGACACCGCTGCATCCAACAATACGCCAAAGCAATTCGCCACGAAGATCGAGGAATGTTTGTCGCACTTGGTGAAACTCGCCATTTGGGTCCTAGCCGCCCTGTGATAATGATCCCGAGCTGTGGGACATGGAAACCTAGAAAAAAACACTGCTTTGGAAATGATGTTCGCCGAACGAGGTTGCACTTATCGAAACACCTTGCTCGATGGGCTGCGATCCTCTTCCGGTCGTTACTGAAGGCAAACTTTGAGCGAGTTGACGAGTTGTGACAACCCACTGAGGAGGGAGGCGTCCAAAGCGTCGGAGCCTCCCTTCGCCTGCTGTTTGCTTTTCGCATTTTCGAGAGGCGCTCGCACCCAATTGACTGGAAAGTCGGGGCGCCCCTAGTTCCTCAGTGCTGGGACCTTTCGGCCCCCATTCCGCAGGGCCCCATCTCGCGTGGGGGCTTTAGCCAAGTATAGTTAAACACGGCCGGCCGTGGGCAGGCTGTGAATCGTGAGGGCTATCCTGGGAGACCGAACCAAGCCAGCCTCTGTACCTCTTTTGGATGGTGGAGGACGCAAAACAGCCTAGTCTTGGTTTGGAGCCGTCACTCCCGCTCAGCTCTGGCACTTCTGTCGTCTACTTTAGTGGCAGCCGTCGCAGAGCAAGCTAAAAACCAAAGTTTGGGGAAGATGCGGGTGAGCGGTGAATGGCAACATCGTGTAAATGTATGTACTCTGTACGGAGTACTCTGCAAGGAGTACATACTTTCCTTATGTTTCCCGACTCCACTTCATCAAGAATAATGACGATGCGAGCTGAGAGGTATGATGAGAGATGAAGAAAGGTGAAAGTCTTTATCGCAGCGCAGACTAGGATGGCGGACTTTTAGCTTGTTTAACTTCTGGACACAAGGACCGCGGTTTGAAATCCATCAACCCGCTTATAAAGTTACTATCCCCTTTCATTTCAATGGCAAGGCATTCTGTGGACTACCAAATGCATATTCATCAGATCAGCCAAAGCCGGTTAACCCTTCAATCTTTCATTGGTAACATTCCATTAAGTAGTAAATATTACTGAAACTTGGGAATCACACGATGTGGTAACAAATCCTTTCACAATGGCTGATCATATGTGCAGAAAGAATATCCAAACTACACATGTGGGCCAGGAGCTTGGGCAGTGTCCCAGATGCAATAGTATACGCGATTGGTAAAGCTGTCGCGCTGGATTTTGGCTTGGGCAGAGCCACCGCGAACTGTCCAGATCGCTCGGGGGTCCATGCCAGATTTTCTCCAAGTTGGGGGCCCTTATGTCAGGTTTGGTTAGGGTACTGCAGACCATCCACCAACATTTCACAGTGGAAAGGGCAAAAAAAGAGGGGTCAAGTGGGCTTGGACACATAAATAGTTCAATTCAATAGAGTTTGGTATGTACAGTGAGCGCTCCCACTGGAGGAAGAAGGCTGGGCAATGCCTTTATTAATCATTTTCAAGGTTCACCCGCTCTTGAGGAAGGCGAATCTCCCAACCTTGAACCTGCCGGTCAACATTTTCCTAAATTTCTTCAACACCGTTTGGCCAGCTCGTCTTTAATCTTATCGTGGCCGATATCCCTACTCACACCACTAGACTTGGCAAATATTTCGATGCCGCGGTTTGCGTAGTGCCTATGATTTGTATGTAGATACGAAAGAGCACGGGCTTTTTGAAATGTTGGTTGGTCATTATACAACCGTTCACTGGGGCTCTCGCGTCCCAAGGAAAACGGGCTGTCGAATAATCCTGAGCTCCCACGTCGCTCACGGAGACTCGTGAGAGTTTATAGGGGCATCTTTGCTCTGTCGCGCTCGGCAGGGTTATATCTGTAGAATTCCACACTGTATTAGAACTAGATAATTCGGCTCGGGAGAAAGAATTCCAACTGACTTTAAGAGTTTTTCAATCAAATCAACGTGTGTCATGAGCATTCGACGGCAGCAGTACCGCTTACAGCCGAGTTGGTCCATTGCATCTCTGTTATCGCAAAGATCAGACAGTTTCCAAACATGTACGCCACCTCTCCATCTGTGAGCTTACCCATCAGGAACTCCATCGTCGAGGAGGCGTAGATACCGCTCCCAAAGGTCCCCGATAACCTGCAGCAGCAAAAAGGCATAAGCGATTGGTCAAGGGAACATGACGCAGTTTTTGGGGGCCACAGCTTACCTTTCCACAGGAAAAACACCGAACAGGAATGATCATTCTGAAGTCGTGCAGCCAACAACCAGAAGCAGTAACAGTTTCACCAATCAAGCACTGGTCCCATGCACTCAACAGAGAACAAGCTGCCGGCTGGTTACGTTCGCCATGAAGGTTGAAATTTGCGACTCGGAAAATTGATTATGTAACCGGATAAGAAGCGGGCTAATCCTTATTTGAATTAGTGTAAATCATGGGAGAGCTAGCCGAGATAGGCATAGTCTGAGCTAATCGAAAATTTTGGCTTTCCGCCGAAGAAGCTCGAACAGCGAGGAGCAAAATTCAGATTGCGAGCGTTTGATTTTGTTCAACTGGTCTGCGGGGGATTCATGGCCGATTGCGCCTTTGATCACATGTTTTAGGGACCGCCACGGTTTGTCGCATAGAGAGATCCCCCGTCACATATTCCTCTTGAACCCCAAGCCCGGATTTCCTCAACGATGAAGGAAAAAAGGGCATTGCGTCCAGACGGGTCGCCCGAGGCGAGGCCTGCCCGCGAAACTAAAAGGATAAAACACAGCAAAGATGCGGATTCATCCCTAGCAGTCGTTTCCAAGCATGGCCATAGCAAAATTTCAGCTCAAGCTCAGTCATCATCGCCCAAAAAAGCTTCCTCCAAAAGAGTAAAGGCGTCCCGCGCGCCGGCATCAGCAGAGCTCTCGGTGATGCCCAAGGAGGTTGAAGAGCAAGGCCTGGCACAAAATGGACGCTCCGATTCATGGGGCCTATCATATCGTAGCGGTGGGCGTTTCTTAAATTTGGATCCCATTTTCTCATCAGATGAAAAGTACGTTCCATTGCGCCGCGTTAATGCTAGACACTGGCCCCATTCACTAAAGTCTTTCTCTTCTTTATATAGGTATCTTCTACTTGCGCGACATAATGCTGTCCAGGTCTATTCTATGGCCACGTCTTCAATCGTTCGGACTCTCCAGATCCCCGATGACGTGCAACATATAACCGGTTACAAACTCTGTCCCGTTACTCCAAGCCGAATTTTCGTTGCAACCCGCTCCGGCAGTATAATAGAGTGGGACTGGACCACTGGGGAATGCATACACTCCTGGGACATCTCAAAGCGCATTGTCTCCCTTGACGCAATCCCCGAAACCAGAGATGATTCTTCACTCTCTGTTAGCCCTGCTGTTTATACGATTTGCAAAATTCATCGTGGAAAGTCTGAGATTTGCGTGAATATCAGAGAAAGGGATACCGATGGTCCGTTGTGGAAGCAGTCTGTAATTTACAAGACTTCCACGCACATCAACAACCTTCACGTCGTCGCAAATGGCAGAGTTATCCTCGCAACTGCAGGACCATACGTTGTAGTCGGTCAATCTAGTGGAGATCCACTACAACCTGCAGGAAACTTGGAATATACGTGGCGCGAGATTCGGCTGCCGGTATATGGCACATGTTTCGATATCCGGGAGCCACCGCAGCCACATAAGTTGCCCGCAAAGGCTCATAACCGGCTTTCTCCTACCGCAGCGGTAGACCTGGTAGTTGGAGACTCTGATGGCGCTATCTCGATATACTATGACTTCCTCGATACATTACTGCGTTGTGAAAATAAAGGAGAATTGGATGCTGGATTAGTCTCGCGTCGCCTCCATTGGCATAGAGAGTGTGTTAAAACCGTCCGATGGTCAAAAGACGGTAAGCAGCCAACCAATTCTCTTTGTTCCTTCACAGATGTTGATGAATCATAGGCAACTATCTCATATCCGGAGGCCTGGAAACAGTACTGGTTCTCTGGCAACTGGACACTGGAAGAAAGCAGTTTTTGCCACATCTGACCTCAGCAATTTGTAACTTGGTCGTTTCTCCATCTGGAGTTAGCTATGCAGTCAAGCTAGCGGATAATTCTGCCATGGTCTTGTCTACGTCTGAACTACGGCCAACCACTAGCATAAGCAGTTTGCAGCTACCTTCGAAAGATGATGTGAAACTGCACGACAAGTCTACAAGGTCGAGCAATAAAATGTTCAATGATAGGCTTGCAGCGGTTTTGCACCCCATACAATCGGACTATCTCCTCTTGGCCGTTCCATCCTCTCAAGCCGTTTATTCGCCTGATAAGTCTCCCAGCGCTTCGTTTCTGCAAACATTCGATACGCGGTCAAACCAACATATCTCTCGTCAAGCCCTTGCGAGAACTAACGTGTCGATCTTGCATACCGGCCCTGAGGGTACAGAATTGACTACACCAGAGGTCAAATTCGTTGAAATATCCTCCGATGGAGATTGGCTGGTGACAGTTGACGAATGGGAGCAATATCCAGAATCCATGGGGGTCTTAACACCTATTGATGAATCCGACGGGAGTTGTAAGAGAAAGGAAATATTTTTGAAGTTCTGGCATTGGAACGAAACCAATAACGAATGGGAGCTTGTCACCCGGGTAGATGGACCACACTTTTCGTCAACCGAGGGTTCAATGCCAGTTCGCGATCTTGCTGTGAACCCAAAGCAGTTGGGCTTTGCAACAATAGGAGACGACGGGGTGGTCCGATTTTGGACTCCTGGATATAAGCCTTCTTCACGGAAACAGGACCGCATAGTCAAGACTTGGCGTTGCTCGCGGTCCATCGCACTCGAAAGCCCAGTAGGTGCTGATACTGCTTCAGCCTCCTATGCGGGATCATGCTTGGGATTTTCAGAGGACGGTTCAGCGCTGGCTGTATGCTTCGCTGGACAGTCCAATCCTGCCGGCCTCGTATATATCATTGAACCTGAAAGTGGCAAAATCTGCCACACCCGCGAAGGGCTTTTCTCTGGGATACCCCGAGGATGCGGTTTCCTTGATCGGTATTTGATTGTCTTATCCGATCATCTCGTCTCATGGCATACAGTTACCGACCAAGTCATGTTTGCATTTGCACTGACCGATAAACCTGGTTCTCGCGCTTCTAACCGATCCACTCCATTACTTGCGTTAAATCACCGAAATCAGACTCTTGCTATCACGTTTCCCCGTGTCATGGATGATTCTGAAACTAAATCATCAGAATCCGAGAACAAATCTCACTTCCAGGTGGCAGTGTTCGAGCCAAGTGGGCCCAACCCTTTATTCCAGTCAAAGCTTAAATATGCTCCGCGAGCCTTGCTTCCAAGTGCTAAATCAGGAGACTACATCGTCGTTGATTCCGCCGCGCAGGTTCTCCAACTTTCGTCTAGTACCCAATTGGCACGGGTGCCGATTGAAAGTAGCGAGGTCGACTTGTCATTGAGAACTGGATTGGAAGATATCTTTGGATATCGTCGCGTTCTTCCTCAGCAGAACCAATCCGAATTGGATGCCGAATACGAGCACGTGCAGGTCAACAGCTTGGCGGATATATTCGACGTTGGACCTTCATTTGCACTGCCAGGGGTTGACGTTCTGCTTAAAGACGTGATGGACATGTTTGGCGGGAAAGCTACAAAGGAATAGGTGGCGGGTATCGTTCGTTTTAGTGTACGGAATGTGTATATATCATTGTGCAATTGGTAGATGAGCAGCTTGTTTGGAATAAGTCAGGCAACCCTCATCTGGAAATTCGCCATGACTAAAAGAACACTCCGTGTCGTCCCCAAAAATAATCGATTTTGATGAGATTACTAGCTCCTTTGGAGGTTAGCATAAACATGATAACCCTATTCACCATGACCATCTTTGCTGAGCCAAGATAACCCTATTGTTTAGCCTGTTTGCGGCTGTGTGAGTCACAGCTCACTATCTCACTATTTTGTTACCCCGCTGCTTTTGGTCTCTAGGACTTCGAGTTATATACGAGAGCGAGCCTCTCGCCGCTCGTACTGAGCTGATCTTCCACATCCAAGCTGTGGAAGATCAATCTCCCTGGGAGAATCAAGCAAGCACAGCACGCACGTCCAGTTAAAAAGCGACTTCTCACGTCAAAGGACACAATGGCATCGCCCGGCAAGCTCATCAAACCTCACCCCACCAGCTCCAAAACCTTCTACCAAACTCCTTCGCCCTACGAACGGCGGATCGGCTACTACCGCGGCGTTCGCCATGGCAATCACATCTTTATCTCCGGCACCACGGCCGTCGATCAAACCTCACCTCCTTCGGCGCCGCAGATCCTACATCCAGGTGACGCTGCGGCTCAAATGCGCGTCGCGCTGGGCGAATGTCTTCGTGCTGTGGAGGAGCTATCCGGGAATAAAGGGCGGGCAGAGGAGAGTGTGGTCCGGGTTCGGATGTATGTGAGCAGAAAGGAAGATGCGCCGGCAGTGATGGAGGCATATAGGGAGATGTTGGGCTCTGGGAGGCCTGGACGTGGGCAGGAGGGTGATCAGGTTTGTGCAGCGGCGACCTTGATTGTGGTGCAGAATGGGTTTGTAAGTGATGACATGCTGGTCGAGGTGGAGGTCGACGCAATAGTGGATGAGCAGTGATTATGAGTCAATGTATTTATATGGGACCTTCAGACGCTGTCACGGTCAAGCCTTGTGCGAGCAGATAAAACTCTGAGTATACACTCTATTGTGGGATAAGCTTAGCAACCATGAATGTTTATTTACCACAGATCCATAGACAGATGAGGAAACATTTGAGCAACTTGCAGATGAGTTTGCTTCAAAAAGTATCAGAGCAGGTATTCAGCCCAGCTGAGATCCTCTTGCTTCTGTTGGAACACAACCAGTCGGTTACTGATGCGGTGAATGATCTAACTAGTAGCCAAAACTCGGGTGGGAAGCAAGCTAAAAAGGGAGAATTCCTGCACCGTGTACTCTAATGCGGAAACCCATTGAAAATGGTCTTATTTGCAGAATGGTCAAGGATTTAGCAATATTCACAATCACTCTGAGCCGCAGTTTTCCATGAGACCGGGCGGTATGCGACCACGCGAAAACCCCCTCCATATAACTAGCAAATATTTTAAGACATATAAACTACAAAAAAGTATCATTTGAAAATCTTTATTTGTATTGTGGAGTTGCCTGACCTGTACTTTGTATGCAACCCCAAGTTTCGACAATACCCGCGGCCCGCCATGAGGTTTCCCCGCGGCCAAGAACGTAAACCTTATGAATTGCTGATCCCATCTAAAAGTTATCCCAAAACATTCATCGTGAATCTATTAGATGCCCTGTAACCAGAATATCGCTTTCTGTGAAAACACTGGATGCCAAATGCAACAGATTATAACCTATTCAAAGAATTTCTTCTTGCTCATCAGGCGGTTCGCGACCTCTTTATCATGACCAAACACCAACTCCGCGTTAAACATCCGCTGCAGCCGTTTAATCATCTGCAAGCTGTTGAACCATGCAGAGTGGTCGCGAGCTAGCCAGCCGTGTGGATGTGCCATCTCATAGTTCTCGGCAATGTGAAATTGATCCGTTGTGAAGATAAAAGTCCCGTCCTTCTCTAAATTCACCTGCATGACGCATAGACCGGGGGTGTGGCCGGGAGAGTGATGGATCGTGATGCCTTGAAAGAGGTCGAGATGGGGCTCGTTAAACGTTTGCCAATTCAGTTTGTCAAGGGACATGTAATGGGCGAGATATACGCCAAGGTCGGCACCCGTGGCAATGGCCCAGCATGCGTGTTTGAATTCCTCCTCGTGAACGTAGATAGGCACGTCGGTTCCAACGAAATGCTCCAAGCCACCAGCATGGTCGAGATGTAAGTGCCCGAAAACAACAGCCTTGACGTCCTTGATATCGTTTCCAGTAGCCTTGATGGCAGCGGGGAGTTTATGCTCCTCGTTGTAGACTACTCGAGGGAAGATATCTGTGAGGGGAGCTCCCCATTTCTACTCAACCAAAATCATTAGAAGGAAATCTCACATCTTCCACGATCCAGATACAACTCACAACTTCAACATTCTCCGCGCAACCGGTCTCGAACAAGATCAACCCTTCCTGGGGATGTTCAATCAAAACAGATAATATGATTAACTCTCGACGTTTATTCTCAGGGTTTTTGTTGCTCAGAGCACTTGAATTCCCGCCACGAAGGAGCCTGGGACGAATCAGTATGACATATATGCTCAATTGCAAAGGGTGGTGTGGATATACCAGCCTTCATCGCATTCGAGTGATCCCAGATTCAGCAGATGCATCTTCGTGCCTGGTGGGCAATTGAATGCCGGCAAGTTCGCTTTGGCAGCTTGACTGGCCATCTTGGATGTCAATGTTGTTGCCATTTTTCCGGACGAGTGTGGTAAAAGTGTGTTAGGGGGCGTGTAGGCTCTCCGAGACAAGCAGCAAAGGTGTCAGTACTTCAGACTCCTAGACACAGGAGAGAAAAGCAGATTTGAATACTGGCGCAAACCCCGGAGCGGGAGCCGAAATTTATGGCTGCTCCTGATCGTCGACCCCGCTCGGCCAAATATCATTGTCCACAGTAGCAGGCCGTCGTCCCCATGGGGTAAATCATAGTGAATGACCCATTGGCGGGGAGGACCACATCGTTACAGGAGTTTTGTGTGGCTAAATTGGACCCAACCCAGAGCCAGCCCCGTGGAGCTCGCGAGTCTGTTGTCATCATCTACCGATGGTAGGGAACTCGCTGAGCTTTGAAAATTCGCCGTTCAATCGAAACGTTGAGCTTCTAGCGGACAGCCATGTTTTCACGGGTCTATGACGTTCCCCGCAATTTCTCTCTGGTCGCTAGTTATGTGTCTAGCATCAGCTCGCTCGGCATCTGGGCGGCCGATGGGGAATGGAAGTGTCCCAAATATCACTTGTGGGAGTGGGGACGATGGTGCCACGGCCAAGCAAGTCGGAGCGCGGCACTCCGATAGAACTCGCACAGTTCAACCCTTATTTGACAACTGACCCGGTGGTTGTACTCCATGCAGGGACAATTATTATTAGAATTCAACTCCTTCTTCATGTTGAACTAGTTATAGAGTATGGAGTACTCCGTACCGGGATTTGATATTAGTAACACACACCAGAGCTATCCACATGCTGCCAAACAGCTTTGATCCTATCATGGCCCCATTTACCAGCTAGTTTGTCCTTGATCTTTTGCATCTCTGAGCGACGTTGTTCAACTCCCATAGTAACCTTGCGCGCTCTGTGAAGTCCGATTTGAAGTTGGCATGGGTAATATGCTGCCATGCTTGGGAGCATTCAACATAACGATAGAAATGGGCGACGAGGTCTTCCCGAGAGACGAACTGTAGCTGGATTAATATTATTGTGTATGCAGTGCCAGTAGGATTACGTCGCCAAAAGCTCTCTTCTCAATCTAGTATATCTTAATAATGGTATTCAAGATAATTTATATGATCTTTAGACACCAGTCACTAATGTATTATTGTGTCTTCTTCTCATCTAGACCAAAGAGAATATCAAGTTTCTCTATAACCATTAGATTATTCCATTTAATTCATCCAACTAGTGTATCTGAAATAGGTTCTAGGCCTTGTAACTGTACAGCCGTAGGAAATCAATAGAAAACAGAGACATAATAATTAAAGTATCTTGATAATGGTGACAAAGTCCAGGAATCAAATTCTCTATGTGCAGCAAAAAGCTGAGATGCTGTCCCAGGTTCATTAACTTCCAAATGGTCATGGTCTTCCTGAGTAGCTACATAACAGAGTAGCATAGTGTGTGGTGAACCTTCTTGCATGGTCCATAGGCTCCATGAGAAAGTAAAGCCTGACCTACGGATTTAAACATCACTAGGTTTGCATACCACATCAGTCCATTTAATGCCAAATTTCTTTTCATCATCCTTGGTGTACATGGTATCCTTGATCCGCTGAACATATCCATTAGTAGATTAGCGGTGACTGGGGGAAAAAGCTAGATCATTGTCATTTATGTTAGGATATACAATGACAAGATGACAGTATAGATAAAGCTCATGTTTCTTTCAAGTGTCTCTGAATTAACTGCAGTGCAGCAGACAACTTTAAGAGCTCCAGCTAAGGCAACTGTGACCTTAGGAAATCTATTTTCATCAAAATCTTCACTGATGAAAACAGTTTTGCTATTTCTATTGCTTCAGGTATCCATAAATTCAAAGTTGTTGGTTCATTGGGACTTGCTCCCAAGTTAAAGGAGTGATAGATGCTGGAAAAAGCAATCTGTTACTTTGAGGTTCCCGTCGAGACGGGAATGATGTATGTTGAATGCCGAGCGAGTTCTGTGGGTGGAGCCAGGTTCGCGTTAAACCTCGATTGCCTCTGTATTTGAGGTGGTAGTTGTTGCGTGCTGGGAGCCTTCATCGCTTGCAATTTTTCCCAGCTTTCCTTTTTAGAGAAGTGTTTGTATACTAGGAGCTTCCATAAGCCATATGTATCGCGAAGGGTGGGGGGAGTCACCTCGCATGTTTTGTTATTTTTCTGACAACGGGAATACTTGGCATATTTGTTGGACTTTGGACGGATGAGGGTAGGTTCATCAATTAATCTTTTGGCGCATCAAATGCCGAAGTAATGTTCGCCTATACGAAAGTCAGCAATGAACACTCAGGAATAACTGAGTAGACATACGAAACCAGTCTCAGCGGTCCCTCGAAGCTCCTTCGTCTCACTCGTCAGACAATCGGTAAGATGATTGATCGAAACTTGCACGTTTCCAATTTCGTTCTGGATCCGGGACAAAACAGCACGAACCGGGGTCGGCGGACGAAGAAAATTAGACGGACCATCTTTAAGGGATTCGGAGTCGGACACAAGGTCAACAGACTTGGTGGGACGAGGAGAAGAAAAACGACGACGTTTCGATGGAGATCCATCGATAGCAGAAGAAGCATGACGACGACGGGAGGCATATGTTTTCAACGAACCCTTTCGACGTTTCGCGGCCCCAGAATCAAGACCACGATATTCACGGACGAGGATCAGGGTGCGCGAGCCAGCGAACGACAGAGAGCTTGCTGCGCTATAGCAGCAGGAGGCAAAGAATCAGCTGGCTGAGAGCCAGCGCCATCACTAAAGGATCAAGGGGACAGCCGGGGCATGTATTGGCGTAAACACAGCTATGCAAGCCAGCAACTCACCAATTGGGATCCCCAATGACTGTAATTTTATGGTATTAAGGCCCTTAGCCATTGTATATGCAATATGCTTTCCGTCTTTCTCTCTTCTTGGAGTATTATTCCTTCTGGTGGCAGTCGTTTCTCTGTATTGTGTATGGAGGAGCAGGTGACAGAACTATATTCGGTTCCACGGAGCCTTCGATGATGTCCTCCTTTCGCGCTGTCGATTAGCATCGACCGGTTGATAAGCAATAAGGGTTTCTATATTCCATACTTGGGCTGGATATTCTCTCTGACAGCATTTCTTCGGCTTCCATTCCACTGATTCGGGAGTGCGCGGAGGAATATAGAAGTGTCAGTCAAAATTCCATGACTTGTCAGATAATAGATAGGTAGTTATATGTCTCCCAGTATGCATGGCATTTTGTTCTGAGAATCGCATGCCAACAGGGAGGATACAGTTATGGACAAAGCTTGGATAATTGATTAGCAGTCACAGACCAATATTCTTGCGCAAACATACTGTTTATAATTCCCTCTATGAGACTTTCTATAGTTTGTGGTCATTCGAGCTCTGTAACACAGAATATCTTTTCCAAGTTATACCGATGAACAATTGGAGGAAGCTTGAAGTCAACTTTTGATTGATGGTTAGCAGTCATTCCCGCTGGCGATTTTCCTGCGGGGAAATAGTGCATTAATAGGGAGGTGGGTGAGGAAGTATTTAGCATTCAGGGTATCGGAGTAGCTCTGGAGTGAGCACATAAAGAAATGAGGGACATGGGACATGTTAGAACCAGAAACTGGAATCAGCAACTCTGCAGGGCTCAGGGCCTTGAATGCCGAGAGAAGAAAAGAAAGGAGAAGGAAGGTGAGAGAATGAGGGTTTTATATACTCGGCGCTAGTCAGACCCTGTGAGCGAACTAACAGTAAGCGAAGCCCTGAAGTGATGTGAAAGTAGCAAGCTTGATGATGTTATTTAGTGAATAGGGAAAAGGAATGTGAATGAAGCGATATCATTGTATCTTTTTCAAAGAACTCATGCCTATGAATACACGCAATATAGGCCAGTATACAGTATGCTACCCAATTGCTGAAACAACAAAACATAACTCAAAACAAACACAAATACCTGTATCAGGGCTGTATAAATATTGGGAGGAAAAAGCTAATATAACGAGTCATAAATCAGCGCTCTAGAAGTGGATGGCTTTCGAGTATGTGGCCATGGCAGCCTCTTTGAATGCCTCTGCTAGAGTTGGGTGAGCGTGACAAGTGCGGGCGATATCTTCACAGCTGGCGCCGTATTCAACAGCGAGCGTGGCTTCTGCAATCATTTCGCCGGCATTGGGCCCAACAATGTGAACGCCAAGGACACGGTCTGTCTGTTCGTCGGCAAGAAATTTGACCTGACCTTCCGAGTCGAGGTTGGTCTTGGCACGGGAGTTGGCGCTGAAGGGGAATGTGCCAACGCGATATTTGATGCCGGCGGCTTTTAAGTCTGCCTCGTTCTGGCCGACCCACGCAACTTCGGGGTGAGTATACATGACACTTGGGATAGCGCTGTAGTTGACATGACCGTGGCCCTTCTTGATGTACTCAATAGCAGCGACAGCCTCTTCTTCTGCCTTGTGCGCCAACATGGGACCGAAAGTGCAATCTCCAATTACACGGATATGCTGCTCCTTGGTGCGGTACTGTTGATCAATGATAACACGGCCTTTCTCGTCAACGTCGAGGCCGACCTTCTCCAAACCAAGGCCCTGGGTGTAAGGTCGACGTCCGATGGCAACGAGAACGACATCAGCATCTAGAGTTTGTTCTTTGCCACCTTTGGCAGCCTCAACCTCGAGCTTTATGCTTTCACCGCTGGCGTCTCCCTTGGTGACTTTGGTTCCGACCATGAACTTCAAACCTTGTCTAGAAAGGATTTTTTGAATCTGCTTGGCGATTTCTGCATCCATACCGGGCCCGCCGATCTGACCGAGAAACTCGACAACAGTCACCTCTGAACCTAACCGCGACCAAACGGAGGCCTAGGGAAATAGGTGGGTCAGTCCGGCTAAGCTGAAAGCTATACAAATGCTTGTTTGCCTACCATCTCAAGACCAATGATACCACCTCCGATAACGACCATCTTCTTTGGGACCTCTTGCAAGGAAAGCGCTCCAGTGCTGGTGATGACTCTCTTTTCATCAATGGTCAAGCCGGGGAACGGGGTGGCCTCGCTTCCGGTTGCGATGATGATGTTCTTCGCGCGCAGTGTCCGCTCTCCGCCTTCCAACAGATCAACTTTGACGGAGTGTTGGTCAATGAAAGATCCGGTTCCCTTAACGTATTCGACCTTATTTTTCTTAAAGAGGAACTCAATTCCTTTGGTGAGCGACTCGACGGACGTGTCTTTAGCTTTCATCATTTGCTTCAGGTTGAGTTTCACATCTCCGACTTCGATTCCGCGCTTTTTGGTATCGTGGAGAACTTGATGGTAGAGATGGGAGTTGTTCAAGAGGGATTTTGAGGGAATACATCCAACATTGAGACATGTACCACCTAACGCGCCTCTCTTTTCGATACAGGCAGTCTAGCGGACGACAAAGTTAGTTATCCACGCGCGAGGGTCGCTCGGGCTTTGAGGGATTGAAAGCCAGTACCTTCAAGCCTTCTTGACCGGCCTTGATCGCAGCAACATATCCAGCAACACCGCCACCTATTATAACCAAATCGTGCTCATCTGTGTTTAAGTGTCAGCAACGCGAATCAACAGGCGAGCTTCGAGTCGGCGTGAATGCAGGGTAGGGCCGACTTACCTGACTGAGTTGCATATCCTCTTTTCGACCGTCCAAGAATGTAGACCGTGGACACTGGGAAAGAATGTTGGAAGGCAGTCTGAGGAGTGGCTTTCGGGAGTGACCGCCCAGCAAGGCGCGGCACAATGGGACGAAACATTGTGAAGGTAGTGTGTGAGAAAAGAAAGAAATATGTTCAGGAAAAGGACAATTGGACAGGATAGGATCCCCGGGATGCCTTTAGGGCTATGGAGCAGAGGGCGTGGAGCGAGGGTGTGATTGAGACAAGTTGGGTTTGGAGGAGGGAGAACAATGACGGCTCCGGAATAATTCTACAATTTGTTGAAGATCGAGGCCTTCCCAATCGGGTAAAGCGGCGTTGATGGTTTTGCGCTTCGGTCTCCGTCGGCAATGGGCGGACTAACTTTTTTTGGGTGACAAAGCGCATCTCTTGGCATCCATTCCCGATTCGTTTGACTGCTCGGAAGTTCATTTTTCCATGCTGCTCGGCTGAGTTTCCGTTCCTGGCCCAAAACGAGCACCGGCAGCTCAGGTGAACTGCTCCAGTCATCCATCTGGCCCTTTTCCAACATTCGTCTAGCAATTGTGTTGAGGGCCCATATCAATTCAAATGCCTTTGGACTCTTTCCCAAGTCGAATTATGAATGAGCTTTAAAATCCCCGTAATCATGTCCAACTTCGAGCCAAATGCCATCCTTCGGGGTGCTCAGCTCACTCTTGTGGGAGGTCCGTATGCCAGGACATAGCTAGCTGCCTCATATCCCAAACTAATGCATCTCATTGCTGATGGTCAAATTCGTCTGCTTTAGCCCACAGAGCCCTTCAGAATCCGGAGCTGTTCACATCAGAACATTACCGACAGGCTGCCCTGGCTGTTGTTGCCGGCATTGCAATCCGCCTGATCGTTTCTATCCCGGTAAAAGAACCACGCCTACCTTACTACAAAGGCGAGGTTTTTAATACCAACTGCTGGTAGATTGCTGCTGTTAGGTCGATTATATGGATGGCCTCCTGGATAATCGACCTCCAGTCAGTCACTTGGGATGACACGCTGATCAATGGGCTCGACTTTATCGCCAGATATGTCCTACAAGTCCCATTTCTGCTTATGACCCTGATGCGATACATCACACCGACGCTGGATAACGTGTATGTTCCCATCTAGTTACTCCCGTAGCCCTACACTGACAGTCCGTTTCCAGCTTCATGGAGTCTATAAAGTGGGTTGATACAACATACGTCCAAAAACACAAATCCGACGACCCTGCGGGCTTACGTGCAATGTACTATCCCAATCTGGTCATGTACTCAAGCAAACGTAAAAAGCAGATTGGGGATGTTGCAAGCTCTCTACGGTCCTTTTTTACCCGGTACGGGCGGAGAACTGGCATATCTCTTGCTGTCTATCTGCTCTCTTTATTGCCAGTGGTTGGGCGGTTTGTGATTCCTTTGGCCAGTTTTTACACCTTCAACAAGGCTGTGGGACCCGTTCCGGCCACTGTTATTTTTGGATCTGGGCTTGTCCTCCCAAAACGATATCTAGTCGTGTTCCTACAGAGCTACTTCGCATCACGCAGTTTGATGAGAGAACTGGTACGAAAGAACAATCATCCTCATATTCATTAGTCCAAACTAATATGTTTGCAGCTGGAACCATATTTCTCTCGCGTAAAATTCACCAAACAGCAACGACGCAAGTGGTTTTTAGACCGTGAGGGAGTTTTATTCGGATTTGCACTTGGGTTTTATACCATGATCAAAATCCCATTGATCGGTGTCCTCATCTATGGGTTGGCTCAGGCATCAACTGCATACCTGGTCACCAAAATCACAGACCCTCCTCCACCGCCGGCTGATTCTGAGGGGTTTGTAGAGAGCCAAATCCAATGGACCAATAAACATAGGTTTTTGAAGCTACCACTTGGCTCACTGGATCAGTACAATGTCCCACCGGATGATGAAAACGAAAAGAATAAACAAGAAATGCCGCAGAAGAATTTCAGCTAGTGCTGAATGCAATGCTTTACGGATCCGTTTTGAGAGCATCATTTGTCGGGCTGTTCCTGTTCATTTATCAATTCTACTTGGTGATTTCGGGGCATTTACAGAAATCAGATACAATTACCTCCCAGTTCCAAAAACAAAAGGATAGGCAAATTAAAGGCTGCATTTATTGGACAGTCCTATTCTTGAGAATCGATAAGGTTCAAAGTCGCTGTGAGATCTAACCAAGAATTCCAGCAAAAGTTCCGTGGTCGCATGAATCGTCATATATAACAACAATAATGGGAAGATTGCAGTCAAGCCGCAGGTGTTGGAGAGCCAGGTGTTATTCGAAAATCATTCCGCAATGGAGAACAAGATAGAACAGAAAAAAGGCTGCAATCCCTCTTCGCCGAAAGCGGCCGCAGGCAGGAAGGTGATTTTTCACATTTATCTGCTGCACAAGAGCGAATTAGTTATTACAAAATTTGCTCTTCCCGACATCGCAAACCGGACTTACAGGGGGGTGCAAGTTTCTCTCCTCACAGTAGTCCGATGGTCACATCACCCTTCACCCGTGCATACAAGTCAACCTCGACCTCGAGATCGAGCTCGATCTTGACCTTCAAGCTACTGTCTCGAGTCTCCTTCGGTTGCGGGCGGTCCTTTATGCGTGACTCTCGGATCGCGCCTCGTCGTTGGCCGGTTTGAGCGAGCTGTTGATCTACGGCATATGCATATGGTGCAGGTTGCTGTTGTTGAACAGGAGCCTGTTGGGGAGCTTGCTGCACGGAAGCATTGCGATTGGGCTGCCGCTGGCGTTGAGGTTGAGCGTCATCGGGTTCTGCCTCGGATTGCACCTCGTAGGGCTCGTTTTTTTGATCAGGGCTGTGGTAAATATTATTAAAGGAGCGTACAGATGGGAGTCAGGCACTGATCCGAGGAGGACTCACAGGTTGGACATTTTTTGGTATGTTTTAAGTGGGAAGAATGTGTTCCTAACTGTACTTTATAGCCGTCTCCTCTGCTTGTTTAACGTGACGCTAAGTATGTATCAAGATAGATTTTCGAACAATATCTCCAAGAAATCAAGGATTAAACACCAAAGGAAAATTCAAATTAAAAAACAAGTCTAGAACAGTGATGAAATACTTACACATATATATAGGAAACCGTTTTTTTTTGGTCTCCACCGATGCAGGATTTGGAGTGCATGCCTTGCCTCAGCCGCCCTACGTAAGTGGCCAACCCACCCTGGCCACCTTCATGTGCCTTTTCCAGTTGGGGGTCTTCCCGGTCATGCATCGACCATATTTCTTTCTCCCTTCCGCCATGCCAGCCAGTCCGCACTATCAGGGTAGAATGACGTCACAGCTCGCTCGCACGCCAAGGTTGTCGCGAGGGACCGACACGATGCCATGTATGTGTGTCTGAGAGCGTGTGTGGAGGAGAAAAGGGGGAGGGCTGTCATGGCGGCTCCTAACAAGGTGTGGGGGAACTTTCCGGGGAAAAGTATGGATGGGCTGCTAGCCACGAACCTTGGAGATGCTTGTATGTATGTATGCATGTACAGTACTTACACACTCCATACATATGTGGATTGTGATCTCGTACATATCGTGCTATGCTGAGGTGTGCGCTTCAGGCGTCGGAATCGTGGGGTGAAGGAAATGTCCTTCTCGCGGGGTGTTGCCCGGAGGAGGTCTTAGTACTCCATGTGTAAAGGGCTAGGATCAACCCGTATGCGGACATGTGCTCTCCGCCCACTGGCAATGAACTGGTGATTCTAATACGGCTATGAATCGGAGATAGTTCTCGGCCTCATAACGTGGGGACTTGTCTGCACGGCTGTGATAGGAATCACTGAAGACATTTGCTTCCGTCACCGCAGTCAAAAAGACAAGATCAAGAAAAAAAAATAAAAATAAAAATATAAAATATAAAATATAAAATATAAAATATAAAATATAAAATATAAAATATAAAATATAAAATATAAAATATAAAATATAAAATATAAAATATAAAATATAAAATATAAAATAAAAATATAAAATATAAAATAAAATAAAATAATGTTTTGACAGAGTTGAGTAAGATCACGGACGTATGGCTGGTTAGTGATGCTCCAGAGCCAACAAGGGTAGATATATATATATTCTACCTCTGGTATCTAATATGCTCCGTACTTATTCCTCCGATATCTTTCCGTCTGATCACGAGCTAACTCTGCAACAAACCAGCTAATTGTGGGAAAACCCTCCGATGGAGATAATCAGGAGGATTAACAATCCGACTACCGTTACAGCAGCAGGGACGACGCTGTCTGCCTCCAGGAATCCTTTCGTCACACCCACAGCTTTCAGGAAGGCTACATAATGGAGCAGAGATGATGGTGCTGTATGCACCATGACATGCGACCCACAGTCCCTTCCCCTCCTTCGTCCTTAACGTGGACAAAAAAAAAAAAAAAAAAAACAAAAAAAATTATGAGCTCAAGGATGGCAATAAATGAGGAGGTAAAGAATATATGCTAGGCCCATGGGATTGCATCCCCTGTTGATCGACAGGAGATAAGGATACGGGATGAAAGATGAAGGGGTGGTGTGTGTGTGTTGATTATTCTGATTTACCAGCTGAGGGAGAAAGTGGCCTTTGGATAGGGGAGGTAAAGCTTGTGAGGGAGACAGGAATTCCGTCGGTGTTAAGAAGCGGATGACAAGAAGAAGATAAAAAGTGAAAGAGTATGTTCAAGTATGTCCAGTCTCTACTCTATATAGCTTGGTTAGTTCTCTGTTGTTAGGATTGGATCTTGTCTAACCCAAAAGCCCTTGTATGACAATAATGAGACATGCAAGAAGATCAATTATCTTGAATTAAGGTACATCCCTAGCAGAGAAACCACTTGACAAACTATAACATCGCCGAATGATCATAATTAAACACATCTTCAAAACTCAATTCCATGTCCTCACATTCGTCCTTTCGTTTATTGCCACAGTGGCAATCATCATCGCATCCAATGCAACTGTTGAATCATCGTGCTGCCTCATTCATCGCTGGGGCTGCGGATACTGCTGCGGTTGCGGCGGCTCCTGGCCCGGAGGCATCTGTTGAGGCTGCTGCTGGGCCTGTTGCTGTCCGCCGCCGAGTCCGCCGCCGAGGGCGCCACCGAGTCCCTTAGTCGCTCCACCTACAACCTCGCCGAGTCCCTGAGTCGTCTGTCCCACAGCACTGCCAACGCCCGCGAGGGTCTGTCCGAGACCCTGTCCGAGCCCTTGGGTTGTTTGACCAACGGCCCCTGTCACACCGCCGAGGAGGGCGCCGAGACCACCCTGCTGCCCCTGCTGGCCTTGCTGGCCTTGCTGGCCTTGCTGGCCTTGCTGGCCCGGCTGTTGTTGGCCGCCGCCGCCGCCCCCGAGAATTCCAGCCATGGTGGTTGTATGGAGTTATGCGGGGGGGGAAGGAGGAGTAGTTTGGTTCGAAATGGAAATATGGAAATAAGAGCTGTAGAGAGATTTGTTTGTGAATTTGTTTTGCTCCTGGGGAATCGTTAATCAGACTAATAGAGCAAGGATCCAATGGACGAATTGAACTGCGGTTTATATAACTACCCAGAGGGTAGTCCGTAGACCTGTCCAAAGCAGGATGCGTCATGAATACCCGTCCATGTCCTGGATTGTGAGATCAAACCCGCCACATGGTTAACCGGATTCGCCTAGCGCCACATCTGGGATACTCCCAAGGTGATGCAAGCTAAGTAGGAGTGGGAGAGTTTGTGTGAACATTCCCCCGCACAGACGGAAGCACGACTCAGGGTGGCCTCCAATGAGGAGTGAGGGAGCCGCCACAAACTGGTGGAAAAGCAGGAATTGGTTGCAGCTCGTCAGTTTGCGCGTCTTCACGATCCACGGTCCCGAGGAGTGGGGTTGATGTCGAAGGATGACGGCTCAACGCGGGATCAGGTACAGTACATCCAATGTTTTCTTGATGCTCTGCGCGGAGCCGACGTTCATCCGTGGGCGTTGAGAGAGAGGGAGGAGGAGACTGGATTTACGAGACGGCGTGAAGCGTTGCGTGGAGCCGGGTTGCCCCTGTGACGTCAACCCCCCAGTGCTTGGCGTCTTGGCCGCCGGAAAAACCACCCGGAAAAAATGAAAGACAGCCAGGTCAGCGGGAGCCTTCCAATGCTCTGCCCCCTGGAGCGTCGAGACATCGCAGAGAAAGAGCAGCGCTTTGTGAACGTCCGGATCGACTCTGGCATCGCATTCGCCGTAAAATGCTAAAACGTGGCCGGACGGATGGATGGATGGATGTGCTTGATTGACACACCTCCTCTCGCTAAGAGTATCACAAAACTGCCCTGCTCTGTTGTCGCAGCTCTTTGAAGATTCCGGGTTCTCCTGAGCGTGCTCCTTGCTTGAATGATATCGAGAAAACAAGGTGCTGGATAAACTGCAGAGTAGCTAATTCCTTTGAGTGCCTGCTGGGCTTTTACCCAGGCAATGGCGGTTGACCCGCAAATATGTACGCGGTGTTTGATGCACCTTCATCATCTATTGGCTGCTGGCCAAAAGGAAAACGAAAACCCCTCGAAACTTCTTCGCTCTGGGATGTTTGGATGATGAGGAAGCTAGCTAACGAGTTACTCGCAGGGGCACTGACCTTGCCACATTTATCTCCCACTTCGAGCTAGCTGTTCCAAGGAGCAACATGTGAACATGGGTCAACCTAGGCTTCGGTGGTTTGATGTTTTGCGGTCCGCTGAGGATGTTTCTGGCTGAAACTCGAAGAACTCCAGCGGTTAACCTTTGGCGATCCTCGTCCTGTTATGGGCCTTCTCCTTCGGAGCTATTCACACTTTCAAGGGTATGCTGGCTCTTCTGTTCACGGGCCCCTGCCAATACCACCGGTCGAAGCCAAGGCTAGCTAGGTAACTCTCCACCCACTCCGATCATCTCGTCTCGGACTCAAACGCACGATTGTTCCTCAGTCCTGGGTTTGACTAAAACAATCTCCAGAAGCCGCTGATCGAAGAACATTTGAAGATCACTCTGCCATCATGCCATGCAGTGATAATCATGAGTGTCTTGCTCCGTGCAAATTGCTATGGGCCGATTTCATTTAACCCCAGACTTCGCTGATGTGTACATACATACCGCTAGCCGCGGCGGCAAGGAAGCTTCACCAGGCCAGCTTTCTCGAACGTTCACGGAAGTTTCAGGTCATAGACTCTCCAACTGATGTGGGGAGAAATCCTGATCCTTGGAGTTAGCCCCATGCTGAACCTGGTCCGATCCATGGATTGACCTGCTCGTCCTCTCTGAACGGTCTGCTCAAAAATCCCCCTACAAAGAGGCTTTGGCTGCTCTCCAGCATTGCTCTTCCTCCCATAGTTATATCTCCGAAAGTCCCTGATTGCTGAAAGCTTACTCATCCTTAGACTGTCTCTGTAGCGGGTCTATTCTAATTCGATTGACCACCCCAGTTCTAGAGTGTACGAGTGATACTACGTTGGGTGACGAATGGTTTGGACGCGCTCAGGGCCAAGCGTCAGCTTTTGTGGGCTGATGTTTTTGCAAGACTCTCACATTGCGCCTTGCCGTTTCACAAAAGCTTGTCTGTGACGAAGCGGGGTCTCCTCACTTTATGCGTTTCCCGTTTTCCTCCGTACTCGTGCGGGCAATGCTTGCCATTGCTGGTAGCATGTTAGGCCCATACCCACTGAGGGGCGCGCCATTCGAGGCTGCCAAGCCGCGGTGACCTTGGTGGGAAGGAGTTTACATCAAACAGAATGCAGATAAGCATCGTATCGATGGAGGATAGGAGATCAGGGTGGCTCTCCAGTGTTTTGACCAGGGACTTGCTCCTTCAAAGATCGACAATAAACATGAGCAAACCAAATCTCAAAGCCATAAATGCTGCGTTCCAGGGGCTGCCCTGGCCAAGGCCCCGAGGCTCCTTGAAATGCCTGGCAATTTACCGAATATACCGCACCCACTCAGACTGCTCTCTCTCACGGTTCTCCTCACGCCTCCTCTTGAAGAGCAGGATACGAATCCTTCGGCAATTAAATCCTATCAAATGGTTTCATCCGGGAGTGGAAATATTTGTGGGTTCGAAGCTCTGATCCGTCCCATTCCCCATCTCGACTCAAGCAACATGTCGAGGCCTAGCAGCAACGCTTTTCGTTTGGAAGTGAAATGACTGTGTTGAAACGAACGGCATAAAAGGGAGACGTTCTCCCTCTGGAGATAGGACCATCATCCCATTCGCATTCAACACCACAGCCCTAATCAAGCAAAAATGGTTTCCATGAAGTTTTTGTCCGCCGTCTTTGCAGCGATTACCGCTGCCAACGCTGCAGAGATCCTCAGCGTCCCAAATACCCAAGATGTCATCCCAGACTCCTACATCGTCGTCATGAAAGATGAGGTAGCCACATCCGATCTCGAAGCCCACGTCACCTGGGTGCGCAACCACCACCATAGCGGGCACGTTCGACGAAACGGGACCCTCACCGGCTTGAAGACGACCTTCGACATCAGCGGGTTCAGGGGCTATCTCGGCGCCTTCGACCATGACACTCTCGACGAGATCCTCGCGGATGACAAGGTGAGGAAGTCCGATCCCTCTGGGACTTGAGGGGCTAGGGGAGCTTATCAGTAAGCATAGGTTAAATTCGTCGAGCCTAACCGGATCATGAGGATCCAAGGAACGCAAACGCAGCGCGGTGCTCCTTGGGGTCTGGCACGACTTTCCTCCAGTCGACCCGGAGGCAGTGACTATGTCTACGATGACAGAGCCGGCGAGGGAGTGATTATTTACGGAGTCGATACTGGTATTGACGTCAACCACCCTGACTTCGAGGGTCGTGCGACGTGGGGTATCAACACCATTGACCAAGATAACACGGATGGCAATGGCCATGGAACTCACACTGCTGGAACCTTTGCCGGAGCTAGATTCGGTGTTGCAAAGAAGGCCACCATTGTCGGTGTCAAGGTTCTCGATGCTCAGGGATCTGGCAGCAACTCTGCTATCATGGAGGGCATCAGCTGGTCTGTCGACCACGCCAGGAAGAACAACGCCCTTGGCCGTGCTGTGATGAACTTGAGCTTGGGAGGTAGCTTTTCCCAGGCAGTCAACGATGCTGCCGAGAGAGCTGTTCGCGCAGGTGTTTTCCTTGCTGTCGCCGCCGGCAATGACAACGTGAGTGATTGGAAACCATGGCTGCTTAGCACCTTTTTGTGCATGCGCGAAAATTGGGCGGAAGCTGACAAGAATTGCGTATTAACAGCAAGACGCCTCCAACTACTCTCCCGCTTCCGCCCCTAATGTCTGCACCGTTGGAGCTACCGACAGAATGGATGTCCGGGCAACTTTCTCCAACTTTGGCTCAGTCCGTAAGTCATGGCGTCACCCACCGTGCTGATATAACACCATGCAAATACTGATGATGCGTTTTGAACCAGTTGACATCTTCGCCCCTGGTGTTGACGTCGAATCCACCATGCCCGGTGGCGGCACTCAGATGATGTCGGGCACCTCCATGGCTGCTCCTCACATCGCCGGCTTGGGCGCCTACCTCATGAGCACCGAGAACCTCCAGCCAAGCCAGGTCTGCGACCGCATCAAGCAGCTCGCCAGCAACTCTGTCCGCAACCCTGGCAATGGATCCACCAGCAAGCTCGCTAACAACGGCATCGGCCAACAAATAATAGGAAGCATTACTCCGTAGATTTGGGATCGATCGCAGCGGACTGGACAAAATGCTTGGTTTGGGCTTGGATTTGTACCATAGATTTTTTCTTTTTCTTTTTTCTTTTTTCTTTTTTCATTTTTTTTTTTTTTTTTTTTTTTTTTTGGTTTTCACTCCTTTTTGTGGTCCTGCTAGGACGCGATCGAGTCTGGTATTCGGATTGCTCGTGGCTGTTTATTTCTCGCCTTCGTTGTTAAACATTACTTCAACACATAATTGAATAACAATAATTAATCCTTTGCAAGGAAAATGTTCTGTCGCCCGGCATCCGTCCTCGATCCATTAATTTCCACAGCACGGACTCGAATGGCTCTGGGCTCAATTCAGGGCGAACGTTGGCGAGTTGAGCTTGGCGATCAAAGCCAAAACGCCCAGCGTCTGAAGTACATAGTCAACCAACTAGCACGTTAGCCAACCAGGCAACGGCGGTTGTTAGCGCCTGTTACTCTGTACCATGGATCCCGTTTACCACCGAAAAAGCTTGTGCCCGAGACTTTGACATGGGATGAAACCAGTGTGCAACGGTCAAATCTCTCTGCGCATGAAAAAATTCCCACAAGACAAACAATTGACCGATCCAGGTTTTTTCCTTTTGAATACCAGTACACACCTCAAGGATAGCATCAATGGAGAGCCATACAGACCAGCCCGCTCCCCCAGCAGCGAGCACAAAACCGAATCGCAAGCCCAGAAATCGCAAGAAGAACAAGCAAAACAAACCTCCCCAAGATTCCGCGCCTTGCGATGCCACACAGTTCTACGCCACCGATGTAAAAGACCAGAGCCCCGAACCTACGACCGTTCCGCCTCCCGATACGCCGTCTACCGCACCGCCTGCCTATACATCTACTCCCGCCCCGGCTTCTGTTCCTGCCTCGCTCCCGTCCGAGTCCGTGCACGGGAATAGAGTCCCCTCTCCGACGACTCGATCGAATGCTTCCTTTGAATCTGCTGATTCCACAGGCCGTCGACGGCGGAAGCCGCGCGGGGGGCGAAAACGGCGGAGTAAAGCGCTTATGGTGCAGGATGAAGGATGGGCGGAGGAAATGGACAGGCAAGAGCGCGGAGAGCAGCCGTCTGTAGAAGGTAGCGGGAAGAGGAGGCTTGGGAACGAGCAGGAGGGTGGTGACGGTGATGGTGAGGGTGAGGGGGTGGTGCAGAGGGATTTGAGTGAGGATTTGTTTGGCAAGGATGCGTTGGAATACCAGGAGCAGGAGATGGATCAGACGAATGGGGTTGTTGTTACTGGAGGTGTGGAGAGTCGACGGGAATTTCCGATGGACGAAAAGGAAGAAGAAGAGGAGGAGGAGCAGCAGGAGGAGGAGGATGAAAGAAAGCAACAGCGGCCGTCGATATCCAAAGAAAAAAAGCCGTTTGAAACCGGGTTGAAGGCATTCAGTATTCGCAAAGCGTCCTCATCCAAGGATCATAAACCTATCAGTATCAAGACTGTTGGCGGTGCGCCCGAGAGCGTTTCAACCGCCAAAAAGAAGGCCAAGAAGGAGAAGAGAAAAGAGAAAAAGAAGGCTAAGCAGCGAGCCACCGGAGCTGAGGGCGAGGCGTTGCCGACTGAAACAGCCGAGGTCGAAGACGAGGACGAAGAGAATCCTGCCACGCAAGAACCGTCATCGGGGGAGAGAGAAGTGCGCATAAAGCTTGATCTAAACCTCGAGATAGAGGTGCTGTTACGGACGAAGATTAAGGGAGAGATTATGATTACGTTCTTGTAAGACGCCCTTGTGTCTTTTTACCATTTCCTAGTCGTTGCTTTGTACGCCAATCTTTTGAAGCAAACACGATATTTGCATGCTCCATTTCTAGTTTGATATTGCGAAGAGCACTACTGAGCAGCAAGCTAGGCAATGAGTTGGATGCCCGCACGGATCATGACCTGATGCGCTCCGGAGTGCGTGATATATGATTTTAAGGATGAAAACGAAGCGACATGCCCTTATATGCAAATGGATTTTCTGCTTTTCCTCTTTGATTTTTACGGTGCTCGGAGTCGGGATCACTCTCAAAAAATTGTATGGGGTTGTTGGAGCTTTGTTTGGTCGGCATAAATAGTGAAAATATTTCTCTTTTCTCTTGAGAATAATTATACTAGTATCTGATCGAGTTAAAATCAAAGCAAGAGGGATGCTTCAGAGACGATAACGCGCATTTCTAATTCTATTTTCATCTTCTCTCCCATGATTTGGTAGTTAGTTATCATCACTTATAAATCCATGGCATCTACTGAGTGTCTACAGAGTACGACGTTCCAAAGTCCAATAATCACAGGTATGTTTTTCGTTTCCCTCCCCAAGCCACCATAGCCATCAATTTATAGCTTCAAGCTAGTACGGAGTAGATATAACTACTCAGGGAATGTACCGGTACTTTCAATATGACGCAATGCGAGGGATGCACATAGAGTTAACTTCGACAACAGGAAACCCAATTTCAGCCCACCATCACAATTTCATGATATCCACGGTTCAACATGTGGGCGATCCCGCCTGACGTCTTGTTTTAGGCGTGACGTCAAAGTCCGGGAATCAGGTATCAGGCGAGCAGCAGGATATCAGTCTGGGGTATGCGGTTGACCATGCATAAACCTGGGTGGACGGTCTGGATAAATAGATTGGTTTGACGAAACTGTGCCTCTGATATGAGCGACTGAAGTCATAGGAACAATTGACCCAATTAACCCCCCGAATAACTTTTTGTCGACATTAGTTTTCCTCAGTGCTTATTCAAACATGGCCGAACTCGAGACCACCAAGCAGACCGCACCGGAGCAGAAAACGGGACAGAAGCCAGAGCAAGAAGCTGAAAAGCAGCAACAAGCTGAGAATGACAAGAAACTCGCGGGTAGGATGGCCGATTGCATCCAACAATCGCTCGACAAAATCCAGCCTATCTTGAATATGATCACAGGCGTGCGTTCTCGCTCCTCACCGGACCACAAGTTATTCTGGCTTCTAGACTAGATTGTTAAAACGTGCAATTCCCACCCTTATAGGCCATCGAAACCGAAGAACGAAAGCCCGAAGCAGAGCGCAACGAGGAGAAGCTCGTCGACACCATCAAGCCTCTCCTCGAGCAGGGCGGACAGATCCTCCAAGAAGCCAACGGCGCCATCCGCGCTCTTGACCCTGACGGACGGATTGCAGCTAACGCGAAGCACAAGACTGCAGCACGAGAGGCATCGCCGGAGGAGCACCGGTTGGCAGAGTTACTGAAGGAGTTGACAAGTCATGTTAGCCAGACGATTGACGGGGCGAAAAAGAAGGTTGCTGGTATGCCGCATGCAAAGAAGGAGTTGAATCCACTGTGGGGGCTGTTGGCCGGTGAGTGATGCTGAAAATAGACATTGTGCGGTATTATCAGATAGTTGGGCCGGAAAGGTGCTAATTTGGGATCTCCTTTCGAATTATAGAGCCATTGGGGCAGATTCTCGCTGCTGTTGGACTGCTGCTTAGCGGTGTTTTGGGGCTTGTTGGACGATTGGTAAGTTGTTTCCGGTGTCCTGTCTGATTGAGATTTTTTTTTTTTTTTTTTTTTTTTTTTTTTTTTTGTTTCTTTTTTTAAGATCTTGTTAGCTGATTATTCTTGCAGCTCAATGCCCTTGGTCTGGGCGGTCTGGTCGACGGCCTTCTCGGTAGCCTGGGTCTCAAAAACGTCTTAGAAGGCCTAGGGCTGGGATCGCTCACGGAGGCGTTGACGGGCAAGTAAATTGACTTTTGCGCAATATCTCAGGTATCAGTTGCCAATTTTTTTTTTTTTTTTTTTTTTTTTTTTTTTTTTTTTTTTTTTGCCATTCAGCTTGTTTGCTCTCCTAGGCATTCTGATTTCATGTGAAATGTCTTCAATGGATAACTGTGTTCTGGTGTACCTTTGAAAGTGCTCTACTGGGGCTTTAGGCTCCAGTCAATTTAAAGCCTGTAAAATATGGCACAACGATGTGTAGATCGCTCATGATTGACGGACTCTGTGAGTACCTGCTCCTCAAACCTTAGATACATGTCAGGAAAGCCGCCAGGTAGAAACCTCCCACTCCTTCGAAAATACAGTAGAATGTAACACAAAGCTTGCCTGTTGGCAAGCTTAGAAAGTTTTTTGTTTCGAGAAAAAAAAAAAAAAAAAAAGGAAAAAAAAGAAAAAGAAAGAAAAGGCCACATCTATTCACAAAACTCTGTATCTGTTGATCCCTGAAGACAAAGAGCACTGCTCAGCGATGCATCTTTGTGATACGGTTTGGAGATGCGCTTATTAGATGAGAGCAGCCAAGACGGCAACGAGACCTAGTCCGAGAGCTAAAGAAGCGCCTTCCACACGTACGGCAGCATTATCCGTCTGCTGCGGGGGCTCAGAGGGTGTGGTGACGGTTGCATTGTTTCCTGCTGTCGAGCTGGGCCAGGAGCCGGAGCCGGTTGCGCTGGTGGGGTTGGTGACGCGTGGGGTGGTCGAAGGGGTTGTCGGCTCGGGCTCTTCGGTTGGCTGGGGCGGGACATAGGAAGTGACGGTATTTGTGGTCGTGGATGTGGATGTGGTGCTGGTCGTGCTGGTGGTCGTGGGCTCTTCGGTGGAGGATTGCTCCTGGTGGATGAGGGTGCGAGTCACGGCGGACATGCAATCTTCGAGCTTCATGTTGTTTGGGCAGCAGCCGGCATCAGAGCAGTAGGATCCCGCAGGGCAGAAAGCTGGTCCAAGTCAGCCGACTGGGTCCTTCAGGCCTCTAGGTGGTTGTGGGCGCGGATCAAGACGATAATACTCACTTCCATTCTCGCAGCAAGTTTCTCCCGCGCTGGGGTTAAAGCACATGTTCGGTTTCACGCAGGTCTTGTACCCCGGGCCGCACGACTTCTCGCAGTCTGGCTCCTCGACCTCCTTGCACTGGGTGGTGCGTCGTGTCAGGGGGTTGTTTTGCTGGTGGGACGCGGCGCCAAATTCCAGCGCGCGGGAGGCAGCGACCAGGCCGGCCAGGAGAAGAGCGGGCTTGAACAACATCGTGAAAGAAAGTAGGCTGTTATAAGGATCGACGGCTTCAGGAACGAAACGAATGACAGCAGCAGTGAAATCCCCTATCAAAGGAGCGGACGTAAATTCGCGGAATTTACAAAGAACAAGCTTGTAGAGAGATCGACCGGCGGGAAGAAGAGAAAGAGAGAGAGACGAGAGGAGAGAGAGAGGAGAGTATTAATAGGGCGGCATTTTCAGATCTGCTCTTTCGCCCTCAAATAAATTAAGAATTTAGATTGCGGAAAAAAAAGGTGTCAGGCCCACCAATCGGGCGGGAGAAAAAGAGGCAAACTGGCGCTTCCACGTTGCGGCCATGCTAATAGCAACAGTGATAAGCACACCGCCCTGGCAATCAGGGCTTTCCAGGACTTTCCAAGGATTGGGGCCGGCTGCTGTGATTGCTGCTGTTGCTGCGCAGTCAAGGTGAACCGTTTGTGAGCACCGTCTCAGCCATGCTCGGCGGTCGTTGGGGTCGCGATCCAGGGCATTTTTGTCCATCCCACGACCATCGCCGAACATACATATATATAGAGTCAGTTGGGCGGCGTGACAAACCGCTGCTATGTATTTCCAACTGTGGCCCAGACCCCTGGTTCGTCGTCAGAGAGTTCAAACTTTCAGTGCCTGAAACGAAACGTGCCGGGATGCGCTCTTGGCTGTCGGGCGGTTGACTCACTGCGGCCACGACACACCTGCAAGGGCGGGGGAGCAGATCGAATCATCAAGAGCGCGTTCTCCGGTGGATAGGGTTTCGAACAACCACTCGAGATTCATGGCATACGATTTCTTTCTGTGGTGGATGCGAAATGCTCACACCGCAGTATCAAATCATGATGTTGGCTTCAGAGACACAGGCGAAGGCACCCTTTGAAAGCGCGCTAACTCGTTAACTCCGTAACCATACTCACAGAGTTAACTAAACAACTAATGGACGACATAATAACAGGCTGACGAGCTTGTCTGGTCTTGCAGCTACAAGCTCCAGATGACCGTCACGCAACGCTTGACGGCACTTTGAATTCATTTTGTTGCCTTAGCTAGTTATATAGATGGCAATTGCGCCAAGTTGAGTCATTCGTTGAGGATCGGGGACTGCTTTGGGAATGGCGATATCTCGCCTCCGACCTCCTTTCTCCAGGTTCCCCCAGTCGTCCGGCTGGCTATAAGAGGCCTGCACTCCCTTGAAGATGAGCGCCTTCAAGCTGCAACAAGAGCATTGATTTGGGTACAGCTGCTGCTGCTGCTGTTCATCCATCCTCAGGAACACAACCACTCCTCTCAAGCAAAGGTGCTTTTCAGGATTCATCTAACCGATTGACCCCCTCCTCCCTCTTGTTGTTTGCTCTTTTTTTTTTTTTTTTTTTTCCAACATTGAGGATGGAAACTACTCGAAGCCACTCTAAAGATGGCGGCCCTATGGACACCAGTTTTCCTGCGTTTCTGCATGAGGACCCATTTCTCTACATGAGCCCAGAGCAGTTTGAACACTACATCTCCAAGCTCCTTCCAGGCCCAACTAGAGCCGATTCCCAGCAGGAAGCAACGGAGGCTCCAGAGGTCAACCAGCATCACCCTACGAAACCAACCACGCAGAATGACGCCGATACCAGCGGAGATACATTCATCGATGCGCTGGACAAGACAATAGCTCGACATAAACGGATCGATTCCGCGGAACTCGCCCCAAATAACCGCGCTCTCACAGACAACTTTGGCGTAACTTTTGCTTCGACGGAGTCGTCTTTGGTTGATCTGTTCCATAGCCTGGATGGAGAGTGGACAGAAACTAAACAAAAGGAACTCGAGTCTCTATTGGATTCTTCGTGGAAGGAAGATTCGCTGGCATGTCTGAAAATTATCTGGAATGCCCGCAGCATCCATCTTGGAAAAGGCAATCGACACATCTTCTACATCGCTATGGGCTGGCTAAAGGAAAACCACCCACGGACCCTCTTGGCCAATCTGCAATGGCTGTTCCGTCCCGTCATCGAAAAGAACGCCAAGCCCTCCACAGATAGGGAGACAGCGACAGTGGGAAAAGTCGGCTCCACACTCGACGACTACGACGTTGTCCATGGCGTGTCTCATGGTTACTGGAAGGACCTTTTGAACCTTCTTGCTCTCTCCGCCAGTGGACGCCTGGACATGAGTGATCCTCGCAAGCTGCTTCAAACTAGGTTCTCCGTTGGATTTCGTCTGCGGAAGCGAAAGGTGCAGAAGGAGAAACCGAGTGGATGGCACGAATTGTCGTCGGAAGAAAAGATCAAGAGATCCTTAGAACGAGATCAGAATGTCAGCAGAGAAGCAAAAGAGCGCCGGCACGCTGGAGAGAACGAGCGCCACCAGCGAATTATGGAACGGCTGTCAAACGACCCGTTCCACCGGGCACTGCACATGACCGTAGCACGCCTATTTTCCGAAAAGCTCCAGAAGGATATAGAACTGCTTCGAACTGGAACAAAAGAACAGCAAAAGGAACTTTCCCTCTGCGGGAAATGGGCTCCGTCATTGCAAAAGTTTCACGACAAGCACACCCGCATAGCGACGACGATTGCGGAGATTTTGTTTCCGCGGGACAAGGTTGCCCAGCCGGACGACAATCGAGAAATGTACCTGAAACGGGCGCGCGAGCAGTACCGCTTCTGGACTACGTCCAAGTTGCGCAAGGCTCTACAGTGTGTCGAGTGCGATATCTCTGCAAACACGCTCTCCAATATCAATTACGGTCGCGTTCCATCTCTCGCCATGGACCAGTACAAGAAACTTTTCATTAAGAAAGACGGCGAGCGATTCGGACAATATGTTGTCAAAGTAGCGGAGGGAAAGGCGAAAATATCAGGAGCAATTCTTGCGCCGGGTCCGTTGGTATTACAGGCTAAAAAATATTCTTCTGCTGAAGATTCCATCAAGCAAAGTGTGGTTAACCTGCAGTGGAGGACCTTAGTCCAACGTATCAAGGACTGTGGTTCATTGACTCACTCCATCGCAGTTTCCGATGTGAGCGGATCAATGTTGCAAAGGACCGACGACGGGAAATGTACTCTGATGGATACCGCAATTGGTCTGGGCCTCATCGTTTCAGAGACCACAGAGCCCCCTTTCGGCGGAAAGGTGATAACCTTTTCTAGAGACCCGCAGGTATTGAATATCGGGGGCGCAAATGATCCGCGCACATTTTCAGAGCAAGTCACTGCCTTACAACACTCTGAGTGGGGATTCAATACCGATTTCCTGAAGGTGTTCAAACTCATTCTGGACATCGCCGTGACGAGTAAGGTCAAGTCAGAAGATATGGTCAAGAGGCTTTTTGTTTTCAGCGACATGCAGTTTGACGCTGCCAGATATTCATCTGACAATTGGGATACTCACCATCAAATTATTACAAAGGACTTCGCTGCTGCCGGATATGAGCCACCGGAGCTGGTTTATTGGAATCTGAATGGTTCTGATATTCACAATGTTCCTGTTACAAAAGACATGCCTGGTACTGCTCTTGTGAGCGGGAATAGTCAGGCAATGCTGAAAGTATTCTTGGAGACTGGTTCAATGGATGGCCAAGAGGAAGAAGAGGGGGTAAAAGAGCAGATTACTCAAGAAGAGGCTAAGGAGGATGAAGATTGGGATGTAGTGAAGAAAGAGAAGAACATGATGACTCCGTATTCACTCATGATGAAGGCAATTGGGAACAAAGCATTTGATATGCTGACTGTGGTTGACTAACTCAGTGTTTTCTCTTGGTTCCGTTAAAAAAATTCTGTACAGAGTAGTTAGTGCATGAAAACAGGTTTCCGGAACATTGTCTAATGGAGGAAAACTGAAATAAGGGTTTTGGATTTGGGAGCTAGCTTGGGGCCACTGACCTTTTGATTGCGGTTTTTCCCAACTCTGTGTGTTGCGGCGTCTCAAGGCAACTTGTATGTACGTACTGGAAGCTCTGGATCATGATGTTTCTGGATTAACTAGCACCTCGCGCCCGATGCTTTATCTTCACCCTTCATCTCTGTTCTCCACCAGTCACCCTTTGCCCTCCTGCTGTGTCAAGCTTACACAATGGGCTGTGTTATCTTGCACCCTCTCTAGATGACTGGCTCTGGTACAGAAGAGAAGATCTGACTCTGCTTTTCATTTTAATATTTTTTCTTTCTGTTTACTCCTTCATCATCTCTCTCTTCTCTTCTTGTTCTTTCTGTGGTGTGCTGCAATCTGTATTGATCGATTCTGCTCTGTCCTGCTCTCTCCTCTCTTGAAAAGACTTATCATACCTTATTTAACTACCCATTCAAGCTTGATGCAACATGGGCCAGGGAGATCAGATGGCCGAGACAGCCATTCTACTTCCTCATACAAATTTTTAAATTCCTGAAATATCACTACGTCTGCAACTTTAAAATAAGCTTAACTTTACTACACCTAAGTCTGATTCTACTCCTGAATTGGAGTTGGTACTGGGCCATAGCCTATGCTGGACTTGTGTTTCTGGAGATTGGATCAAAGGTTGAAGCTAAAGTCTAACTTAGAGCTTAACTTAGTTACTGAATGCCAGTTGCAACTCGAAGCTGGGAAAGAGATCAAAGAAGATCCGAGCCAAGAAGCTGGAGGCTTGTTTACTAACTACATAGAGACCAGTGTCCCAACACAAATGTAAGTAATTACAGCTGCCAACGTACGTAAAACCGGCCTTGCTCCGTTAACTAGTTCCGACCTTCCCATGGTCGCCCGTCGACTCCGACAACGCAAACTTCAATACTCCGTACTCCGTATACCCCATGGTGGGTAATATCACATGGATTTCTGTGGCAGCGTCTCCCAGCCCTTACACATTATTCGACCCAGCTGTAGAAAAGAGCTCCTTTGATGCGCATACAGACGCACATTCTCATCAATCGTCCTTATCCTTGGCTCAGGGGAGGAAATTCCAAGGATGGTTGGTGGTGACTATTGGTACATAAGTACTCCGTAGTTAGTTACATGTTTGAGACACGGTACTTATTGACAGGTTAAATTGTTGACAGGCAACATTGTCTCACTTTTCTCTCTCTCTCTCTTCTCTCTCTCTCTCTCTCTCTTTTGATCATATTCCCTCCACATTTTGCATTGATACTCTCATCCTGTTGACAGCCCATAACTACACCACTCTCGTAACCTGTTGACTCGTTTCTAGCGACTTCTGCATGCAAGGCGCGCTACACACATCGTAGGATTCAGTAAGGGGATTGCCACGGACGTGGAGCGTGATCAATGTCGTGAACTTTCCCGCTTCAGGCTTGGGTTGTGTCTGCCTCTCCAGAGACGTATTTATGGGTGTTGGGGATGCGATCACCGGTCTGGAGCTTCCAGCATCAATGGATGGAGTCGACGGACGCAAAAAATAGAGCACATGTCGGCACTTCCTCGCGCCGTCTCCGGTGGCTTGCACATCAAAGCGGTCCCAACGGGATGTCACGGAATATGGAAAAAAACACGATGGCTGCTTCTTGTATACCCTGGGGATAGGTCATTTTACCCTGTGGCCGCATATTTTCGTCAAGAAATTCGAGCTTGGTAACCCGCAAATCCGCTCTCCTCCTCCTACTACTACTAACGCAGTATATGTACGGAGTACCACTCTCAAAATGACTACTTAACTTATCCACACCGGATTCTTGCGTACATAATTAAGTGAACCTTGCATCATCCGAGAGATCAGACGGAGGACAGGAGAAAAGAAGTACCCCGTACGGAGTACAGATGAGCATGTGCAAACGTGCAGCAATGTACCCTCGCATTGGTCGGGTTGTATCACCCGCGCCATCGCTCCAAATTTCTGCCCTGAACATCGACCTGAGACAATCCTTTTGATTGGAGAGCTTTGTTGTTCCCTCTCACTGCGGGGCACAGACAGGGGCAGGACCTCCGCCACCTTGCGGGTGTTTGGGCCCCCCTGTCGCCCCGAGCAGATCCGCAGGCCCGCAAACAACACGCCAGTTTTATCAAACTCGCTCTTGTCCTCGTTGACCTCGCAAAACATGCAGCACCATCGGCGCTGTGGCTTACTTGGCTAGACTCGGGGCCGCCGAAACATCAAGCCGCACACCGCTAAACTGGACTTCAATTGGTCTCACCAACATTGAAGCCAATCTTAAATACCTGTTGACAGGTGCTCCCAAATTTCACTCCCAGGAAGATACCCAGTTCCCTGATGCTGAGGGACGAACAAACAACAGCGACATACGACACTACGTGCGAGTACTCCGTACCTCATTCTTTCCGTCTGATGCTGAGCATCCATCATCATCATCATCATCTGTCTGGGATTTGAAGTCAATCTTCAGCTGCTCCGCTGCAGCTACTATTGAGCTATGGCGTCGGCTGTGTCATGGAAAAATCGTGTGTGGTCTCGGAGAGAAATCGAGGGATTGATAGCAGATGGGAGAAAGATAATCATATTTGGCGATCAGGTACTGAAGGCCGACGCGTGGATACCATATCACCCAGGCGGGAATAAATCAATATTGCACATGGTCGGTCGGGATGCGACGGACGAAATAACGGCGTTGCACTCAGATGAAGCACAGGCACATATGCAGAAGTATGTGATAGGAAGAGTACACGGAAGATGGGAAAATTTCTTGCCTCCGATACAGGGAGGAACATTCAGAACGCTGGTATCGAAGCACGTCGACGACGAAGCGCTGTATGCTGAAGATGATGCCAGCTCATCTGGAGAATCGACACCACCATCACCGGTCTTCGATACTGAAGAGACAGGGAAAGAAGTTTATCTGAAACGTGCAGGCAACGATACGCCTATTTCTCGAGCTTCATCCATATCCTCATCGGAGCCGGAGCTGGGGCCACTCAGATCTGCGGAAGCATCAACAGCCCACGCGATATCATCAGATCTTTCAAAATATCCTCGTCTTGATAAACGGTCACAAGACGAGGTCGTCTCAAAGTACCGCCAGCTCGATGAAAAATTGCGATCCGAAGGACTCTACCAGTGCCCATATGTCTCCTACGCTGTCGAATTTGTCCGATACTCGATTCTTTTCGTTCTCTTCTTGACATTTCTTCACTATTCCTATTACACTCTTTCGGCCGTTTTCCTCGGGTTACTCTGGCACCTGCTTGCATTCACCGTTCACGACGCCGGTCATTTAAGCATAACACATGGATTCCACACGGACAGCTGCATCGGGATTTTCGTTGCAGATTTCCTTGGTGGTCTTTCAGTCGGTTGGTGGAAGCGGAATCACAACGTGCATCACATAGCAACCAACTCGCCCGAGCACGATCCGGACATCCAGCACGTGCCATTTTTCGCCATCTCTCCTCGATTCTTTACTTCTCTGCGCTCGAGCTACTACGACCGGGATATGAAATTCGATGCTATAGCACGGTTTTTTGTTAAGCACCAGCATTACCTCTACTATCCCATACTTTTAATGGGTCGTTTCAACCTGTACCGCCTAGCATGGTCATACCTACTAGATCCGGCGCAAGCACCCCGCAAAGGCTCAGCATGGTGGCATCGCTATCTTGAAATGACCGGCCAGGTGTTTTTCTGGTACTGGTTCGGCTACCGGACGCTATACCTCTCGATCCCGACGTGGTCGTCCCGCATCGCGTTTCTGCTCATCTCGCACATGGTCACCGCCCCGTTGCATGTACAACTCACGCTCAGTCACTTCGCCATGTCAAGCGCCGATGTGGGCATCCACGAGTCGTTTGCTCAGAAGATGGTGCGGACGACGATGGATGTCGATTGCCCGCCCTGGTTGGACTTTGTGCATGGCGGTCTCCAATTCCAAGTCGTGCACCATTTGTTCCCTCGTCTCCCGAGACATAACTTGCGCCGGGCGCAGAAGTACGTGAAGGAGTTCTGCGACGACGTCGGAATTCCGTACGTAATATTTGGTTTTACGCAGGGGAACAAGGAAGTGATTAGCAGACTGGGCGAGGTCGCCAGACAATTGAGGGTGTTGGACGAATGCAGAAAAGTTGCTGCGAAGAATTTGATTGAGGGTCGCCACGGTCATTAACACATATCTTTTTTTTTTTTTTTTTTTTTTTTTTTTTCTCTCTCTCTCTCTTTCTCTATCTTCTTTTAGTATATAGCAAAAAAATAAAAAAAGGCTGTTGAGGATCATATATTTTCTCAGGAAAGCCGAAAACACCCTACATGATTTCAGGCATTTCTCAGCGGAAAACACTAGACCAATTTCGCCGATGTCAGAGGGTGCTGGTAAGGCTATTCGCGGTGCGCGCGAGGCTGGACGCGCACCTGATGAAAATTCTGCAGTACTGATGGAGTTAGGCATCATTGTTTGTGATGGAAAGCTGCTGACTAACTAAATTGAAGGCACCTCGCGAATTGAAAAGAATGAAAGGCGCAAAGATGTCTCCTGGGCTGCAGTTGCAGCTCATGCAGCACCCGCAGTCAAGCAGCTAACCCACACGCTCCCTGCGAGAAATCATGGTATCCCGGCGTGACGACTGTCCAGCCTTCCCCCCGGCCGGGTGACTCCTGCGGCTATCGTGAAGCAGGGCCAACGAAGCTATTATAAACCATACAGAGGGAAATATTGTGGCAGCTAGGGCCCTTCCCCAGTGGGGGGATCTTATTCTTACCACGGCTTCAGCAATGGGGAGAGTAAGGCCTGGATACAACAGTCTCTCTTCATTGTACTGGTTAAGAGTGCCCCGCTGGACGCGGTTAACTAGCGGGACCAAACAGCAGCTATTGAGGATATCTACAAGCAGAATCGCGCAATTCGCCCAGCAGTCAAAACTGTCAAGACGGTCAAGAGCCAATACCGATACGGGTGAGCCAAAATTTATATCGTATAACATGATTGTCAAACCTTTACACTAATATTATACACTTTAAAAGTCGTGAAGTATTTTATTATTCTCTAATCTGATCATGATGAGTTTTCAACGGCTTTTTAGCTGTCGCGGTTGTCCAGTACTCCGTGAAGAAGACCGATGCCTACACTCAATGCCAGAGAGAATGCCGTGCAGCACGAAAGGGGAGGATATTGGACGTACAAGCAACCGAGAATGACGCGACAGGAAGCGACAAGCGGAGCCAGCAGAGACCCTGGAACCCGGGTCAGAATGTGGGCAGAGACGATGCCCCAGTTGTTACAGAACTTGCAGACAGAGCTGAACAAATATAGGCGGGAGAACAAGGAGGAGACTAGACATGTATGCCGTTGGACCTGACCTTGTCTGGACTGTTGCCGAGGGTCACTGGGTGTAACCACGGCGGCTTCTTTTCCCTTCGTCATAATGATGATGTTGCGATATCTAGCCTTTGGTGGCGACTTCAAGGCGTTTGCCATTGTCGCCAGTATCCCCGAACATGGGGTTCCGTTCTTCTCTTATCCCAAGTGTGGTACTGGAGATGTTAACCCTCGGTTCGCTTTGTACGGAGTACTGATGTTGGCATTTCGATGATTCCGCCGATCCCTACCACACTGTTCCGTGCCGAGCTGCTTATGGCGATACGGACGGCCGCGGCCTGCGTTGCTGTTGTTCTATCGGCAGTTGTCTGTGTTCGTTTCTCCCACGATGCAAGTGCAAATGGGTCAATAGTTTCGTGGCTCTCGATAGGTATATTTTTCAGTACATAGTCTGCTTGCTCATCTAGTCCTCCAGGGTTTGAAATGTTCGCGTGTTCGCTCTCTTCGTCTTTCCCGTTTGCCTTTACCGTGAGCATCCTCACACGGTGTCAAATCTATAACGCGCGCCACATCCATAAGTGTCTTTTTCCTTTCACTGACTTCAGCAACTCCGAATCTCATAACGCTCCAATCTCCTTTGCTAGGTCCAAAATCTCCTCAATGAGAGGATTCACATCAGCACTTTTTAGCGGCACCCGATGCGCGCCATTCCACTCCACAACCCGAGCGCTGTCGACGCTGCAGTAGTTCTCGAGGAGCTCACGGTGTAAATGAAGACCTGGATCTGCCAACCCATGGACATGTATGGTGGGTAGTTTGAGGACGTGTTCCTCTCCCATGATATCCCCCAACTCCGGAGGCCCCGACAAACCAGTCTGTGACAGGTTGCTCAACATAGAAGACCTGAAAACATCCGGATCAAGGGACACTATCGGTGCTCGCCCGGCCATCAGCACAGCGAACTTCCAGTCAGACCCAGCTTTCGCCCGCCCCAGTTTCTCGGCTCGGACTTGTTGTCGGAAAATCAAGCTTGCAGCCAGCTTCGCGCCTTGACTGAAACCCAGCAATCCCACCCATGGACCCGTTGCACCCGATCTATCGTCCTCTATCATGGCGGTCTTTATCGAGTTGTTGATAGCTTCAATTCCCGCTCTATCCTCGACCTCATCGTGCTCCGGGAGCCATCGCTTGAACGGGCCATAGTCAGCGTAAACCGAGACGACGTCCGGCCCCGGCATTGAATCGAACGGCGCTTCAGCATAGACAAATCGGAAGTAGGGCTCTAGCATGCGCGAGACCACACGGCATTGCGACTTGAAAATGCGTGCGTTGGTCCCGCCACCGTGTAAGCAGAGAATACGTGGGAGGTGGAGGGTATTCCTGTGGTATTCCTGGTTCCTTGCGTCCATGATATGTGGAAAACCTAAATCGTTTCGGGAAGACTTTTTAGGCTGGGTGAGGTACAGGATTGAGGCTTCGATGCTTTTGAGGTCGTGGGTAATTTCCCCAACTTCGAAGACGGTGCAGAGGGGCAGAGACTGAATTGAGGTATACTACTTATAGCGTCGGCGTATTGGCGGCGGGGAGGGCTTTGCCAAAATACTATACAATGCAACTCCACCCGCTGGTCGCGATATTTGACCGGCGTGCCCTTCGCCCGGCAAAGCTGAGGGTACCGTCCTCGCTGTACCATCGCGTAGCAGCCGTGGCGGGTCTTGCGATGCCCGGATCTCTAAGGTAACTACGTGCAAGGATCAAGATCAGCTCTCCAACAGTGCCGAGGAATGCGAGCTTGATTCAATTGGTAGGTCCACCCAACAACTAACACATTCAACTGCATAGCCTCTTTACTGTACTCATATCGACCCCTGGTCTGAACAAGCGGCGCATTCCCTAGGTTCGTATATGCGCTCGGAATTTTCGGCAGCGCGGCTGATAAATTTACATTCGCTCTGCGTCACTGCCCCACTACTAGGAGCCCGTGTAGCTGATGATAAGACTTCGGCTGGACAGATCATACGGTACACGGTAGTGTCTGTTGGAATTCCAGGGAGGAAAACGTTAACAAGACTTGCGAAGGAGTGCCAGCGAGTCCGGCTGACAGCAATCCTCGTATTGCCCGGCACCGAAGCCAACCCTCCCGTACGCGGCTGATGTCAAGGCTAGACGTTCATCGATCTTTTCCAGAATGATTCGCCAATGATCTATGCTAGGCCCGGATCCAGGGGACCAAAGTCATCGCCTGCCTTGAGCACGCCGGGTATCGCTGCCGCTGTCCATCTAGCTTCTCGAAGCACAGAGGTCGTTTCACCCCGCGGCCTAGTTTGTGAATTCTTGGAGTGCAGTTTGCCGTCCGCCACGCCCGAGCCTTGAATCCGCTGCACGCCCGCTTCAGGCTGAATGACAAGCAAGGTCTGAAAACCACGCCCATCTCGAGCGCTTTCGCTTTTGGCGATTCGCTGGAAGCCCGTTTACTCATATATGATCACCTTTATCATCTGTCGCTGTAAACTCCCTGGGGAACTTTGCTCCTGTTCGTTCCCAAAGGTAGCTTTTTGCCGTAAGGCTCGAATAACCCCTGAGGTTAAAGCCATGCTTTTGCAGCAGGTTCGGCCAATTTGATCGCAGAAGAGGTCTAGCTGTGATCAGCCCAGCTACTTTGCAGCGATGCAATTGAACGATGCAAAGCACCGGCTTCCCTCAAGTTTCTTGGTGTCAGCCCGACATACGAGTGACGACATAATCAATCAAAGTGCAACTTTGTTCACTACCCAAGATACACTTATCGTAATAAGCACGGCCCTCGAAACGATCCCCATATATATTCGTCCGCGATGGCTGAAGTCTTCGGCGTGGCCGCCAGCGCTTTTGCTGTTGCTGAGCTATCTGCCAAGGTGATCAAAGTCTGCGCATAATAAACGAAAGGTGTCACGAAGCCAAGGGAGGATGTTGGGCGGCTAAAGAAGGGGCCAACATCCTAGGCGATGTAGCAGAGAGCATGCAGCATTCGTTGGGTAAATCCTCACGATCACGACCAATACTTCGCTACCAATGGGGAACTGCAATCCATCTTGGACAAGAGTCAAATGCTTGTTGAAGAACTTCAGGCAAAATTGGACCCTGGCAAAAGAAAAACTGCTTTGAGCAAGTTCGCCATCCCGCGTGTTAATATGGCTGTGCAAAAAGCCAAGATATTTAAGAGACTCTGGTGAACCCAGGTCGCTCGACACAGGCCATTTTAACTAAGATAGCACCCATAGACTTCGCCACCCGCGCACAATCCTACTTTTTCAACGAAACACACAATATCTCAACCTTGAAAATGAGCTCTCAACGTGAGGTTGCCATTGGCATTGCTATTAGAGATTTTGAAAATAGTACAATATCTTCTGTTAAAACTGTGGCTGCAGCATACAACATCCCAAGGTCTACCCTTTGCTCTCGCCTGGATGGTCGAACAAATCCGCGCATCAGTGACTTACAGCACTAGTGACTGAGTCCTCCAAATGAATGGAGATACTATAATTTGGGCAAGGACTGGGTAACTGGCTTTGACAACTCAATCCTAAGGTCACTTCTTGCATTGGCAAGCGGATTGATACTAGAAGAATTGAGGGAACCTAGTCTGAGCAAATCCCAGCAATTTTGCAACCTATTCAATGAGACCCAAAGCCGCTTCAACATCCCTACAGAGAATATATGGAATATGGATGGTCATAGCAGTCATATAGCCATTGAATTTCTTTGGCTCTGCAAGCAGAATGATGTCCAGCTAGTCTTCTTGCCTTGTCATTCATCCTGTTTGCTGCAACCATTAGAGCTTGCTGTTCTTTTCATCTATGAAAGCTCATTATCGCTCTGCTATTGCGGAATTGAGTTATCTAGATGATGCAGCTCCAGTCAAGAAGAAATGCTTTATCAAGGTCTATTCTCAGGCATGTATAAAGGCTTTAGAACCGTGAGTGATTAGGAATGGATGGAAAGCTGTTGGATTAGCCCCATGGAACCCTATTAAATGATTGGATCCTCTCAGATCCGAATGCAACGTCCAACAAGCCCCCAAAACACACCTCTACATCCTAAGGTCCTAGACCCCCCCGCCAGATATATAATTCTTGGAGAAACTGGGTAGAGAGGTAAATTGGATCAAGCCCAGAGAGCTTTCTTACAGAAGACTACCAAGCTGATTGGAGAACTGAATCCTCAACAAGCTGCTCAGCTGGCTGTTGTTCATAAGCTTAGCAGTCAAGCAGATGCCTTTCGGCATTCAAAAATCAGGAAACAGGTTCAATTGGATCCAGATTCCCAATTTGCCAACATTGAAAAGATCGGACAGGCTATGGAGGAGGCTGCGGCTTTAAAGGCTAGATTACAGCAATGCCAGTCAGAGACTGAACCTGAAAAAACAGAAGTAGCAACAGCTTTAGAAGCTGGATTACAAGCACGCATAATAGAATGGTACGCCTACTAGAATTCATTGAGATATTATTGTTTTCTAGAAGGACGGTTGATTGCAATAGGGATAGCGAACTCTGTCTAGGGGCGCTATCTTATTTGCAACGCAGATTGATCAGACGTGAATTAACCGTTGGCGCCAAAGAGACTGCTCTAACCATATGGGCAAACAGGGTTACGTTACTCGACATGGACTATACGATGGCGCTTGCGAAGCTCCCTTATTGCGGAGGGAGCTATATACGATTCTCACGCCAACGAGCACAATCTAGAGTGTATTTCTGATACTCAGAGCGAAGTCTTGCGAGAGATCTCCAAATGGGCTGTAGAGCCCGATACGAAGTTTGTTTATTGGTTGGATGGCATGGCGGGGACTGAAAAGTCAATAATATCATGGATACTATCAAGTAGGTTTTCTGAGACTGGTGCCCTTGGGGCTACGTTCTTCTTTAAGGGGAGGGAAGGCGACCCTAGTTCTACTCGCTGATATATGCGCTTTTAGCAGCAATAGCGGCCGCCAGCGCAGCTAATGAGACGCTCTGCATAATATCAAAGATAGACACCTCGGCCGCAGCTTGCTGAACGAGCATATTTCGGAGCTCAACTGCAACAAGAGAGTCGATCCCATACTGTGCCGGCTTGTTGGCCAAGTCGATATCGTCGAGAGGGATCATGAAGATGTCTGAGATCTTCTCCGCAATAGCTACGCCAACATGGTCGACAGCTTGTTCCAGTGACTTGGCCGTGGCGAGCTTGCTGGCGAGTGAGTTGGAGCTTCCTGTCGGGTTCGTTCCCCCTGCACTGTCGGTCTCACGGGGCTTAAGGGCAGCAAACCGCATATCGCGCCCGAGCTGGGACTCGCCCTTGGCATCCCAATGGGAGCCTGGGCGAGAGTCTAGCCCGACCACAACCTGCGGATCATACGGATGGAGAATGGTGGTACCGAGTATCGAGAGGACCTGCTCCTCGTTGATGGGCGAGTAACCCACTCTCTGCAAGTGACCCAACACACCTGTATTGGCAGCGACGCCGATGCCCTTGACGGCTCCAAGGTTGATAGAGACGCCAGGCAGACCTTGCGACACCCGCCAGCGAGCCAATGCATCTTGGTACGACCCTCCCGCAGCGTAGTTGGCCTGGCTGGCATTACCGGCGACAGCAACAGCTGAAGAGAGCATCACGAAGAAGTCCAGAGAGTCTGTCTGCGCGAACTGGGTGTGTAGGTTCCATGTGCCATGGACTTTAGGGTGGATGGCGGTTTGGTAATCAACAAGCGTCATTCGCTCCAGGAGTGTATCCTGGGCAGTTATTAGTAACGACAGACGTATGCCTTCAACAGTTGTGCGACTTACCTTCAGAACCATTGCTCCTTGTATGACACCGCGAATAGGTGGCAGACCGTCTTCTTGACATTGGCGCAGAGAATCTGCAAGGCCACTTCCGCTTGAGACATTACAGCTCACAGCCTTGACCCGACAGCCCACCTGGCTGAGTTCGTCGACGAGAGCAGCAGCTTGCTCACTCCGGCCCGCACTCCTTGATAAGATGATGACATTCTTGGCCCCTTGATCGGCCATCCAACGCGCAATAGAGCAACCAATACCACCCACACCACCAACCAGGAGGTAGGACGCATCCGGCGAGAACTTTGGAGTCAGCGATCGTTGCAGCATCGGGACCGTGACGTCTGATCCAATAGACAACACGGCTTTGCCGACGTGGCTCTCTGTCTGCAGATGACAGAACGCTTCTGAAACGTCCCTCATGGGGTAAGATGTGAGGGGATGGACCGGCGAAAGCTTGTGCTCTCCAACGAGCTGGGTGATTTCGACCATGGCGCGATGCAACTGACGCGGATTGTGTTGGGCCAGAGCAAGCAGCGAAAACGATGAGAAGGACGCAGAGTGATTGAAGGGCCGCATCGCCAGATAGCTATTGGCATCAAGATCGCGTTGGCCGATTTCGACAAGATGACCAAACGGTGCGAGTACATTGAAACTCTCTTGGAGAAGTGATCCAGATAGGGAGTTGAGGACAACGTCGATGCCGCGGCCATGGGTAGCGCTAAGCACGCCTGCCCCAAACGACGTATCTCGACTGCTGAAGAGGTGATCTTCCGGGATACCATATCTGTGTATCATCAACTCGCGTTTCTCAGGAGTCCCGACAGTAACAAAGACCTCCGCGCCTACATGACGCGCTATCATGATAGCCGCCTGTCCCACACTTCCTGCAGCCGCATGGATGAGAACTGTCTGCTCGCGCTGCAGGTGCGCAAGGCCTGTAAGGCAGATATACGCGGTACAGTAAGCCATAGGGAGAGAAGCAGCCTCCTCAAAGCTAAGGCCCGGAAGCATCTGCATGATACTTGTCCAGGGCGTGCGCGCGATGCTGCCAAACTGTCCGCGCGGCAGCAGACCGAAGACGTTATCACCGATGGCATAGCCTTGCGCGGCGGCTTCAGTGCCCACGCGGGTGATGATGCCAGCGCACTCGAGCCCCATGAACTCGTCCCGTAGCTGGCCGGTGGCGACCATGACATCGCGCGCGTTGATGCCGTAGGCACGAGGCTCGATCTCGACCATTTCAGGAGACAGCTCACAGGTATCGGAAAGGGACGCATCTTCCGCAAAAGAGAGAGTGTCAAGTCGGCCGGGAACACCAATGTGCATGCTCAAAGCTCGGTCTGCTTGGCGTAGCGGCACCAGTGTGACGGCGTCTGTGGCTGCAGCATCGGCGGGTGAGACAAGACGATTGCGGGACGTATCGTTGAGGACACGAGGTATCTTAAACACGCCGTCTCGCATGGCGTACTCAAACTCGCCCAGTGAGGAACCGTCGAAACCCACTTTCAACACTTGCACAATTGCTTGAACATCATCCTCCGACCAGGGAGATGCAGAGGGGTCGAGATCCAGCGTGACATACGACCGACCAAGATACTCGCTCCTTGCGGTGCGAAGGAATCCTGCCGCAAGACCGAGGTCTGGCTTTTCACAGTCGACGGAGCCGCCACGCGTCACCCAAAGCAGGCCTTTGCACTTGGTGGTCATAGCTTTAATGGCTTCAAAGACCGTGGCGTCCATGTCCCGGAGAATGGGCTGGTTGATTTCGCCCAGGAAGACGCAGATCTTGCCAGTATATGATGCTGCCGAAGCAGACTCGAGAACGTATACGTCGGGCAGAGGGGAAGGAGCCGTGTCAGGCTCCAATGTGGAGATGAAATGCCGCAGGCCCTCAAGCCATTGTGGTGGAGGACCGCCTGTCTTGTTACTGGTGACGAGGATGATATCGGCGGAGCGAGGCGGCCGGGCCGAATCAATCGGCGGCACTACTGATATAATCGCGCCGGTCTGCTGTGCAGTCTCGCCTTTGTAGTCAGATACGGCAACGTCGACGCCGCTGAAGCCCGCATCTTTGAGAAGCTGATCCCACGAGACAACCTCCAAGGATGGATTTGGATCATTACCCTTGGCATCCCACCACTCGGGGAGGAGACCAAGCACAAGCTGTCTATCAAGCTCGTAGCGAGGCGCCTGGACCATCAACAGCTTACCACCCGGCTTTATGAGGGCCTGCACGTTTGCCAAAGTTTGGGTCGACGGTTGCACGATCCCAGATGCAATCACAACGTCGTAGCTGCCCAGCTCGAATCCCTGCGAAGATGGCTCTTTGGCAACGTCGAGCGTGTCGAACAGAAGGATATCACCCCACGCGGCTAGCTCCTGTTCGGCGTGCTTAAAGTCGTCATCCGAGGTGTTGGTAAAGTGATACAAAGAGCCAAGCGGACCTAGTGCTTCTAGCATGGCGCGTGTCGTGACGTCTACTCGGGCGCCAATCTCGAGGACCCGTGCACGAGGCTGCTTGTGTACGATTTGGCGGAGCAGTGCGGCTCCTTGCGAAGCGCCATCATCGTGGTTTGAGGACCACCTCTCGAGGAGGTCACCTTGGTCCATGAGATCTTGGGGCGCCCTCTGGCTGCGGAGGATGGCCGCTAGACATGGGCCCACGCGGCACAACATCTCGCCCCTGGGGCTCGCTTCTGCCACGCGCGGGGTGAGAAGTGCTCGATCTGGCCGTATAGCATCTGGCGTGGCAAACTGCAGTGTGTCCTTCATCCAGGCGTAGAATGCGCGGTAATGGCCCTGAAGCTTATCCGCTTCGAGTGGAGAGATGTCGGCTACAGCATCTTCGATAAAATAGAGGGAAAGTCTTCGGAGGTTCTCATCTTCACCCGTGTGCAAGGCGACGCCTGAGTGAAGATTCAACCCAAGATCGCTCTCCCAAGCCACTCTGGCACAGAGTCCTCCTTGCAAAGACTGTGTCCCATTCCCACCCAGCGAGCGTAGCTGAAGCCCATGCACCTCAACCACAGGTCTGTCTTGGTCAACAAGTACAACACCCGCCCTTATGCCTTGTACATCTGCATAGTCGAGTTTCGTATGACATTGGAACGCCTGGCCTGCCTCACGGTTGATTTTACTCGAGACCCAGAGTCGTTCGATCGACTGGAAAACTCGAGGGCTCTCTTGGTGGAAAGCAGCGCCGGGAAGAGCGGTAAAGGCGGCTTGCGCGACGGCGTCGAGCGTGGCAGGGTGGATGATGTGGTTGCGAGGAAGGTCGTTGGGCACAGATGTATCAGGCACAGTGATGGTGCTTGTTGATCGAAGCTCTTTCTTCGACTGGTGGATGTCGCTAATGTTCCTGAACGTCAGACCGTACTTGATGCCGAGCGATTCCAGGGTACTCCACATATCAATGGCATCGATCAGTCGTGCATGTTGTATTTCTTGGTCCAAAGAGGAGACGCCGTTTTGAACGTTGTTGAACTCAACCATAACAAGACCCTGTGCATGTCGCATCCATCTGTTCTCTGAAGTAATGGAAAGGACCTCGAACTTCTTCCAGCCTCTCAAGCCAACGGCCTTGTCACTGACCGGACGGAGAGCTGTTTGAATTTCAATGCCTTCAGCGGTATCTGGAATGACGAGTGCCTGCTGCACGCTCATGTCTCGAATCTGGTAACCAGATATCTCACGGCCCTCCTGTTCTTCGGCGATGGCCAGCTGTTGCGTGGCGGCCTCGATAGCCAAGCAGATAAACCCACAGCCGGGATAGAGCATCTTGGACTGGATGACGTGGTCTTGAACCCAAGGTGACTCGGTAGCACGTAGGATGTGTCTCCACACCGGTGCTTCAGGGTTGGTTCCCGGGACCAGCGAGCCGAGGAGCTCGTGTGGACGATGATCCCTCTGGCGAAGGCCCAGATTGAACCGCGGTTCAAG